CTCGTAGGTTATTATCACTATATGTATGTATAATATGCATGTATAAAAGTTTTCATTTAAATAAGTGTCAAATTTCGAGAATATGAGGCAAAATTATTAGAGTATAAAGAATTATTCACGTGTTACTATACTCTTTGATAAGGTTCAGGGCTGTTAGATGAATTTAAATACACAATATATATACATATATATATATACGACAATATTCAATCTACATATACATACATACTTTTGTATAACAGTTCTGTATAATAGATCATATTATATTGTATAGGTTTATTCGATTCTATGGTCTTGCGCAGGTGCACCTATATTAATATTTTTTTGCCTTTTTTGTTGTAATTGTAAATGAATGCAATAGTAATTTTTACTTTACTCACTTTAACCAACAATAAAATGAAATTTAGTAGTTTCGTTTTCATTTTGATTCTTTTTCGTTTTTTTTTTTTATTAGCGTATCAGGTCAGTTATTCTAGATTTTTAATTTTATGATGCTTTTTCTTATATTTTATTTATTCTCTTTTTTGCCTTTTTTTTGCCATTTACTAAATGCTTGCTTATAATTTTATGCTATTCCTATATAACTTTTATTATTTTCATTTTGCTTTTTTGTTTTAGAAAATTGAATATTAAAGTTATAAAACCTTGTATAATTCTTGCAGTTATTTCCTTTCGCTTTTTGGAAAAGAATTATGTAACACTTGAATGTTATGTGTACAAAAATTAAAACAAAAACAGAAAAAAAAAGACCGTAATAAAAAGCATTTTTAAAAGTAGTTTTACTGCTGTTATTGCTTTATAAAAATAAAAAGCAAAAACAAAAATAAATAAAAACCAAAAAGCAACATCAAACAAAAATCAAGCAACACGGAGCAAAAATAGAGAGGCAAATATAATATCGAACTAGCAAAGCAAACCAATAAACACAACACGAAACTCATGTAATAAAACTCATATCTTAACAACAAAAGTCCACAAAAATTTTACATTCATCATTGTCGTCTTTCTTTATTGTTTTTGTAATACTATATTTTTCATCTCTTTCAATTATCAGTACAAAATTGTATTGGAAAAAAAAAAGGTGAATAAAATATGGAACCAATTTAAGAGTTTTTCCATTAATCCAGCTAACTTTAGGATATATGAGTTTGGTGTATGCAAAAACTTATGTAACATAGGGGCTTTTTAATTTCGAACATCTACTGCAGTGTCAAAAATATCAATAAAATGGCAGTAAATTATAAAATATACAATTTTCGGTGATCTTATACCATAATTCTCTATTTGATCTTCCAATCAATCAAATATCCTGTTATATAGGAGAGAATTCAAATTTTTATGTGATTTTAATGTTATATTGTATATTTTTATGTATGTAATGTATGTATCACCTAACACAAAATGTGTATTATCAAGATTATAAACATAAATTGATTTTGCTATTTTAATTAAATTAGAAAAAAAAATTAAAATATAATATGTATGTATACGTATGTGTATGTAAGAAAAAATGTAATTTTATACTAAAATTAAATACAAGAACACGTAAAGTGTTTTTTGTGTTTTGTTTTGAAAACTGTGATGTTTAATATATAATATGTAAAACCGGTTTAATATATACATGCATACGAGTATGTATGTGCATCGATCTATGGATGTATATACGTTAATTTAGAGATAACAAAAATTTATAACTGATTCCCAAATTTATGACATATACATATATACATACATACATCCCGTTGCTTCTTATTTTTCTTTCTTAAACATGTAATTAATGCAAGATGTGTGCCAGTGTGTACAATTAAATTGCTGTTTAAAATCATTTATATATACATATGTACGTACTATATGCCAATACATATTTATAAATAACTTTGTATAAATATTTAAATATGAGTCTAACTGAACTTTAAATTATATAATTATATGTATGTAAATACATATGTATGTATTTTTTTTTATAATTTTATAGCTTATTTTTTAAGCCTATTGTTTAAATGGGATTAATTAAATAAGAAAATTAAAATTAAATTTTGCTAATTAAGATATGTGAATATGTATGTATAACGTATGCAAGTACACATATAAATGTACATCTGTGTGATACATATACTTATGTACAATGTATGTATTTATGTATTTCAAAATTCGACAGTTTACACAGTTTGATTTACTAGTTATATATGTACATATGTATATATGTATGTTTTTACGGATTACGAACATAGGCGTCTCAAATTAATGAATAAATTAAGAAATATTAATAAGGAATACGTTCGGAGAGCAAATAGAAGTATTTGTAATAAAGCCGTTTCAGTATTCATCATCGATTGCATCCTATCAATCGAACAATATTAAACATAATATTGAACAGTCGGTGATATTTTATCAAAAATGTGATAAAACGCACTCATGACCTTAAATTTCATAAAATCATGTTTAAAAAGTAAATGATAATTGACTATCGATTTAAATAGGAATTAAATACTTACGTGCAATAATTTTATACTTTTTTTAAATTTTAAAATTAATTACATATGTACATAAAAAATCACCCTTTATTTAATCAATTTTTAAAAACATGATAAAAAAATAAGTATAACATGCATATACATGTACATTTCTACATACATACATATGTATACATATATTGAATTGACTTGATGTATTGAACTTATTAAATTTTATAATATTAAAAATTGATAGCTATAATACTATAGGCAATACCTTGCCTATGTAAATTTAGGTTTATATGGTATAATTCAATAAGTATAATATTTTAATATTTTATATTTATTTTATATGTATTCTACTTTTGTATTTTTTTTTTTAATTATACACAGTGTCAACACTTAATACCTGTGTATGTACGTATATATTTTAAATATTTATATATACATTCATACATAAGCATGTGTGTATGGTGTGTATGTAGATATTATAACGCGTTCATAATTTTATTACGGTTTTAAATAAAATATGTACATATTATATATAAAAACAAAAAAAAAGTGGTTTTAAGTTTCTTGTTTCGATTTTTTGATATTATAGTCATTATAGTCAATGTAACGTACTTAAGCAATTTTTTTCTTTATGATTGGAATATTAAGCTCTTAAGACATTCTAAATTAGTTTAAAAACTGCAAGAAGCGGCCTTGATGATCGATTTATAAATATATTATAAGAGTATATCATGTACATATGTATACATATTATAATAAAGGTATGTATGTAAGTAGACAGTATTAAACATATGAGAAATACAAGTAGTACTTACGCGGTCGGTATACGGAATGAAAACAAAAAAGAATTTGAAATGTAAGTGAACATGTTTTAAATTTATGTTAAAACAAGAATAGCATGAGCAAAATTATCAACGTTTGCATGGTAAAACAATAACAAAAGGTTCTCAAAAACGAATATGTTAATATCAAAGTAAACAATTATTTAACAGACAACTTAACATCTAAACAGTTGGTTATTTGATGCTGGCTGTGCACGATCGATGAGCCAGAGTGAGTGTGAGTGTGTACTTGGTTTGATTTGATGGTCGCGCTAGTCTAACACGTTGCAGTTTTAGAAGAACTGAGCCAAAAAGCATAGATTTCATTTGAATTACGGAGGCAAGTCGGTTGTATTGTATACGCGAGCATCCCTGTTATATAACGCATACATACATTTAATTCATACTTGGTCCAATTTACTTAAAAATTGTATTATGTTACAGTAATTTAGTGATTGATTAATTTGATAAAAATTTTAAAAATAAATTATAATATAAATTAGGGTAAGATTTAATTTAGTGCCAAATAATAAATTAAATGTCAACTTGACTTGTTGAATAAATCAAATTTACGTTATATCTAAATTTGTGTAAGTGGGTAGGATCAAGACAAATTTTTCTTTTCAATTATCTTTTTATCTTTTATTCAGTTTGAAAACTTGATTCATATTTTTATGTATTGAATGACCTACTTCCCTAGTACCCTATAGTTCTGATAACAAAGTATTTAAAATTGTCTTGACAGACGAACTGATCAAAAAGTCAATAAATAAATTCAAATTTATGCTGTTTTTGGGTAAATTAAAATGGAATTTTGATTAAAAAAAAATAGCAAGATGAAGGGTAAATCAAAATTTTTATAGCGGAAAAGAAATTTGTTTCGGAAAATTAAGACAATCAACAAAAATCAAAAGAGAGAAAAAAACAAAAAGAACAAATGAATAACCTGTTAAACTAGTACCTACCTAGTTTCTTATTTTTTTTTTCTGTGTAGATATGCACATACATACATACATATGTATATATTCATTATAATTTTATACCTACATAAAGTTTTTGATACTGATTTTTGTGTTACATATTTGTATATTTAATGTTCCCAATTTTTAATAAAATATTTCTATAATAAAAAAAAATTTACTGAATTTTCCTTTTTATTTTTAGAAACTTTTAAATCGTTTTATAATAAATATGTATGTACATAGTTAATTTTTCAAACTTAGAACGCAAGCTTATATACATTTGAGTTTGAACATTAATTTTTTTTTTCAACTCAGTTTAAATTCAATAATCAACCAAGTTGAGTAAAGTTGTATTTAATTTGTGTTTTTTTCTAGACAAAGAAATTCAAGATTTGTTACAGAAAATTATAATTGAAAATATACCAAAGACTTCAAAATTTAAGTATTACAGTGTAATTACACAATTCATAAATATGGCAATAATTTTGGAGTCAAAGAGATTCATTCTCGATCGTACTTAAGTGTGTCGAACTATTCTTTAGCTTAAAAATGTTTTCTGTCTGTCCTTATTACTTAATCTGACGTCTTACCCTGGATTCTGTATTGGATTGACTGAAATTATGTGTGCTTCATCATTATAGCCCAAACTGTTAAGCTTTTAATATTACTCTTTAGACTCTACTAATATTTGATAATAATATTTTTTGTCACAAGATTTTATAATATTAATTTATTTTTTTTTTCCATTTCAGCTTAAATAAACTTAAAGAATTTTGAGGCTTAAACATTATCAGAAGATAATATTAAAAAAAATAACCTAAAAATTATTGAATTCAAGTTTCTGTGTAAAAAAAATACCAACAAACTGGATACTTCAATAAAAACAAATATACCGATGTCAACAACGGTAATGGATTTATATCAAAAAGATGATGGATTTAATTCAGATGAAGGAATCGAAACATTATCTTCAAGTCCAGTTTCAAATGCATCACTGATATCTACATCAGATCATGGCTCTTTTGAAAATGTTACAAATGACAACGATGAAGATGATGACAACGATGATGATGAAACCGACGAAAATTATTTAAATCATGATGAAACTGATGATGAAGGTGATGATGATGATGATGTTAATGTAGGATCTCAACGTTTAGCTGTGTTATCTTTTGAACAAGTTTCTAAATTAAATGATGTAATGAACGAAACAGTTTCTATACATGGACGTGGAAATTTTCCGACTTTAGAAGTAACGCTAAAAGATTTAGTTGCGCTTGTTAGGAAGAAATTAGAATTGGATGTACAATATGGTGGAGCTGGTATGTTAGTTAAAGATATTCGTTTAAATGGTGGCGCCGCTAGTCATGTATTATCATCAGAAAATCAATCATATAATGATTTAGATTTAATATTTGCGGTCGAATTCAGTTCAAATCGCCATTTTGATCGTGTTAAAGCAGCCGTCCTTAGCACTTTATTAGATTTACTACCAGAAGGAGTATCCAGACGTCGTATTATGCCATGTTCATTAAAAGAAGCATATGTTGGTAAAATGGTTAAAGTAAATAATAATAATGATTGTGATAAATGGAGTTTAATATCGCTGGGTAATTCACCTGGTCACAAAAATGTTGAATTAAAATTTGTTGATACAATGCGAAGACAATTTGAATTTAGTGTTGATTCATTTCAAATTCAATTGGATTCATTATTATTATTTTATGAATGTGCAGCATTACCAATATCAGAAAATTTTTATCCAACCGTTGTCGGTGAATCTGTTTATGGTGATTTTCAAGAAGCCTTATATCATTTAGAGAATAAATTAATTGCAACACGAAATCCAGAAGAGATACGTGGTGGAGGTTTATTAAAATACTGTAATTTATTAGTTAGAAATTATAAAGCAGTTGATAATGATAAAATTAAGACTTTAGAACGTTATATGTGCTCCAGATTTTTTATAGATTTTCCAGATTTAGCAACACAAACTATTAAATTAGAAGCATATCTAAGGAATCATTTTTGGGAAACTGATGAGGAAAATTTACAATATCAATATTTAATGCATTTGCGACAAGTTGTTGAAAATTCAACAGTTTGCCTAATGAGCCATGAAAGAAGGCAAACAATCTCATCTATACAATCTTTAGCTATGCAAATATTATGCCGTGAACATCAGAAACAACGAATACAACATCAAGATAAATTAAGAAGACATAATTTGGTAATAAGTCAACAGCAACAATTAATACAACAACAAAATGATAAGATTATACAACAGCAATCACAACAACAAAATCAACAACAATCGCAACAAATCCACATGCAGACTTCACAACAGCAACAGCAACATCAGGAACAGCAGCCACATCTTATACAAATACAGCAACCACAAGATCAAATACAATTATCGACAACAGAGCAACAGCAGCCACCTGCAACTTCACATATTCAATTAACAAGCGGTCCTCCAAGTTTTTTATATGCTAATGGTATATATTATGCTTCTGTGATTCCTACAACAATATGTACTTGTCCAACAACATGGCTGAGTGCAACATAAAAAAATGTATAAAAAATTTTTTTATTTGTTATTACAATACATTATAATATTATATAGATATAGTTATCTATCAGATAGATGGAAAATATAAATAATCAATGTTCAATTTATTTAATTAATGTTTTTAAATATGTATACGTATGCATAATATCCTCTTAATTTAGAAATAATTATTTTTACAAATAAAAAAAAAATTTTTGGATCCGTAAGTTAAAAATGAAAATAAAAAACAAAAACGTTTCCTTAATAATAGTTAATAATCATAATTACAATTATTAGTATTTCTATTTTACTTCTTACATGAAAAAAAAAGAATGTTATTTTCCTAATTTTCATTTTATTTAATAAATTTATTATGTATTATTATAAAGTTGCTCTTTTTATGCTGTAAGTTGTAACAAAATTAAATATGAGACAGAAACTTCTTGCATTAAAATGCAAGAGTAATTAAACTTAACTTATACTTGAAAAAATGAATTCACAATTATAAAAAATAATTGTAAAATAATTAAATATAAAAAAAATATAAATTATAAGGTGTTTTTGAAAATTAAGAACTACATTGGCAATTCTTAACTCGAGCTAAAATATTTAAAATGGCAGCAATTCGAAAAACGACAGAGAAGAATATTAAACTATTTTTTATTTGCACTAAATTTTCCATAGTGCTGCCAGTAAGTTCTTACTTAACTAACATGCCAGCGAAATGGTAATGTTTTAGTAGACGCTATTTTCACGGTTATTGAAAAACATTTGCTTTTCTAACAAACTGTCAATGTGGTACTAAAGTTAGAATTACATTTTCAAGGACACGGTATATTTTGCCTAAAAATTTTCATTAATAAATTAATGCCCATTTAATTATACAATTAAAAAAATATATTTATATACATTTAATGTTTATAAGTTATACATTTATAAACGTATGTTTTTTTCTTATATATTAATATATTATATAGCAGTATAAAATATATAAAAAGCATTATATATGATGTTAACGCTCTGCGAAATCTATATTCCTTGAATATTTTGTGGGGTTAATTTTTAATTTTCTTTTTTTGCAAAATTATTTTAAATTTATAATATACACAGAATAATTATATAAACATAGAAAATAATTTTAAATATATGTATATATATGTAAATATACATGTATATATAAAATAAATAATATTTTATCTTTTTTATTAATATTAGAAAAGTATAAGTGTAAAAAGTACTAAAACATAATTTTAATTTGGAAAATACAAATTTAAAAAAAAAAAATATGTAAATAATGTTGGAAAATATTCTAACAAGAAAATAATATATTTATTTTACTGGAAAGTTAAAAACTTTGAAAATATATTTTGCTAGAATAATAAACAAAAAACACTTAAGTTTCTATTATGTATATATATATATGTAGACTAAATTATATATACATAATTATATATAAAATTAAAAATTTGTTGTTTTATTATTTATAATCTTGCCAACCGTTAGGAATTGTTTTAATTCTATTTATTTATTTAAAAATTTTTGAACGCATGATGTTTTCTAATTTCTCCATTCCGAATCATAGTATTGTGTGAACTCTTTGAGAGTTAGAAATTTTCAAAATTTTTACCACACATATTTTCAGCTAATAATCTTACGCTTTGCTTGTTAGCGATTCGTTTTAGAACATGTAAATAATATATACCATACATTTATGTTTACATCCGAATTAATATATCCAAGAGAGCAACAAAAATTTTTTGCTTTTGAAAAAGCAATACTTTTTCGTCTGTTAACGCAGCTTGAAATACATTTGACAGTGCTGAGTTCTTACTTAATTAAGTTTAATTTGAGCAAAAATTACAGAGAACTTCTCGGTGACGCTCTTACACGTTCATCTTTGCACAAATGGAAAAAATTGAAAGGCGTTAGCGATTTTCTGACTAAAATCACAGACCATAAAATATATCTTATAATAGATAAATATAGGTCTTTGCTAAAATGAAAGAAATAATATGTATACTTTAAAAATTTAAGATATTCTTAAAGTGAGGGTGTGTTGATAATCACAAATATAGGAAAAGTGAGACCGAAACCTTTGGGATACTTATGTACGTTGAACTTAAAATTTATAACTACATTACTCTATTTCAGTTAAGAAATGAACTTTCTTGCCTATTTGAATAATTTAACACTTAGAAACCTTCATTTATTCATGAACAACGTCAACTGACAAAAATAAGTTAGTTGCATATTTTATTTAATATAATTTAAGATTTAAAATTTTTTTGAAATACAAATGAAAACTTGAAATAATTAAACATTAACGCATCAATATAAAGTATAAAAAAATTCTTTTAAATTAAAATTATTTAAAAAATTAAAAGTTATACTGGAATTTTTTCTTCTTAAAGAAATTTCAAAAATGCAAAATATGCAAAGCAGACAGCTGTTATTCCCGAAACAAGAATAAAAAATGTTCGTCTCAGAACCTAAAATTAAAGCATATGTAATTAAAGAATTCTTTGTTTTTTTTTTTGGGTATGATACCGTATCTTGCCATTTTCTGTTTTCAATACATTTTTTGTACTGCATACTAGTGAAAGATACTGAATTGTAAAGTGGAATCCAAGTTTGAGGAAATATTTGATATAAAATAGTGTCTAATTTTTTGCGAAGCAAAAAACTTCTCTTAGTCACCAAATCACGCATCTGCAAATATTCAAAATGAAATTATTTAAAACATTTTTACATTTTAAAATTGCATGAAAGGGTTCAATAAAATGTTAATAAAATATTACCTCAACATAATTATACATAGCCAAGTCACAAATTGCATGGGCATTTTCCCAACGGGTTTCACTAAATTCTGTTATTGCTCCTTCTAAATCTTTGTTTGTTCTACATAAAATTTCATATAAAATAGTGCAGTCCTCAAAACCGGCATTCATTCCTTGACCATAAAATGGTACCATTGCATGTGCTGCGTCACCTAACAGAAGAGCTTTAGACGATACATTATATGGATAGCACTGAAAGTGATAAATATGATTTTAATCAAATCTTTTAAAAAAATACAGAACCTTTTATTTTACTTTAATAGAAACTAAATGCTGAGGAATTGCGTTAAAGAAATCCTTAATTAAACGTTCCTCTCCAATCAATGGAATAGCATCTGGGAAATATTGATTGAAAAATTCAAGTAAATTCTTTTCATTTTTAATCGATTCAAATTTATGAAATGGCATAAAAAGGGTGACCGTCCAACTTTTATCTTGATTCGGTAATGCAATCATCATAAATTTACCTCTCGGCCATACATGTAAATAGTTTGCAGGTATTGCAAACTAAATGTAAATAATATTTATGTAAAATTAATTATAGAAAAATATAAAATATTTTAATAACGGACCTCATTATTTTCAGCTGGTATACATAATTCTATATATCCATGTTCAATATAAGTTTGACTAAAATTAAATCCTGGAGAATTCAACATATTTCGTCTAACTTGACTATAAGCGCCATCACATCCAATAACTAGGTCAGCTTGTTTGGTATACTCTTCATTATTTTCGCAGCTAAAATTTTTAAAGCAAATTGTTGTTTTTTTTTGTTAAAATGGAAATTAAAAATTTAAAATGTAATTGTCATAAAATAATTTGATTATTAATTACAAATTAACTACAGAAATATCATTTTTACGATATTAAATTTCCACATACTTTCTAAATTTAAGACTTCCATCTTTTAAATTTGCTGAAATTAATTTTTGCTTGAAATTTCTCTTTATATTTGTATATTTTTCTCCAGCTAAAATATATATATATATATATTATATATTCTATTTTGTTAGATTACTAATATTATTAATTAAAATACCAGTTAATAGAACTTCATTCAGAAATTTTCTGCCAATCGAATAAATACACTAGAATTTTAAATTAAAGCTCAATTAATAGAAAATTTTTTAAATGAAAATTTTCAAATATACTTGATTTGTTACAGAGTCGTATGGTACAAAAGTAGTTTGACCATTTAAATCATGTAACATACGCCCTTTCATTGGTATACCATGCTTCAATAAAACATCTTTTAATCCAACTTCTTCAAGTGCTTTGAATCCACGAACAGAAAGAGCCAAATTTATACTTCTACCTTTAGCCTGTTCAACTTTTCTTATATCTACAACAAAAAAAAAATGCTCATATAATTACAACAAACCTTTTTAAACCGTTAAATATTTTTTCATACCTTCTCTATATTCGTAAATGTTCACATTATAATTAAGTTTAGCCAAAAAAAGTGATGTCAATGAACCAACCTATTAAAAGTTAAAAAAAAAATTTTCAATAATTTTACAATATGTGTAATTAAATTGAATAAGTCAAAATATTGAGATAAAAATTTTGTATTTGGTTTCAATTTAAACAAATTTTGAGTCAGCAACACAACAACTCCATAAAGTCATAGAGTGACAAATTATAAATACAAGAGAGCAGATTTCATATAATCCATAAGAGATGGCGCAAAATTCCTCTCATAAAGAATTAAACAATTATAAGTATATGTATGTATATGTATTTCAAATTTTTGAATGATAAACAAATTTTTAATTTTCTCACTGAGATTAGAAGAAAATTGTCCAATATTTTATATAATGTACATGTGAAATATACAATTGAAATGTGCTCTATACTCACCAGACATTACTTAAAAATTATATTTAAACCTTTAGCACTTTAATCATGAAGACAAAAAAAATAAATTAAGATTTTTAAATCAGATAATTCGTAAGTTTTTATCAGTAAAACTTTTAATTCAGTGGCGTGCAGAGTTTATTTTAAAAAGGAAGATTTTCTGCGAAATACATTTTTTTTTGAGAAGTAAAAAATTTTTAGTCCCTTTGAGAACTGCTACGACATTCGCTACTACTAGATACTAGAAACGCTACGCTACATATTAGAAATCTCGTCATCCTTGCTGAATTTAATAAAGGAACATCTCAAGTACTTTTACATAGTTCAAAATTTATTGTTAAGATATTAAAAAAATTGGGTTTAATTAAAATGTTTTGTGTGCAATAGAAACCATTAAATAGGTATGAAAAATTGGTTATGAAATGTAAAACTTGTATTTTAGATTTTCCTTTAACACATACATATATGTACAAAGTTATATATATATATTATATATAATACAGAACATAGAAACTCACACAATTCATATAAAGTATTTGAATTTTTTAATTAATTTATATATGTATGTACTTACTAATCCTCCTCCAATTATAGCCACATTAACATCTTGTTTTACAATTCCATTCGATTTTTTGTTCATATTTATTATTTAATAAATAACTTTCTTTTTTTTTCAAATTTTATTTAATTTTAATTTAAAAATTTCTTATTGAATAATAAAATCACTCCGACAATTTAATTTCAAACACCCTTTCTATTCTGGAATCAAATAAATAATAAAATTTCAAAATAACTTTGTACTCGTGAACTACTTACACACTAAATGGAAACCTTACAACTAAAACAAGTCTATATTTGTTGTCTTAGAAATTGAAATAGAAAAAAAAAAAGATTACGAGATGCAATTTGATATACAAATTTCAAAAAAAAAAAAAAAATTAATTTAAGTTTGCCTTAACTTTTTTTTTTATGAGACTGATATGAAGATGAAGCTTTTTAAAAATTTATATATTTATACATAAATTTTGCATATATTTATAAATATATATATGTATTTTCTATATAATAATAATAATTACTTCTGTATCTCGGAATGATTTATATAATAAATATTTATATGAATTAGAAAATAAGCGCAGCCAAACATAATAATTAAAAAAATAAGATAATGATTATAAAATTATAATTAGAACAAAGTTAAAGTACTTATATTTTTATTCAAAATTTTTTAATTGAATTCCAATCTATTTAAATTATTATTGTTATATGATGCAAATTATTGCCTTGTATAAAATGACATAGTAAGTCAAATAATGCTTTTTAAAATTATTGAATGAACGGACGTTTATATCATCTTTCGGAAAAGAAAAGAATTATCGTGGCTCTGAAATTGTAGTAAATATACTAATACACAATTTAGCAATTAGCCCTAATAAGCTGAATTGTGTTATAATTCTACAATCACTAACTAGAATTTCATAAATTTAGTATTCCAAAGCCAGAGTAAATTAAAATTAAAGGTAATCGCTCTATATATTTTTTAAGTTGTATGAAGTTGTGAGCTTTGGGCATTTTCACATATCTTGTGGTATCAGGGTTTTAACCATCTTATTTCATCCTCTAAATAATATATTTTCATAGTAAGGGTTATGAATTCTCTACTTTCTGCTCAATTGTTGTGTTGTATGTGATCTTTGGTTTAAAAAGTCAGGCAGTAGGTACAAAAATTGTTTAACCTCGAATTTTTAAAATGGCTTTATCAATACACAATTCAGTAAGTAGTATTTATAAGCTTTAATTTAAATTGTGCTTTAATACCGTATTTCTGTTTCCGTTATTGCTCTTTATATACCAAATAGCAAATTTGTCTACTTTTTATTTTGGTAGTCTAAATATGTTTTTGAAAGTGTTTTTATATATATGTATGCTTGAAATTCATTACGATTTTCTACTCAAAATTATGAAAACTTATTAAGGATAAGAAATGTAGGAGCTAACATCTAAATGCTGATCTAACGTCAATTTCATTTGTTTAACTATATTGAAATTAGTAACCGATCAAATAACCTAACGCTTTGTTAAAATATAAAATTTCGTGGAAATAGGTTTAGCCAAACTTGAGATACTAATCTGCACAGACAGACTGACAGGCACCTATTGAAAAATAGTTTGTTTACGTTTCCCTAGAATGGAAAAACACATTACTTCTGTCGAAAAATTAACATGTAAAATTTCGAACCATCACATAATCACTCTTATTGCATGCAAAATCATGTTTTCGAAAGATCAAATTGCCGAATCTGCATGCCGAACGTTAAGTTAATGGTATCCAAGAAAATTATTATAGATTATAAAATTAAAAGTAAAGCTTTCAACCCGTTAACAAGTGGGAATACTAATACGCGCTTGCTATCGATATTATCCATTTTTTAATTAGTTAAATACTATAATTAATTTATTAGTTGAATTTTGATATTCTTGTCTAAAAATGTAAAATAATATCAAAAATATCTGAAAAAAATTATTTCTTTTTTTAATTTAAAGTTAAAACAAGCGGAAAAATTCCAATTTAAAAAGTTTAAAATTTCATCTACACAATTTTTACTTTTCGGCTTAAATTTCTTTAGTTACTCTTACAATAGTAGCTAAGCTAAGTAATTGGATTAGATAAGTTTGAGATTTTATGTAGCGACCTCTAGTTTCAGCAAACATACATACATATATAGTTGCAATAATTTAACTCATTTAATTCACTAATAATCGTTACCTGATGCACTTATTTAAAATGAATGAAAGGAAAATCTAATTTAATATTTTTTATTTTAATTAAATTGCAATATTGTTTAAACAAAACAATTTAATAAAAATTTTAAAATTTAAATGGATACTTACTAAATTTTAGATTTGTTGGATAAATGAAAAAGGTTTCTTCAAAAACACGTCCGTTTCGTTTTAAGACCAGATTTTTTCTTTCAAATTTGTTAAAAAATGATTTTTTTAAAAGTATTTGAAATACAAAGTTTTTGTGTTTTTTTTTTCAATTTCGGTGACATTTTGTAAGACCATATTGAATAAGTGTTTGACAGAATATTACTCAAAAATTTATAACACAAAAAAGAGAACTCACGTCAAATTAAATTTTGATTGAATTAGTGTTTTTCGAGAGTCGCATTATCAGAATATTTCAACCCCCATTTCCTGTGAAATTTATTGGGCTATGTCAATGCTGTCTCATATGCTATTTGTTTATGAAATATGCAATTTCACTTATATTTTCTTAAATTCTAAATGTTTGTGTTGAAATAAATTATGATTGAAGTTATCGATTATGATAAGAAACACTGTTTTATTATATGTTTGATTCCTTGTGAATACTATTATTGGCTTCCTCTCTTATATATGTATGTATGTTAAGTCTATAACACTGATGTTAATACTTACATTTTCCAACATATTATTATATATGTATACACTTTTGCACTTCATTTTACGCCCTCTTTCCCATAAATTCTTTTATTTTCTCTTTTAATTATAATAACGTGGGCTGACCAAATGATATAACTATACATAAAATTTATAAAATATCATAATGCTATAAAGTTTTAAATTGTATCAGAGAACAAGAGATTGTAGAAGTTAATTGATCCCTCGTATAAAACATTGGTTTCTTGCGATAAACGAGCATTTACATTTCATTTAACTGATTCAGCAAATACCATTCTTCTTTATACTAATTTTAAAATAATCTTAAACGAATTGATTCAGTTTTTCCTCCGACTACACATATATTGTATGTATATAAATAAATATAAATACATTCTCATATAGCAAATTTAATGCCTGGGTTAATGTTCGAATGGACTTACATTTTAACACCAAAATATTATGTGTATATTAATTATGATTTTGATAATTTGATAATGTTATCAAAAATACGTGACCATTCAATTGTAAAATTTATCTAGCTTACGAAAGTTCTTCACAAAAATGTATAGTTTGGATTTTTGATTTGTACAAGGTATGAGTTTAAATTTTTCTAGTTTTATTTAAGAAAAGCTCAAGTATTTGGTATGAAGACACTTACGTCAAGATTGTTTCAAAAATAAATGATTAAAAAAATTTATTTTAACATCATTATTTATTTCTCATCCTTTATATTACACTCAAATCAAAATTTGTAGACACAAGTTCGAACGTAACATTGGAAAAACAATGCATTTCAAAAGTAAAGAAAATTTCATTTTCATTTAATAAAAATAAACGCAAAATAATTTTATTATTTAAAAATTTAAATTGATTTTTTTAAAATTTTCCTCAAAAAAATAAAAAAAAATAAATAAAAAATAAAAACGAAAGGAAAATTGAAAAAACAGAATGAAAGAAGTCAATTCTATTTTTAGAAGCCAGAGAAGACCCGACCTCATACGACCACATACCGATTCGATCAACAAGTTGGTGGTATGGTACAAATTATTTTTCTTTTTCTATATGTTGAATTTGTTCTTAATTTTCTTTTTTAAAACAAAAAAAAAATTATTTTTTTTTCCTACATTTTAAATGAAAATGAAAAGTCTAAAAAACTATGAGAAAATATAGATAACTTAAGTTTGATGAAAAAAGATAGAAAATCGAAAAATTAAAGAAGGACGACCGAATTTCGAAAAAAAAAATGGAAAAACTGTCTCACTCAGTGCGCAAACAGTTACGAGCGGATCTTTTAAGAGAGCGGAACTTTAAAAAATATATGAAATAAAGTCCGCGGAAAACTTTTTTTTTCGAAATGATTTTTTCGCGAAATCAAGTGATATCTATTCTAGTATACTCGTTATTTTTAGTTAGTTTTCCCGGACTAGTAAGTAGTGCAAGTAAATCTGGATCCAATGGACCAGCAATACCAGAAGCAGTCATAGAAGAAGTTAATGCAAAACAATTGGAAAAAATATTAAATGATAAGGATTATGTAGCCGTATTCTGGTGTAAGATGAAAAAAAGAAAAAGAAAAAACCAAAGAAAAAAAAAAGTCATTGATATTTTTATATTTTTATAATAATATGTGCATAGTTATATTACATACATATGTACATACATATATAGTTTAATTATTTTATGCACGTTAAACACATTAAAAAACCATAAGAGCCGTCCGTCCTCGTTTGTCTACTTTGAAATGATCACAGTAAAGAAAAATTTTTAAGGGAGAGGAAGAAAATTAAAAAAAAATATTTACCGAAATTTTTTTAATTACATAATCACAAGAATTTTATTTTTTTTAAATATAAAATTCTGGAAAAAAAAAAAATTATTTTTATAAAATTATTTTTTTACAAAAATATTGTGAGCATTCATCATAAGTAGTAGCTCTGAGGTGAATTTTAAAAATTTATTCTAAAAAATTTATGCCTATACGAATGTCTTCGCAATAGGATTGTACATACATACATACAAACATACTTGCTTGCCTATATTCGTTATATATGTATGTATTTTGTTATAATATGTATCTTAAAAATAGATCGATTTAAAATAGACAGACAATAAATTTTTAAGTTAAAAAATTTTGACAGAAAATAGATTTCAGTTAGAGTGTTGGTTTTTTTGAGGTGCGATATTTTCATTTTCGAAAAGACCCGAAAATAAAATTTCTTATATGTGTAAATATGTATGTCCAAATACATTTTTTAATATGTCATTGTATATTAATTCTTAAATATATCTTAATAGACAATGTCATAACGAAAAAGTTTTTCTCTAATTGTTCTAAAGTAACTTTATATTTGGTTCCTTTTACTAAATTTTCATATACATATTATGTATATATATATAGATACAAATAAACTCTCTCTAGTGGTACACAAAATGCCTCTAGCTGTATGTATAATTTGTGTATTTTTATAAAAGTTCAAGAATATTTTTTGTTTTTGTGTGGGCTTCGAACGGTTAATACTCAAATAATAATATGTTTTTTGTATATACATATTATATATACCTACATATGTATATATGCCTATAAATACATTAAGTAGTAATAATAAGCACACATATGTACGTACGTCCATACGAATATTCTAATAGTATATTTACATATATATAAATAAATAATATATTCATAAATTTTTAAATACATATTTACACACATATATATTTAATGAATAAACAGAAATGTATAAATATATATAATTTATGTACATGTATAAGCAACATATGTGACAGACGTTTTCAAAACCAAAACATTTATACTATGTACTTACGTGTGTATGAAATAAAATATGTACATAAATTTATGTATATTTATTTAAAAAATTTCCTTTAGATAATGAAAATTTAAAGAAGAAAATTAATATTTAATTGAAAACTATTTATTTTAGTTCTAGATTATAAAAAAAAAGTAAAACAATGTTTAACAAACATTTTTACTCAAACAATTTTACTTTATATTTTTCCCTGCATTTTTTGATATTTTTCACATTTAACCGCCTCTATACACTCATTATGGTAACATTTATGGATATTTATTAACTAATTATTATAATAATTAAATAATAAATTAAAATAATTAATTAATAAATTAATTATTAAAGCACGTAACGCGGACAAATGCAAAAAAAAGAAAAAAATTACCTCAAAAATGAGCAGCGACATCTGTTGCCAATATTGTCTTTCTGGTATTTTCATAAAATGAATGAAGAAGTATTTATTTTTCATTATTTTTTGTTCTCTAAATGAATCTACACAAAATGTTTTGGTTTTTTTTTTGTGAATTAGAAAAAAAAATAAATTCGAAATATTTTAGATCAGGAAGATCAGGAATCAGGATAACATTGTATGTACATGTTTGCTAACAACAATTTTAATCATAACGACATTTATAAGTCACAATTCAGTATATGAACGGGTTTAGCTATAAAAATATTTTGTAAAAAAAAAAAATTGTTTGGCATCATCCTTATTCCTTTGCCATGTTAAGTAATTTAAAGAAATTCATTGCAGAAAATACTAATTAAGCTACAATAGTGTAAGGGCAAGCAAATAATATTATGTTTTTAAATTTATAACATAATAATACTAAAATTAAATTCACGTATAAAATTCTTAGACGAAATATTTTTAAGTATTCAAGTACTTTGTATTTTTATTATATTTTTTTTTTTTTTATAATTACATGAAAATTTTATTTGCAAAATTTTGGCATTACTAGCATATAAAAATATTTTGTTTTTTTCTCCTTTGCTTTGCTATTAATTTGTAAATAAAAAGTAAAAGAAAATTAAATTTATGTTAGTATAATTGTGTGATTCAAACATTTTAGCTCTAAATTTAAAAGTAAATTTTCTTAGGATGTTTTTTGTTTTTTTTTCTTCTTCTATATATATATTATTTGTATAAATAAGATGTGTTTTTAGTATATTTTATATATTATAATATTTGTTTGTTTCACACGATCTGGTGATCATTTTATATTTTGTTATTTTTAATATAACAAAATAAAAAATCTCTAAATTCATATGAATATTTACTTTTCGCATTCTATCTAGAATAAAATTAACAAAAAAACCAAAAAAAAAAAATTAGCTCTTCTTCATAATATGCTTATGTCCGCTTGGCGACAGCATATGCTCGTTTTAAGAATTATCAATTTTTAATGTATATTATTTATATTATTATATTATTTTAATGCCGTACCGTACTGTTAGACATACTTAAATATACAAATATATAAATATGCATATTTTCTTTATTTTTTTTTTGCCTCAATATCTTCTTAAAATAAATTCTTTTTTAAATTTTTAAATGTTCACATATATTATATGTAAATATATATTATAAATATGTATATGTATGTACATATTTCAAGAAAGCATGTATAACAATAATTGAAGCATTTTTATATTGAAAATATTTTATTCTTACAGATATTAACAATATTAATACATTTAATTAAATTTTTTAAAACTTCTGTTTGAATAATAAAAAATCGGAATATAAGGGCGATTTCCGAAAATTTATTTCTAACTTGGATTAACGTTAATATTAAAAATCCGAAAGAGTAAACTAGTTAATTCCTTCAGATCTGTAATAATGCTAAAACAGATTTTTAAAATTTGAGTTAGAAATTTAAATGCATACATATGTTTTCATATGTATAGTTTCATACAAAATAGTGGCCAAGGATATATTTGAATCTGCAATTGAAAAAATCTATAAAAAACATAAAATTTTTAATGATTATTGGAGAAAAACATTAAATACTTTTTATATTTAATGTTTTAAAACACAAAATAAACTACATTTACACTAAAAACAAAAACAAAAGTATCTTTTCATTTATAAGTTTTAAAATATGCGTAGGGTACCCACACATGACAATTCATTAAATGTGTTATTACAATTTTAATTGTTTTACACAAATTTTACATTTGTTTTAAGCTTAAAATATTAAATTTTAATAAACACTTATTAAATTCTAAGAGCAATCATCAAAAAAACATCTTGTCGTCCTATTCAAAAAATCACACTTATTCTATTTAAGCAGTTTTTACGCTATTTTACACTATTTACGCTACTTATTTAGTTCAATATTTATGCTGTAAGAATGGTATTTTGACATGCATTATTTTTGACATAATATTAGCGTTCCCATTTGTACACTTTTAAGTACACTTTCGATCCCTATAACTCAATGATCGAAGGTTTCGCGTAATAATAAAAAAAGTTGAGCGTAATTATGAACAAATACATTTTATACTATCATTATAATTTTCATTTTTATATTACATTCGTTCGCACTTGTATGCAATTTATCCAGCACACATTAAGAAAATTACCCACATAAAAAAAATTACCCACATTAAACTTTACCCACACGAAAAATTTACCCACGCTGGATTAATTTGGAGTTAAACACAAGAAAAAAAGCAAATTTTCACTTATGTGTGTTCTAACGTTACAAAAATGTTTTTTCATTACATTAATCATAATCTATTGTACCTACATACATACATACATACATACATATACGATTTCAAAAATAACAAAATTTTTATTAAATTTGAAAAGTATAGGTACGCACATTTTATTTTATTTGTTATTTAATAATTTTGTTTACGGTTTTTAATTTTTAGCCAAATGTGCTATGTATAGTACTATAAATGTACTATGTGTCAAATGGATATAGTTATCTAATATCATACTTTTTTACAAATGACCGTTTTCGAACAAACACTTTAACATATCCTTTCCAGTTTGTTCCCACATTTAGCGAATTTGTATTCTTGTTTATTGGTATTTCTTGTATATTTCGGAATTTGAAAGTCGTTTCGCGTTTCACATTTTTGAGTTGTTGAGCCAAATTTAATTGCCTTGAGGGATCTGAAAGCTTTTTAGTTTAGACATTATTTTTCAAGTTACTCTTTTTTGTTAAATTTGACAGTTAATTTTCAAAATTAAAATTGATGTCAAAAATATCATCGATTACGTGTTTAAATTTTCTTATTTGTAAAAACTTTGTAAAATAAAAAATTTTTTAAAAAACAAATATGTATGTTAGACTTCAATTGATTTTCTTAGCCCAAATGTTCCTGTTTAAGAAAAAGTTGAATTTTACCAGAAAAAATTAAAAAATTTATGAAATTTCAATTGGATTTACATGTACAGTGTATTTCAAATTTCATTCTAAAAATTATAGATATATAAATGTTTGTATGTACGCTTATAAAAAAATATTTTGTATATATACAGTATAAGTTAACAAATTTTGAAATCAACGAATTCATTCTAAATTTCAATCCATTATACCTATGTACATTTTTCTCCTGGATCTTTTCCAAAATTTAAGTTATCTATAAATTAGTAAGCAAAACTGGCTGGATAAAAGCCAAAAGCTTAGTGTTATTTAAGTCTGGTAAAAAACTTAAACAATTTTAAAAAAATACACACTCGTACATATGTATGTATAAATAAGAAACAAATTTTTAAATTTTTTAAAATTTTAAATAAAATATTCTAAACTGTTCTAAAAAATGTACGCGTAATTCAAGAAATTCTTTTTTCAAAATTTAATAAATTGAGCTAAATAAAAATGAAGTTTATCATTTGAGCTCATTTTCCGATTATCATATATGTATTATAAACTTGTTAAAGAACTACGTGAATAATATGCTAGTATTTAATTAAATTTTTTATAATAATGATCTACATTTGATTAAAATTTTTAAAATACAATATAAATTTGCAAAGTATGTCAACTAAACTTATTAAACAATTAAATTATAAGATTTTCTATATAATCCTGTATAGTCAATATAATTTACAACCCACGATGTACATACATATATTATTTAATGTATGTATGACTCGCACAAAAATTTTCACTTCGAAAATATGATACAATATACATATATACGTTAAGCGTTGCGTACGTTAGTGTATGAAATTTTTCGTGATTCATGGTCAATCAAAATTCTTTGTATTGTATAATGGTGGTCAAATCATGTTATGCATTTCTATATTTTATTATTCATAATTAAATAAAAACTGCTTTGTTAAAATGAAATTTTATATATAAAAATTCTAATCAAATAAATCAACAAAAGGCTTTTAATATTTATGTTGTTATATAATGCAATAATAAATACATATTAGAACCGTTGGTTCACACACATTATGCCAATCAATATTTTACAGCAATGTCTACATTCTTAATTAAATAATTATTTATTTTTGAAATATTTTCGAATTTCATGAATTAAACTTTTCTTTAAATTGAGTAAATATGTTTAAATGTTCACATTCATATTCGTTACATACATATAATTATTTTTAAAAAGTTTTTAATAAAATAATAAATTTTTTAAAAAAGTATGAAAGTAATTCGTTTCTTGAATTTATTTATTCTTGAATACTTTGTCGTAAATCCGTTTGCGGAAAATATTTATTTTATCTGATTAAAATTGTTTGAAATCAATGTTCGTAAATGCTAATATGCGCGAATATGTTGTGCATATAAAGAGAAGATAATCTCTGTGATTGCGCTAAACCTACTCACAATTATTGTGAAAAAATAGTTTTTTTAAAAATACTTTTATAAAATACAATATTCTGATTTTTCACTTACTTTATTATTATGAAAAAATGTTGTTCAAACTTTTATTTATAAAAAACCCAAAATGATATTTAAACGTTACTTATTAAATGTCATTTTTATTTGATAGATGCCAGAAGTTGTATCACTTGTGATAAAGTTTTAGCGGAGCTCGAAAAAATCGACGACGATACGGATTCATTTGGTGTTGATTTTGTCAAAATAAACGATAAACGACTTGCAAAACAATATGGCATCAAGAACTTTCCAGCTCTTACATACTTCAGGTAAATAAGCAAAAAAAAAATTTGTAAAGAAACGAAAATTTATTTTATTAAAGTATTTTTTGGTTGACTGTTAAATTTATATCTTATTTATTGTAAAAAGCATTTATGCTATTATTTTTATATACATACTCGTATGTATGTATGTATAAAAATAATATAAGAAAAGACTATACTGTCATTTACACACACATGTAACGTAACCTGTACATTTTAATCAGTCTTGCGTTATTTCGTAACTTATTTAAATTGTAAATCTGTCAATTATGGCGCATGATGTGTCATAACTTAAAACATGAAAAATCAAAGCGATAAGAAAATCTTCCGTTTGCTATATACGTACTCGTATATACATAATATACGTTAAGTATGTTCTCGTATATGCAATTTGTACAAAATATGGACCGTTTACATATTTTTTTATTTCGAAAATATATTTCGAAATTCGATTTAATAAATTATCTGTTATGATATTTGTAAAATATTTCTAGAGAAAAAGAACCGATTATATATGATGGAGATCTTATGGATGAGGAAGGTGTTTTGGATTTCTTGACGTCATTAGAAGCTATGGATTTACCGGATCGTATCGAAGAAGTAAATGCAAAAGCACTAGCTAAAATTATCGAGGATACGGATTATGTGGCTGTTCTTTTTTGTAAGTGAATTGAATGCAACAGGTATTTTTTTTTAAATATTGTTTATTTTTTTTTTTTTTTGTACAACTTTTTGTTTTTGATTTATTCTCAACAAACAAAAAATTTACAATGAAAGTACAAAGTAAAAAAATATTTTATGTATAATTTTGTTAAACAATTTTGATTATAAATAATCGCATTTGATTTTATTTTAAAGTTATTTTGTTTCCTTTTTTTTTCTTACATTTCTATGCTCGTATCAAAAATTTACTTCGTTATGTGTGTAAAAATGACATAACCTATAAAATGAATATTATATAACATCCATATAGGGAAAATATTTGAAAGCATAGATTTATGTATATATGTATAGTAAGGAAGAAGAAAGAAAAAGGAAATGGAAAAATTGAAATTAAATCACAGGATTATGTTGAATATTTTTTTTTCTACATTAAAAATAACACTCACATTATATTTTAGTATTTGTTTACTTACATATATTTAAATATGTAGATATATATGTTATTTTTTTTCAATCATAACTTATTGTGACTAATATTATGTTTTATTTTGGAGAAGAGAAAACAAAAAAAAAAAAACGTTTTCCTTTATTTACAATTAAAAGGAAATAAAAAAAAATCGTTCGAAACGCGTGTGATCGCCGGCTGATAAATCTTAACATAAATGAATTTTTTTCTTATAAAACATCCATTTGATATTAGGTCCAGATCATGCTTCGTGCCCTTCAAGAGCAATGGGTAAGTATTGAAAATTGTTAAGACTAACTTAAAATTAGCAAAACAAAAGAAAAAATAATCACATACACTGAAAACAATAATTTTGTGTTTAATCTTTACATTTCATTCTTTTTATTTTTTTGTTTCTAACTTTTTTGTATCTAATTTCTTTGTTAATAACATTTTCAATTTAATTAATTTTTCTTTTTTGTTTATTTTAATTTCTAGTATCTTTTCTATATCCAATTCATGAATCCTTTTATATTTACATTTTATAGACAGCGTTAAAAATTGTGGAGGTATTTAAAATATGCCAATTATTTGCAAAAAAAAAAGCAGATGACAAAATAAAAAGAATTCAGAAAAAATTTAGAAACAAAATATTCAAAACATTACGAAATTTAAAATACACGTAAGAACTCTTAGGAAGAGAATTCATACATGTTAAATGTGAAATTCGAATATAGTATACCAAAAAAACTTATGTATTTATTCACATAATTATTAAAGATGAAAAATTTTAAGTAAAAATTTAAAGCCAATTGTGATTGGCTCCAATAAATCTAGTAAATAACTTCTTATTACACTTTGGACATATAAAACAAACACTTAGATGCAAATCTGTAAGTTATATTGATAATAGAATTGCATTGAGTTAAACGGCATTATACGCATGTCAACATATTTAAAGCTATTTCCAAATGCACGGGCCATATCGTTATTAAAAATTTAGCATTATCACTCAACCATCTCGAAATTCCACTTCAACTGCATCATTTAAATGTTAATATGCATATGTAATTGGTATTTGAATATGCATACAATAAAAAAAAACAAAATTAACAACAGTATGTCACGTGCTTTATGGTATAGCCCCTACAAATTACAACCAAATTCTATATTATAACACGTCAAATTTTCAAAAAGAATAATTAAAATATCTAAATTGTATTGTTACTTTCTGGACTGTTTGATTTGATTTACACTTTCTTTCAAATTCTTATATCTTCCAAAAAAGAATTTTTACATTATTTTTATTCTAGAACGAAATCTGGATTTATTTTTTCCGTTCTATGTGCGTTTATATTGTCTTAAGAAATTTCTATAGTCTTATCTCTAAAAATTTCCTTACAATTTTCTGATTTACACAAATTTTATTAGGTTTCCAGCTCGAGTCAGCTAACACGACATCATCTCAATGGTATAATATCTTCGGCAGCAGTGAAACTTCTAATTTAAGAGATGATATAGGTATAGATGAGAAAATAATATTCGTTTTTATTTCGGTTAAATAACTTGGATTCAGTTCAAAAAAAAAAAATCTCATTTTTTGTAACTAGCAAAATTTATTAATTTATTCGATGCCTTAAAGTAAATTTATCCTCCTTGCATTTTCTTATATTTTCATGGAATTTTAATCTGATAATGAAATTTTCAGAATGAATACATTAAATATAGGCAACACTTTTGCAAATATTTAAAAAATTTTTAAAAAATTTCATCAATCTGACAACATAAATTGGAGTTTATAGTGTTTACAAAAAAATTATGTGAGGTTAAGTTTTATTCTTATGCTTATTGCATAATTTGTAATTACCTAAATCTTAATATAATTTACTCTCTAAAAAAAATCTTCAAAACTAGTTCCTGTCCGATCTTTTCCCTACATCCTTTTCCTTTTCAATAACAAACAATCAATAAACTAAATCAAAATGTGAAAAATTTTATAATAATGAGAAAAAAAAACACATAATTTGACGAAAATATTGCAGATAAACCAGAATGCCGAAAATGTAACAAAGCACTACAAGAACTGGAAAATATCGATGATGAAGCAGATCAACTTGGAATTGGTTTTGTGAAAATTCATGATGAGGCATTAGCTGAAGAATATAATCTCGGAAATTTGCCAGCTTTAGTATATTATAGGCATCAAACTCCAATTATTTATGAAGGTTAAAAAAATTTAACAATTTAACATAAAAATAAATTGATAATATTTGAATGAAATCCTTGAAACAGGTGAATTATCCAGAGAAGAAGATGTTTTAGAATGGTTGGTACAAAACAAATCAACTGGTGATGAAGATGATGTTATAGAAGATGTTACTTCTAAAACTCTTGGAACACTTATTAGCAATATTGACAATTTAGTTGTTTTATTTTGTAAGTTTTTTTAAGAAATTGTTGTAAATATTTAATTTAGAAATAAATAATATTTAATATCCTGAAAAGATGATCACGGAGATGACGATTCAATGACAGTACTTGAGGAATTGGAAAAAATTGATGACGACTGCGATAAGCACGGTATTCAATTCGTAAAAATTGATGATAGAAAAGCTGCACGAGAATATGGAATTGACGCTGTATGTATTATTAAACTACATAATTTTATTTAACTGCAAGTCAAAAAACACATTTTTTTTACAGATTCCATCAATTGTATATTTTGAAAATAAACTACCAAACGTTTATGATGGTGATTTGATGGATGAAGATGAAATTCTTCATTGGTTACTTGGGCAATTAGAAAAAGATGAAATTGAAGATGTTACTGACGAAATGTTAGACAAATTGGTCAAAGAAGGAAAAGTTCTAGCCGTTTTATTCTGTAATTTAACTTATATGACACTATAAAATGCTCTTACTTATTTATTTTTTTCTTCAGATGATAATAATGATAAAAAATCACAAAAAGTTTTAAGTGAGTTAGAAAATATTGATGATGAATGTGATGCACTTGGTATTACATTCGTTAAAATCGATAATCCAGAAGAAGCTCTAGAATATGGCATTGATAAAGTTCCTAAACTAATATACTTTGAAAAAGGCATTCCAACAATATATGAAGGTAATCTTGAAGCCGAAGAAAAATTATTGGACTGGCTTGAAAAACAAACAAGTTCTGATCAAATTGAAGATGTTACTGACGAAATGTTAGACTTAATTATTGAAAAAATGCCTCATGTTGCTGTTCTTTTTTGTAAGTTAAAAGAAATATAAAAATTTTTTTATTTTTATTTTACTTATGTCAAATTTTCTATAACAAATTAGATGACAAAGACCAGAAAAAATCACAAAAAGTCCTTGCGGAATTAGAAAACATTGACGATGAATGTGATCAACATGATATTGCTTTTGTTAAAATTGACGATGATGGCGAAGCTAAAGAGTACGGTATTGAAGAATTTCCTACAATTGTATTATTTGAAAGAGGAATACCACACGTCTATGAAGGCGATTTAATGAAAGAAGATGATTTATTAGGTTGGTTGGTACATCAAAAACGCTTCTCAGAAATCCCTGAGGTTACTGATGAAATGAAAGATAAACTTGTTGAAAATGAAGAACATTTAGCGGTCATTTTCTGTAAGTATAAAATTATGTTGGCATTACCGATTAAGATATACTTTCTTTAATATTTGTTATACAACTTAATTTATAATTATTTTGAAACTTGTAGATGACAAAGATGATAAGCAAGATATCCGAGTACTAAATGAACTTGAGAACATTGACGATGAACTCGAAAAGGAAGGCATTGTTATTGTTCGCATTGATAATGCTGCTGAAGCAAAAGAATATGGCCTTGATCATTTACCAGCTTTAATTTATTTTGAAAATAAAATACCTTCCATGTACGAGGGAGATTTAATGAATGAAGATGAAGTTCTTGAGTGGCTTATTTTGCAGAAACGTACCGCAACTATTGAAGAAGTTACTGACGAAATTCTTACTGAATTAATAAATTCACATGAATATGTCGTAGCATATTTCACAGGTCCATGTGATGAAGGTGACAAATGCGACAAAATTTTAGATGAATTAGAAAGCATTGACGATGAATTGGATGAAGCAGGAATTATATTTGTTACAACTGAAGACATGTCAACCGCGAAAAAATATAATATCAAAAATTTACCACAACTTGTATTCTTTAGAAATCGTGATCCATTATTCTTTACTGGTGATTTGGATGACGAAGATGAGGTGTTAGCATGGATAACAGATGAAGACACCTTAGAAATACCCGGAAAAATTGAAGAAGTCAATGTAAAAATGTTAGAAAAAACATTATCTGAAAATAAACACGTTGTTGTGTTTTTCTGTAATAAAATAAAATTTTTATTTAAATAAAACTTTTGAAACTAAACTATTTACAGATCGTGAAGCTGATAAGAAAGCTCAGAAAATCCTGAATGAGCTTGAAAATATTGACGATGAATGTGAAGAAAAAGATATTGACTTCATTAAAATATCCGATGAAGGTGTCGAAAAAGAATATGATTTACCGTCTTTGCCTGCTCTAGCATTTTATAGAAATAGGTTCCGCACAATTTATCATGGAGATTTAATGAGGGAAGAAGAGATACTTGAATGGGTCTTAGAATTATATGAATCCGACGCAGATGTTATTGAGTCTGTCGATAGAAAAACACTACAAGTTTTGATTAGTGAAGTTGAGCATTTAGCAGTTTTCTTTTGTAAGTTTTTTGTTTTTGTTGACACTTTTGCAAATATTGAAAATTTTAATATGCGGTTTCTCTTTTTCAGATGATAATAAATGTGAAGTTTGCCCAGAAATATTAGCCGAATTGGAGAATATTGACGACGACACTGATGAACAAGGAATTCAATTCGTTAAATCCAATGATGTTAAGCTTGCACATGAAATTGGTATTTTCGCGTTTCCAGCTTTGGTTTATTATGAAACAGGAGTTCCAATTATGTATGATGGTAATTGAGACGCAAAAATAGAAAAGAATGTTTATTGATAATTCTTTTCCAATTTACAGGTAATCTTAAAAACGAAGATCGTGTCTTGCAATGGTTAACCAATCAAAAGAGTAAGAAAAACAATATTAAGATTTCTCTATTTTCAATATATAAATGAATAAACAAGCTATAAACATATACTAATATATACTTACAACTTTTAAAAATTAATAAAATTATATATAAAGCTTCTTCGAATTAAGAGGCTTTTGGCCAAAAAAGTTCAGAATTCGAAACAAAGTCAAAATCCAACAAAAGCATCAAATATTCGAATAAGGGGCTTAGTTATCAACGGATTTATATACTTTCTTTAGAAGGTCAATTTCACAAAAAACAATAAGTAAATTAAAAATTTCAATTTAACTCAAATAACAATAGGACACTGAAATAAGAATAGTAAAATAATTTCTGAGCTCAATTTTCTTAATTTTTCATTAAGAAACTTTAGAATTTATTCGCAAATTGAAGTTCCTGGTACAGTTAAATATAATATGTTATATTAAATTTCCAAACATATATTTAAACTAAAAGTGTATAAAGTATTTACTTCACCATTTATTTTAAACATTATCATGGAAAACAGTCACTTTATCTTATTCGTTTCAATTTGATGCATGTAGATTTATTTTATTACAAAAAAAAATAAGATAAACTCTTTGCATAGGCACTTCGGCTGAGGATGATGAAGATGACAATGATAATAATGATGACGACGACAATGACAATGACGATGACGATGACGATGACGATGACGATGACGATGACAATGACAATGACGATGACAATGACAATGACGATGACGATGACAATGACAATGACGATGATAATTACAATGATAATAACAACGACGATGATGATGATGATGATGATGATGATGATGATGATGACGATGACGATGACAATTACAATGATAATGATAATGACAATGACGATGATGAAGATGATGGCAATGACGATGACGATGACGAAGACAACTATGGGATGGACAATAACGACGACGATGACGACGATGACAACGATGACGAAGATGATGATGATGAAGATGATAAAAAAAAGTCAGAAATAATAAAACAAAAAAATAAACTTCTCCTGTCAATAAGACAATCTAAATTAAGTAAAACGAATGATGATGACGATGAATATGATTATGGTGATGATGAAGATGACAATGACGAAACTGAAATCTTTGGTAAAGAAAATCGAAAAAGCAAAATAAAACAGAGACACAAAGTCATCAGTTGGATGAAAACTTTTAAAAATAGGTTTGCAGCCCAATCTAAAAAATACAAAGACGACGATGATGATGATGATGACAATGATAATGATGATGATGATGATGAAAATGGTAACGATGATGATGATGAAAATGATAATGATAATGATGATGATGATGATGACGATGATAATGTTGATGATGATGATGAAAATGATGATGATGGCAATGATAATGATGATGATGACGATGACGGAAATGATGATGACGACGATGAAGGTGACGATAATGACGATGAACCTCAAGATGATGACGATGATGATGATGACGATGATGATGATGATGATGCCGACGATGATGATGGTAATGAAGAAGATAATGGTAATGACAATAATGACTATGACGATAACGACAAATACATATCAAGAACGAAAAACAACAAAGCTGCTCGTAACAAACTTCACAAAACAAAACAAATTTTAAAGGCGAATATAGGTAAAAATGACTTCGGATAGTGTCATTTATGAAGATTTTTAAGATCATTTCGATGTCGTGATTAATTTTCAACCTTTTCCATTGAAATTTTCCCAAATATAATTTTTGTAAAAACTTAAATCTGAATAATGACAGTAAGAAAGAACATATTCTGGTTTCTAAAGTTGATGATCGTGTTTTATGTTTTGATGCAAATTATTCTTCCATATTTAATCGTATTTTAAATATTGTGACTAATTAAAAGGCCACTTTTGATAATTAACATTTAAAGAAAATTTCTAAATCATAATATAACATTGCTTATGAAAATATGTATGTAATCAAAAATTTAGAACTTTACCATCATTTACAGTCGGTTTCTCAACACACTCTACATATTTTCTTCCGCCTTAAAAGCATAAAAGTTTGATGTTGATCTTGTTGACACGTACAATTTTGTTATACACATTTTGAAAAAAAAAACATGTGTGAAGGACAATGTATTTTGTACATAAATGTATTTATTGTGTTTCATCTTTAAAACAAAGACAAGATACAATACTACGTATACATGAAGTTTTAAAACAGATGAGCAGACAATATTTTTTTGAAATGTCACTAGAAAACATCGTCAAATTTATAGGCGAATGTATGTAACAATTTTTATTCCTTTTGAGTTTTTTTTTAATTCCCCTTAGAGAAATGCACATTATATAGAAAATAAAAACCAAAAATTTTTATTAGACCCATTAATATAGATTCATATATATTGAGATGTTACAATATCCGTATTTTAAACCCAAAAAGAAAACCCTTTTTACATAAAGAAATGTTTCGTCCACATTTTGTTTGATTTCTACATTTAAAATTCTATATTGATGAAATAATATGAAATATTTAAACACATAATTTTCTTATGAGCTTTCCCTTGTACTAACATATAAGTAGTTAATAGTGTAATAGCTTACTAATTTCTTTATAAATTATTAAAAAAATTTTAAAGCAAACACTTTAATGCAGATTTAACATCAATTTTTAATTGAAATTTAAAACTGAATTGCTGAAAAAGTTAAGTTAAACATTAAATCTGCATTTATAGGTAGATGTCGTTAGCTTTCACTTAATTTGTTCCTACAATTATTTACAATATGTTTAATTGTAAAAAAAAAATTTAACATTTTATTGAAATTTTAAATTACATTCAGGAGTTGACATTTTGTATAAATAATTATAATAATTAAAACAATAAATATTACAATCGATTAATATTACACACATTCCTTATAATTTTATACTCAATTAATTCCTTAATTTTTTTTCTAGTCAAAGGAGATTTCTTTTTATTATAAAATCAATTAAATCTCCATTAAGTTTTTTCTTGAAAATTTTTCGGACATCTCATGCATTTTTTAATCAACTTAGTAAAAAGATATTCAAATGGAGATAATTGAATCAACTAGTTGTCTTCAATTTCATTCCAATCGATATATATTTCTGAAATAACAACATAATAAAAATATATTTATTTTAAAATAAATATAAAGAGTTATTTTATTATTTGAAGTCATAAAATTAAAGTAATTTAAAAAATAAAACATAATTTTTAACCTGAAATCAAAATATCGCATGAAAGAAGCATGAAAACAATTCAAATTGCATTTAATTTTTTTTACAAAATAATTTTATATACGCAGTATACTTGAATCCATAACTTTATCATATAATAAATAAAGTGGAACAATTGAAAAAAGAACATAATTCACAATAGATATCAATTCACATTTTATTTGTCTTCGTTTAATTTTCTCTTAATCCTCTATAATATTAATTGTTTCCAAAAGTATTCACTAATATTTTTAAAAAATTGGCTATTTTCTGAAAAGCAACGCAACTCTTTATGTATAGTATTAAAATATAAATACAATTTTCAATATTATTTTCAAAATTATTGTCAAAAAAATAGTTTGACAGAATAAAATTTTAAACGTCAGAACTCAAACAATATTTTTTTTTATAAAAAATCATTTAAATTTAACGCAAGTGAATCAAAATAAAATAATCAAAAAATTTAAATTTTTTTTATTAAATCCTAAAATTTAGCTATCTAAAATATATTATTTAATATCCTTTGACTTTAATACTGACAGAATTTAAAATGATTACGTAAAATTATTACATTTACATATGATTAACAAAAAAAAAACATTATATATACTTATATAATACAAATTATATAATATTTTGTGCAATTATATTTGTTTATTAAAAAAAAAATACATATTTTTTTCAATTTTACTCATACAATTATTTATTTATAATTTTTTTTTTTTAATTTATGTAATTAAAAATTTTGTTATTACAAATTTTAAAATATAAAAAATATCAAGAATGTTATTACAAAATCCTAAAAAATAACGTGATCCCAATTAAATTACATTTTAAAAACTACAAAAAGTTTTGAATAAAACACAAATTTTTTTCCATTACAAAATATGGCAATATTATGCAATAATTTCATAAAATTCAAAAATAAAAAACAACAACAACAAAAATGTTAAAGAAAATACTATTATTATTATTATTATTTAATGGATAAGAAAAAAAACTATTATTTCCATTTAATGCATATTATTTGCTATGGATTTTTTTTTTAAATGCGAAAGATTTTGTGAGAAACGTTCTTTTTCTGTATACACAAAAACATTTTGTCAGTAAAAAGTCAAATAATTTGACTGAAAATTTATAAAATTGTCAAAATAATTAAAATTGTTATTAAAATTTCACTTATTATTTTAATTTTTAATTTTAAATGCAAAACAAAGTACTAAACTAACTGCTTTCAACAATTTTTATTTGTTTATGTGCACCAAATGAATTTTTAAAAATATTAAAAATTAAATATTTACTCTATTGAAATAGAATTATTCTCTTGAACTACTTTTGTAATGTTTACCTGATTATCTATTAATTTTTTTTTTGTATCCATCTATGTAAATTTTTTAATATTTATATAGATTTTTTATTCTAACACCTTAAAAATAAATTAATAAATAAAAAATTCATTTTGTTTTTTTTTTTTTATCCAAAAAAAAAAAAAAAAATATTCAAAATTCAAATTACAAAAAAAAAAAAAAATATTATCTGACAAAATGTTTTTGTTTGTTACACACAGATGACGAATGTTTCTATGTTGGATTGGGTCATGGCGCGGAATCAGCTAGGAAGGGAAAAAATTATGTTCCAAATGATTATAAACCATTCCAGTGCTGTCCAACAAAAATGGAGAAATCAACTAAATTACCAAAAATGTCAGCTCAAAGACTTGGTCATCAAAATTCAAATGATAAAAATAAAGAGAGTCCATTTAAATTTGCTCCAACAAAATCAAATCGTCATCATAAGAAAGATGATGATGACGACGATGATGATGATGATGATGATGATATTAAAATAAAAAAAACATCACAAAAAAGTAAATCAAAATCTTTACCACATCCACCATCAATTACAGATAAAAAAAAAACTCATATAAGCGGGACTAATGAATTCGCAAAAGTAACAAATCCGAAACTAACATCAACACATAAAGATAACAATAATGATAAAAAAAACATTAAAAAACAAAATATAATACCACCATTATCAAAAGATAAAACACTTAAAACATCACACAACAAAAAAAATGATGAAAAAATTGAAAATTTTAAAGAGGGTACGTTCGATTTTAAAAAATATCTGATTTGGTGATAAATTCTTTTTTTTTTTTTTAACTATAGTTTTATATAAACTTAAAATAATTATATATAAAAGACAAAAAACAAGTCTTTCATATTAAAACATTTACATAAAATGCATCATATGATATTATTTTGTCCTAATCCCTTAAATTATCTTTTCAGGTTTCGATTACATAAAAGATCATATTAAAAAAGTATATGATATTATATTCCAAGAAAGTTTATTCTGGACAAATCAAAATTAAAATCATGACGAAAATGAAACGAACTTAAAATCAGAAATCAAAACAAAATTAAAAAAAAATTTTTTTTTGTTCTTTCATAAAATTTGGTAAATTCAAATTTAACCTACCGCATAATATCATCATTATCTTAAACCATTAATTATAACATCTTTTATGGGGCCTAACATCCATTATAAAATCATAAAACTATTTGTCTGTCTCAGATTCTCTTTCAATCAAAAAAATCGCATTTTCGCCATTTTATTTAAAAATAAAAAAAAGAACGTAAATTCAAAAATATTAATTATGTAAAAACATCAAAATAACGGAATTTTTAATAAATTTTCGTTTTAAATTGAAACATCTTTCATACAACAAATTGTAAATTAAAACAATGTTTGCACACATTTTCATAATAAAAAAAAAGGAAAAAAAAAAAAGAAAAAAAATCTTTAAGTTTGATTACCCCTCGTTGTCAGAAATCATAAAACTATTGTCATTTTGTTTTGTCATTTTTGACTGACCAAAATAAATTGACAACAATTTTACCATTTCTAACAACGGGGTAACATTTTTATTTTGCACTTTATGGCTGTAAACATGAAAACTTCTCGATCATAATATACAAATTTTGTAAATAAAATTGTACATAAGTTCTTATTTCTTAACACACCATGAATGTTAAATGAGGTTTCGTTAAGAAATAAAAATGAGGGCTGTCATTTATGATTCATGGACGAGTAAAATATCAAACACACTTAATATATACAAACGATTTTTAAATATGCTTGCTATGCAAGATAAAATTTTTCCAATTCTTGTATCTTAGAACATGTTTTAAAAAACGTCCTTGATTATAAAATGTTCTTCATTAAAATATTTTGTATAATTAAAATTGTTAATTTATATTTATTTATTTTTTTTTTTTTTATATAAGATAACCATTTTATATTTATGATTAATATTATTATTTTTATTTTGTTTTATATGTAATTTGTTTAACACCAAGTTTTTAATTTATAAAACTAATTATTTAAATTCAAAATCAAAATATTTTAACAATCGTATATGGTTTTGATTTAAAATACATTTCATTCGAGCTTGTACCCAATTTAAAATCACAGTGACATAAGTTTATACTTTCAACTTGCCATTAGAAAATTTTTGGTGGTATAAGTCGTCTAGTCAATTTTTTTAAATATGCTTTTTTTTTATTAAATACATATTTAAATTTATTAAATAATTAAATTCTTTTAAAAGTTGACTCTTCAAAAAATTTTCTATTCAAATGCATTTTAATAAGTCTTTCATCTCTTTCATTCGCTGAAATCTGAACTAAAAGAAAAAAAAACAATAATTTCTAAAAATATAAAAAAACAACTACTTCGCCATCTACATACAACAGAAATCAACAATACAATACACATGAATCTGCAAAAATTAATTATTACAACTGAAAATCTCGCAAAATCTCGCTACAAATTTTAAAACTTTAATAAATAATATTTATTTATCGAAAATAAAATAATTAAATTTTTTTGTAATTGCAAATTGTTTGAATCTACTTTCTGTTTATAAAAATTATGCTATAATCATTTAGTTTGTTTATTCCTAAAAAAAAAATAAAAAAATAAAAAAATACTTAAAAAACTTTTGTTAAAAATTTTATTTTTATTATAAGTTTTGTTAAAATTATATGAAATTATTGCATAATATTTGTATTTATTATTTTTCAATGTTTTATATTTCTAATTAAAAGACTAAAACGATATGTTTTTCTGTAATTTATGAATGATTTATAAAATAAAAAAAAAATGTTTATCTATAATAGCACACCGGCATAATAATAATTTTATAAAACTATTTTAAAGTTTTTATAAAATAAACTTTTCAAGTTAAATATAAATTAATTTTTTTATTGTTATTTATTTCTCCGACTTCATTTTATCATTTACAGTTTAGCTTTCCATAAATTCAAAACTGCGGCAATACTACACCGATTTTGTTAAAAAATATATGTAGTAGATTTTATTGCAATTTTGAAATCAAACTTGTTTAGCATACAAACACAGCGCAAATAAACATTTAAAAAACTTAGGTACTTGACCAATAGATTTTGCCTTCTACCATGCGTTATTTAATCGTCCTATCTTATTACACAACTCGTAAAATAACTAATAGTTTCTAAATAGCTTAATACTAATATAATGCTACCGTAATTTCGATATCAGTGTCTTTGATTTTGAAATTTCAGTAATACAATATTAGCTCAAAAATTAGCCAACTAATTGTGATTGCTGAATTGTATAACTAAAAGATTTCAATGTAAGAATATTGGATTAAGAACAAACTACTTATATATATATCTAATAAGGGTATACACCCAAACATCAATTGAACGTATTCAGCTCTTGAAATTGTCATTGAAACTGAATAAGTCAAGTTGAATTAGGATCTGCGTTTTGATAGACAACCTTATTCATTTTAACTTTTTAAAATATATAAATTTGTCTTCGAAAATTTTTAACATATACCCGCTGTTGAAATAGTTATATTAAAATTGTAATAGTAAATTGAATTTAGTTATTTTTAAAATTAACGTAAGTTAGTATGTAACATAAATTCTTACCATAAAATATAACTATTACAATAATTTTTAACAAAAAATAATAATAATAATAATAATAATAATAATAATAAAAAATTAGAGAAATCAAGTTTTCGATATGTTGAAAAAAAAAAAATAAAAAGGAACCAAAGCAAGGCTTTCGAGATGTTCGTACAACTTATAAATAAATTCACAACTTGTTAAAATTTTCTAAAATATATATGTTTATTAATGATATATGCAGGAGACATGAGTTTAGGGCAGAATGTTTTTAACTGGATTGTGGCACAAAAAACTGACGAAACAATTGAAGAAATCGATAGAGACACTTTATTGGAATATATTGATACAAACGACTTCCTTGCGGTTGTATTCTGTAAGTATTGAAATTTTCTATATCGATTTAAAAAAAAACAAAATTAAAATGATAATGTTAATGAAATATATATGTATATATATATATATATATATATATGTATAGTCAAGGAGGAAGACACCGATACACCTCGCATATTAAGACACATTGAATTAATTGATGACGAAGCACTGGAATATGGAATTAAAATTTGCAAAATGAACGATAAATTAATGGCGAAAAAATATGGTTTCAGAAATCCTCCTGGTATTACTTACTTTAGAAAAGGAAAATATATCAATTACGATGGAGATATTGATGATGAGGAAGAAGTACTGGATTGGTTAACAAGCCCAGCTAATATGGAAATGACAGATCACATTGAACAAGTTAATCGAAAAATGTTTGAGAAAATACGAAAAACTTCTGATTACTTGGCAGTTTTCTTTTGTAAGTAAAATGTCCTATAAATTATTAGTTTCTTGCAAAATTTCCTCTTATTACTTTTTATAGTGCCCAAAATTAAAAATGACTGTTTTTATACCTTTTATTAAAACAGAACTAAGACAAGATATTTTTTCTTCATTTCTATGTTATTCAAAAATAATTTAATTAAGCAATATGAATTCGTTAAACAACAAAATGGCTCTTTATTTAAAAAGTTTTTAAACGTTAATCGATAATTTTGTCATTCAAAAATGACAAAGTCAAGATTTTTACAATGTGTCAATAACATTATTTGTCGTTTTTGAAGTTTTGAATTTCTTTTTGTTTTTCATTTTTTTCAAAAAAGTAACTAATATCTTTCACGAATCGTACTACTCATTTTAAAATTAGTAATACATATTGTTAATAATCCTCTCGTTATTTTCATTTACGAAATAGTTATTACTATTTCAAATACATTGAAATATACACTTAGGCGAAACTTGTGGTTCTTGCGCGCTTAATCGTAAATGTTTTGGGCTAATAAATATTTTTTGGTTCCTAAGAATCTAAACTCAACCCAATTACTCTAATTGAGCTGAAGATTTGCCAAATTTTCAAATAATTTCTAAAACCATGACCAGTCATGTCAATTTTACATTCAAGTAAGACAGTCAACTAGACTTCAACATTGCAATTATGCAAAAAAAACTCAAATTTTAATAATATATCGTCAGTATAATGGAACAGTCATGAAACTGCTTTTTTGAGAGTTTTGAATTATATATACAGAAAAATTCAGATTCTAAATACCTTCATGAAAAACCCACGAAAAATAACGTTGTAAATTTTACACGTAACTGCAAATTAACAATATTGTGTATATTTTTAAATGCGTTTTTCTCGGAACACAAAAAAAGCAGTTTGGCGACTCTACCATAATAAAATGATATGTTTCTTTCAAATAACATAACGAAAATATTTATATCGTGAATATATAACGAAAATTATATTGTGAATAATTGTAGAAATTTTAAAAATTCACAATTCGTGCAAATAAAAATTTCTGAGCCAGCATAGCTAACGCTATCTATCCTAATTTTATTCTGTAAAATCACAATATTGAATCGAGGCATTCCTTAAATATGTACATATGTATATGTAGGTATTATGGATATTTTATACATTAAATATTTCAAAATACAATTTTTTGCGTTTTTTACCACAAATAAAAACGAAACAGATAGCGATGACTGCAAACAGTGTCCAAGAGTTTTAGCTGAAATCGAACATATTGATGATGAAGCCGATAAAGCTAACATCGATTTCGTCAAAATTGATGATAGAGAGATGGCGAAAGAATTTGGTGTATTTGCATTACCTGCAATTGTATTTTTTAAAACATCCTCAAAAGAACCCGTTATTTATGCTGGTAATATAAATAATGTACAAAAATTTTCTCTTAATCAACATATAAGAATGGAAAAAAAGTATACATACAAAAAATGTATTCATAACAGGTGATCTATATGATGAAGAACAAATTTTAAATTGGTTATTAACGCAACAAAATCCAAGTGGTGATGTTATAGAAGATCTGGAAGGTGAAAATTTAATCAACTTAATTGAAGAATCCGGATCAATTGCCGTATATTTTTGTAAGTGTCAAATTTAGAGTTCAACGACTAAAATTTATAGGTATATTTTATTTTATTTTTTACATTCTAAATAAAAAAATTTAATTTTTATACAGAAGAAATATTATAGAATTTTACTACATAAAATTTATTCATATTTCAATAATGTTTTTTTCCATAATTCAACAACTTTTTTTTAAATATAAATATAGTTGTTGGACATAATACTGTGACTAACAAAATTATACATATTTCCTTTAAATATATATATATAAAAATATATATATATATAATACGTATATGAAAAATGATCATATACATATTCTGTATTATATTTGATCAAATGTACATAATATATAATAATCTTTTAAATTTAGAAATAAGTTAATAAGGACTTTAATATTTATCAAAAACAAATCTAAAAAAATCAAAAATCTTAAATAGAAAAGCAAAATTATTAAAAAATGCATTTAGGGAACAAAACTCAATGCGATATTTGTAACTCTAAGGCTATGAGAAGAGCTCGTTTAAAAAAAGAACGTGAGCAACAGCAACAACAAGATGTTCCATCTGCTGCTGCATTAACGGGCGAAGATTCAGAACATGCAGAACATCAAGCTGCACACCATGAAGAGGGTATAATATCAATCGCAGAAGTTAAAAATCCTTATACCTAAAAAAAATTTATTTTAAAAATATGTTTCACCGACATATACTACCCGTAAATGTAGTATCCAACTCCCTTAAATAATTGATATGTTATAAGTAGTGTCTACCAAATTGTTTACGTATATTAAATATTTTTCATATTTTTGTTTATTTTTTTATTTTGTAGTACATATATTAAAATGTAGTCTCCTCACTGCAATGTAAATACTTTTGAACAATAACAAAAAAAAAACTCCCTGTTTAAAATAGAGATATGATTGTAGTATAGTAATGAAATTTTGCTCATCAAAAAACTGAAAAATAATAAGCATTCAATTTTAATTTATTCCTTAGAATATTCATTTAACGTCGATGACATGATTTACGTTTTTTGTCCAATAAACGAATTAATTATTGAACGTAGTTAAATATACCTTTTTTTGTAATACGGACAAACTTCCCTCACTCGAACCGGTTATGCCTTCAGCTTCTTCTTAAATCGAACTTGTTTTTGTATTAACATTTTATTTTTTATTACGTTTGTTAATTTCGAACTAATTTTTAAAATTTATCGTATTTCGAGTTATGGAAGTTCCGCTGTATAATGTTGCGTATGGTGAATTTTTTGTACACAACTTTAAATCATATTACATGTACAATTTTGGTTTCCTAACACAAAAATTAAGTCATTTTATATGTCTTATATTAAAAACCTAGACATACTAATCTTATATTTTTGTGTACCTAAATATTGTTAAAGAGCACGCTTTATTTTTTTGTTTTTAAAACTTATTTTTTATACGCATATAAAAAAATTTTATTTATATGCAATGATTCCCGAAACAATATACATATATGTATGTGAAAAATTCATGTAATTGAATCCAGAGTTTTTATATTTTCCTCACTAATAAATTTTACTATCTAAAAAACACATTAAATAACAACAAAACTAAGACTATCTGCAATATTTTAAGATACTGACGAATGCGAACAATGCACGAAAGTACTTGAAGAATTAGAAAACATAGATGATGATTGTGACAAACATGGTATTGTATTTGTCAAAACAAAAGATTTTACTGTTGCTGACGGATATGGTGTGCATTCTTACCCAGCACTCGTTTATTTTGAGAGTGGAATTCCAAATGTTTTTGAAGGTATATTATCGAAATGAAATTGAAAAAAAAAATCTAGTAATCGACATTGTTATATATCTATATATACAAAAGGCGAACTGAATGAAGAAGAGGAAGTTTTGCAATGGTTAATTACTCAAAAGACGGAAGATAGAATTGAGCTTATTACAAGACAAATGTTAGAAAATATGGTTGAAGAAACTCAGTATTTAGCCGTTTACTTTTGTAAGTAAATCAATTAACACTTGCAAATACTTATTAAATTTTGATTGAGTTTTATTAACAATTAGATAAAATGAACTGCCATATTTGTGACGAAATATTGGAGGGACTAGAATTGATAGATGATGAGTGCGATGTTTTTGGTATTCATATGGTAAAAATTCAAGACCCCCAGTTAGCAAAACGTTATTCAATAAAAACATTCCCAGCATTAGTTTATTTCAGGTATGAAAAATTACAATTTAATTTATAAACCTCATGTTAGTAACAAATATTTGTTTTATAAAATTCTTATTTATAGAAATGGAAATCCATTACTATTTGAAGGCGATCTTCAAAATGAACAGTCCGTATTAGAATGGTTAATTGATGATGATAATAGAGAATTAGCGGATGAGATAGAAGAAGTTAATGACAGAATGTTAGAAAGATTAATGGACGAGTCTCCTTTATTGGTTGTATTCTATTGTACGTAAATATTAAAATTAGAAAATAAAAAATTAATAGTTTCATTATGTATTAATATTACAGATGATGAAGATTGCGCAGAATGTGAGGAAATATTGGAGGACTTAGAAGAAATTGATGGGGAAGCTGATATGTTTGGAATTGATTTTGTTAAAATTGCTAGTCAAGAAGCTGCTCAAAAATACGAAATCGTTAATATTCCGTCATTGGTTTATTATAGGTGATAGAATATTTAATTTTAATAAATATTGGCATTAAGTAAACCGATTACTTTAAAAAAAAATAGAAAACGAATTCCTGTATTCTATGATGGCGATTTACATCAGCACGAAAAAGTTCTAGTTTGGTTAACATCACAAGATGTATTTGAAATAAAAAATGAAATCGAAGAAGTTAATCGGAAAATGTTAGATAAACTTTTAGAAGAAAACGAATTTTTAACAGTCTATTTCTGTAAATATTTTATGAAATTAATGTTTGTATAGTGAAATTAGAAAAAGTTGCTATTTTTATTAGATGAACATGGACATCCGGATAGTGCATTAGCACTGGAAAAACTAGAAAATATTGACAGCGAAACTGATAATCTTGATATAACATTTGTGAAAATGGCTGATTCACGATATGCTAAAAAGTGGGGAGTCACGAAATTACCTGCATTGGTATATTTTAGAAAACGGTTTCCTAGCATATATAGAGGTAAAAACTGAATGTTTCTAAAAATATTTTATATTTTAATTGAGAAAATGAAAAATTTTTATACTTGTAATTATTCTTCTACTATGTAGAAAATCGTATGACCTACAGCCTACTAAAAAAATGAAGCTAACAATAATAACTTTTCTTATTTTTATCAATTTAATTTTTCAAAATAAAGTACTCACATTATTTTACTGCTTTTTTTTTTAGGCGATCTGTTATCAGAAGATGAAGTAATGGAATGGTTGAGAAAAAATCGTTTTCGGCAACCAGAATTAAATATATTTATGTACGCTCTTATAGCACTTGCTGTAGGATTTATGTTATACACAGCTTTTCTACTACAGTGTTTCAAGCCTAGTCCAGCTCCACCAGTGCAGCATCCAAAACAGACTTAATAATAAAATACTTGAGAAAATTTAAAACATCATGTAATTTTCTTTTTTTTTTGTTTCCGAAGTTATGTCCGGTATTATATACATTCATGTTAAAATAGTTTTATCAAGCTCATTATATAGTGTTTATTCATACAAAAATAACCAATTAATAGTTGCATTTTCTGGATAAATGAAAATTATTAAATAATTTGATTTCGAACATTTTTAATTAATGTGTATGTAGGTACGTGGAGAGAAAAAATTGTTTTAAGTATTTGCACTAGTTAATCGAAACACCCAAGAGTTTTTTTGAATAACTTTTCCAAATCACAATTTATTCACCATAATTTTATGTCAAAGGCGGTTTTCATTAAGTTTCTTTTCAATTTTAGCACCTACATAATTGTAAAACACCATACAGCTTTTTGAAAAATATGAAACTTTAATATTTTTATAATTATAATCATTCATAAACTTTCCAGTATTCCAGAATATTTAAGGTGAAAGCCGAACAAGATCAGTTTTTCGCGGCGAAATGCCAAAGTTCATATATGTATGCATATATAAATAGACTGCATAGAATGAAGTGAAATTACCCCCGCGAATTTAACATCGGTGCTATAATAACTTAAAACTTTATTTTACTGCTGGCGTTTCTTTGACGTCATCTGTTTCCATGGGTGTGTAACATTATTTATGCAAATTATTGAACAATTGAGTTCGTTGTTCCACTCTTGTTCTTTGTTAAAAACGAAAACTGCTGCCATTTCCGTTCTTCGCTTTGGTTTTTTTTTACACTTAAACTACTTTTTAATTTCAATAGACTACTCTTTTTTATATAAAATTTAATAAAAGGTAATTTGGTGACATTTATTTTTAACAAAACCTATGTTTCATATTATGTTTTTATTATAAATTAAATTTTAAATAGTGGGTGTTTTTTAAAATATTTAAAAATTAGGTTTAATTGTTGCTTCTTTCACTAAAGGTGATTCCCAATATACGGAGCATTTTTAATAAGTTATTAAACATTTTTCATCAGATCCCTTAAATATACCATATTAAATCCCAACTCCTTAATAAAAAATAATAAGCCTTGTTTCAGAGTGTGTCTTTTTTTTTTTTAATAATAATTCAATTTTTTGACAAGGTAGGGGGTCGTGCAAACTTTTAAAAAATTTTGAATTTTTTGTTAAGGTAGGGGGTCGTGCAAAATTTTAAAAAATTTTCAATTTTTTGACAAGGTAGGGGGTCGTGCTGAATTTTAAAAAATTTTCGATTTTTTGACAAGGTAGGGGTCGTGCAAAATTTTAAAAAATTTTCGATTTTTTGACAAGGTGGGGGATCGTGCAAAATTTTAAAAATTTTGAATTTTTTGACAAGGTAGGGGATCGTGCAAAATTTTAAAAAATTTTCGATTTTTTGACAAGATAGGGGTCGTGCAAAATTTTAAAAAATTTTCGATTTTTTGACAAGGTAGGGGTTCGTGCAAAATTTTAAAAAATTTTCGATTTTTTGACAAGTTAGGGGTTCGTGCAAAATTTTAAAAAATTTTCGATTTTTTGACAAGGTAGGGGATCGTGCAAAATTTTAAAAAATTTTCGATTTTTTGACAAGGTAGGGGGTCGTGCAAAATTTTAAAAATTTTGAATTTTTTGACAAGGTAGGAGGTCGTGCAAAATTTTAAAAAATTTTCGATTTTTTGACAAGTTAGGGGTTCGTGCAAAATTTTAAAAAATTTTCGATTTTTTGACAAGGTAGGGGGTCGTGCAAAATTTTAAAAATTTTGAATTTTTTGACAAGGTAGGAGGTCGTGCAAAATTTTAAAAAATTTTCGATTTTTTGACAAGTTAGGGGTTCGTGCAAAATTTTAAAAAATTTTCGATTTTTTGACAAGGTAGGGGGTCGTGCAAAATTTTAAAAATTTTGAATTTTTTGACAAGGTAGGAGGTCGTGCAAAATTTTAAAAAATTTTCGATTTTTTGACAAGTTAGGGGTTCGTGCAAAATTTTAAAAAATTTTCGATTTTTTGACAAGGTAGGGGGTCGTGCAAAATTTTAAAAAATTTTCGATTTTTTGATAAGTTAGGGGTTCGTGCAAAATTTTAAAAAATTTTCGATTTTTTGACAAGGTAGGGGATCGTGCAAAATTTTAAAAAATTTTCGATTTTTTGACAAGGTAGGGGGTCGTGCAAAATTTTAAAAATTTTGAATTTTTTGACAAGGTAGGAGGTCGTGCAAAATTTTAAAAAATTTTCGATTTTTTGACAAGTTAGGGGATCGTGCAAAATTTTAAAAAATTTTCGATTTTTTGACAAGGTAGGGGGTCGTGCAAAATTTTAAAAAATTTTCGATTTTTTGACAAGGTAGGGGATCGTGCAAAAATTACACGTTGTCAAAGAATAAGTCAGTATTATTTTTTGATAGAGCTTCTTTAAAACTACCCTTGAGGCTTATTATTCATTAAAATTTAATTGAATTATTTTTTGATTTTTCTTTTGTGATTGGACCTGAAGTTTTTTTATTTTTAAAGTTTCTAATTGGTTGAAAATAAAATAGAGCATCATAAATGGTTGCAAAATCTCATCCAATAATTGTTAAAAATATAAGTTACTGAGTTAATTGTATTATGAAAAAGCTGTAATATATTAAGAGAGTTCATTTACAAATGTATAGTTCCAAAAAACACCACTAGGTTGTGCATTTTTTGTGTAATATGTCAACTTCTCATTGTTTGTTGGGTAAAATTGAAAATACTCTCTTTATACATTGATCAATTGATAATTATCAATCAATGTTTTTGTCAATCACGTTGTGATTGGATTTTAATATTTTTTTTGTATAATTGAAAAGTAAATTTTAATAATAGCGAGGATTCAAGAAGTAAAAATTAAATAATTGAAACATTAAAAATATATTTAAAAAAATGAACATTTATAATGAAAATAAACGAGTGTCCAACAAAAATTTGGAAGAAGAATTATTTGAATTTGATGAAGAGGAAGATGTTTCTAATCCAGAATTAAGCGCAAGCGATATTGAAGAAGAGGACGTTGAAGATGGGATTCCAGATCAAAAAGCATGGGGTAAACGACGTATACAATATTACGATGCTGATTTCATTGATAAAGACTACAGCACTTACACGAAAGAGGAGGAAGATCTAGCCTTAGCCGAAGAACAGGAAGCTCAACTTATCCAAGAAAGATTAGCCAAGGAGTTGGATGAATTTGATTGCGATTTACAATTACCCAATTTTATGAAAAAAGACAAAAATGAAAGGGAAGCTCTTGAAACAAAATTGAAAGTAGATTTTTCAAATCTTAGTGATATGCAAAAATTACAAATATTTGAAAAAGATTCACCAGAATTCGACGGCCTTATCTCTGATTTCCAACATAACTTAAATGAATTGAAAGAATTTTATTTACCTTTATTAAAATTCGCTAAGCTAAGTGAGCAAAATCTACCAATTTTCAAAATTTTAGAAGTTAGAGAATCGACAACCTACTTATATTTAACCAACGTTGCTTTTTATTTGTACTTGAAAGTATATAAAATACCATTTAAAGGACATCCACTAGTCAAAAAGTTAGCACAGATTAAGCAACTATTATCTGAACTGGATAAAAAAATAGAATGTTTCGTTCCGCAGCTTCGTAATCTAATAGAAAAATTAGAAAGTGGTGAACACGTATTTGTTTCACCACACAAAATTGTACCAATACACACAACATCCGAAATTAACAATAGTGGTGAATCGGATAACCCAGAACAAGATGCACCGGAGGAATCGTTGGACTTGCGCAGAGACATAACTTATCAAATTGCTAAAAATAAAGGTTTAACACCGCATAGGAAAAAAGAAAATAGAAATCCTCGCGTAAAACATAAGATGAAATTCAAAAAAGCAATTATCCGAAGAAAGGGAGCCACACGTACTGTTCGTAAGGAAACAAAAAGATATGATGGTGAGATTTCCGGAATTAAAGCAACTGTTAGAAAAAGTATTAAATTTAAATAAAAGTTCGTTTAGATATCTTTATAAGTATGTACATTTTCGTTATTTCCAATAAAGTTTTATGAATATTCTCTAACAAAGATAAAATTCTTATGATTTAGAAAGCAAAAAATTTGGTAAACTGGACAATATTCTGTCAAAATTTAAAGTCTGGAAATTTACATTCGTAAAACCTTTAAATAACAACATGGTATCAAATTTTCTTGTCATGCACATCTGCTTTATATTTAATTACCTGTAAGAATAGCATTTTATTTACTGCACAAGTTTGCGCGGTCAAGAATGATAAGATTGTGACAATTAACTTAATTCAACTGAGCTGGTTTTTTTGAAAGTGGTATAAGTCCATTTTTAGTATATTGGGATATTTAATGGTTTGGGTTTGAATCAATTAAAAAAATATTGACTTTGGCCAACATAACTTGGTTATTATGCTATTACAATCGAGTTCTATTTAGAACTATTTCACACAGTTATTGTGATTGTAACTGTGGGAAGAAGGTAACTATAGCTCATTAAAATTACCATTAACTTAGGTTTTTTAAAAAATGGACTCATATTAATGAGAAAATGACGACGTTTTCATGTTCTCAATATTTAAAGTTTTTTCAAGTTTTATAAAGTAAAATTTAGTGTTTTGAAAACTTAAAGTCTTACAGCTATAGAAGCGAAGCATGTATGTGTTTCTTGGTTATGTCAGAAGGTTTTATTTTCCAATAAAAATTTTTTTCAAACAGTTTGTGAAAAACACTATAGTGGAAATTAATATGTATCATGGTTCTTGAACAGATCTAGTTTTACAAAACGTCACAAAATTCAACATATGGATTTTAGATTAGTTTGACAGCAATCTAACATAGGCCATCCAAAATTCATTACATAGGAAGAAGCGATACCAAGAAATACATAATATAAATATTTAAAGTTATTTTTAATTTTGTTGAATGATATAAGCAATATTTTTTATATCGTAAATCAAGATCGAGCAAATTTGAAGGAAACAAATGTTTTAGTACTGGTTGGGAGAGAAATAAATCAAATGATTTTTCACATACATTTAAAAAGTTGAAAATATTGAAAATTAAATATTGAAGAAATTTACATATTGCATAAATATACGGCCTTAGCAAATCTTAGATTTATGGCATTTTTTAATTTTGAATGAAAGTGTCAGTTTTATGTATATAAACAACTACGGGTAAATAATTTTACATACTTTGTACTATAAAATTTTTCGACATGAATCCATATTTTTGAAATACGCACATTATTTGTACAACTTCTGTTGTTTTTAGGTACTTCATCCTAGCATGAAAATAGACAAAGCTGTTGCATGGTAAATTTACACCAACTTCAATAAATCAATAAAAATATTGATAAAAACAAAATTTATATATTTAGGTATCAAAAAAAAATTGGAACTTACGATAAGGAACAATGGGAGAAAACTGTTGAACAAAAAATATTAAATGGAATTAAAAATTTAACGTTAAAAAATGCGAAGCCAAAAACTGAATTTATTGACGTTGATCTTGTAAGAGGTAGATTATATATTTCATTGAAAAAATATCAAGTTTCTGCTTTCTAATAATAATGTTTTAAAAATTACTTAGGTTCCACATTTCCAAAGGCCAAGCCAAAACAGACATTATTAACCGTTGTAAGATTGGCGATTTTAAGATATTTTTTTCTCCCATTATATGCAAAATGGTGGATTTTACAAACTTCACCACAAATTTTCCTTGTTTTACTAATATTATATATAACTCAACTAATAAGTTGGACTGCTTATAGCTTTAGTTTTCGGCATAATAACAGTAAAAATTTTGATGTAAAAAATTCACGTTAAAAATGCCTTAAATACATGAATTTTTTTTTTAGTACTCGTATCCCACGGCGGAGATAGTTATACCTATATTATTAGGCTTAACACTAAGTTTAATTCACTCCCAAATAGTTGCTACAAGTTCAACCAATACTAATACTAGAGCTAGAAGGAAACTTTCTTTTAACTCCTTTGGAAACAAAAGTAAGGATACGATAAAGAGGAGAAAGAAATTATCAAAGTAAGGTTCAATTTGTAGGTGTTTGTAGGTAATAATTTTATTGGGGTCATTTCTATTTTAGAACTCGTCCAACAGATTTGGGAAACATTCAAATAAACAAACTTTCTAACAGGCCATGCTTAATAAATCAAATTAAATGCGATAATATTCCGAATCTAGATCATATTGATTCAAAGCAAAATCTTGAAAGTAAGGAAAGAAACATACAAGAATCATTAAAAGTAGAAGATAAAAATATTATTAACGTTAGTCCAAAAAAGCGTAATGTGTATTGGGATTCCCCAGTTCACAATTATGTCGTTGAATCTAGTCTCAACCCACTTGAAATAGAATTGAATATGACCAAGATTGAGCAATCTGAAAGCATAGAAGAAACAGTTAAAAATTTTTTGGACGATTTAATTTCAAAAATAAACCATTCTGAAATTCGTTCGACCATTAAACAAAAATATGTCGATGATGACGGTTTCGAAAGTTTAAATGGAAAAAGTTCGAGTGGAGAAGAAATGCAAAACCAAATGAAACGTAGCATCTCTAAAATATGCAAAGAATTCGTAAATCAACATCATGGCCTGAGTGATATGCATGTGGTAGATAACTTATCCATTTTGCGCAATAGAAAAAACCGTTTTTCATCAGAATCAGACATGGAACATAAGTTGGAAAGTAAACTTGGAAATAAATTTGGAACATTTAAAGTTATAGATAAAGCAAAGAATCCGAAAAAACATGACGAAAGCAGCGAAATGGACGAGGAAGATGATGATGAAGATAAAAACTTGCGTAAGAGAACTTTTGATATAAATAGTACTGAATGTACAACATCTGCAACAGAGTGGCTTGGGATAACTACCAACAGTAAGTGGACAATTCTAATGGAATTGGTTTCTTGTCGAGTTTACAAGATTTTGCAAAATATCAAATTACATAAATTTGTGGTAATAATTGATTAAAGTTATATTAATATGAAAACTTTTTAGGTGATGAGTGCAGTTACAGCTCGGAATTCGAAAATGGGGACGGAAATAGCTGGCAACAAGAAAATACGCCTAGTATTATATTGAATTCTGGTGGATCCAGTGATAAGAGTTGAAATTTTGCTATCTTATTCAAATAATATGTTTATTTTAGTTTTTGTTTAGTTAGTTGCACTATTTGGGACGATTTGGAAATGAAAAAGGCTGAAATGACCGTGTTAGACATCTCCACTAGTATAATTGAAAAAGTAGAAGCAATGCCAGAAACTTGTGATTATATTTATATTGGATGTGCATTTTCATTATTACTTTCTTTAGCACCAACTTTATGTCGTTTATGTGAGGTATCCGTAAAAGCTTTCTTAAATTGTTTTGATATTAACACATAAAAAATTTAAAGATAACTATTGACGAAGAAAATTTTGCGGAAATAAATTACTTGGAAATTCCCCAATTGTTACTAGAAAAAGCGTCTTTTTCAATAGTCACGCTCTTATGTTTCGCATTTGGAAATACTAAATGGGAAAAAACGGTCTTAATATTAGGATTTCTACAAAGATTTTGTTTGAATTTTCTACTGTTTTTCCTATTTGCAGTAGCAGAGAGAACTTTTAAACAAAGGTAAAGTGCGATAAAATTTGATTTTATTAAAAAAAAAACAGAATTATTGCTAAACATTAACGAACTTATTGTAATCCGATTGTTGTTTTTTTCGAATTTAGGTTCTTATATGCAAAACTTTTTTCGCATTTGACATCATCACGCAGAGCGCAAAAATCGAATTTACCGCATTTCAGATTAAACAAAGTTCGAAACATAAAAGCTTGGTTAAGTGTTAGAGCTTATTTAAAGGTGTTTTTATTTTATATAAAATTATTTATTTATATAAAACTTGGTTCTAATATATATTTATTTTAGAGACGCGGCCCTCAAAGATCTATTGATGTTATTGTTTCTGCAGCGTTCATGATAACGCTCTTGTTGCTAGCATTTTTAAGTGTGGAATGGTTAAAGGAGTCCGTGACCTTTCACTCTCAATTTACATTAGAAGCACTACTGTGGTCGTCTGCTTTAGGAATCTATTTATTAAGATTCATGACTCTGGGAAATAAGATCAATAGAAAATATCGCAGCGTTTCAGTTTTAATAACTGAGCAAATAAATTTATATCTCCAGGTCAATTTGCAAGTAAAATATAAAAATAAAAATAATTTTAAAATAATTGTAGATTGAGCAAAAGCCAAACAAGAAAGAAGAACTTATGGTATCAAATAGCGTTTTGAAGCTTGCTGCTGATTTATTGAAAGAACTGGAATCGCCTTTTAAAATATCAGGCCTAAGTGCAAATCCGTACCTGTATACAACAATAAAAGTAGTCATTTTATCAGCTCTTTCCGGAGTTCTTAGTGAAATGTTTGGTTTTAAATTAAAATTACATAAAATCAAAATCAAATGAATTATTTTTTAAGCTATATTTTCAAGGTTAGAAGTGTAAAAAATTATTGTGATAACTTTGAAAAATTCTTTATATTTTCTTATTTAGTGTTATCTATAAAGAATGTAATGAACTTAGCCATATAATTTAAATAGATATTCTTTTAGATGCAACTAAACTATTTTATTACTTTTTCTTTTATAAAATAATTTGAAATAAACGTAGGTAACTAGGTACCCACTTTATGAACATAAAGGTGCAAATTATAATTTACATAGAAAACAATAATTGAATTATATTTTATACAAAACTATGTAAAACTATTAAAAAAAATAAATAGCACATTTTTTTTAAATATCTTTTAAGGGAATCCATTCTATTTTGGGTTTAAACATGAAATTCAATTTATTTAAATTCTCTAGCATTGAAACTTGTTTTCTAACATAGTTTACCAATTTTTCTAAACGCGTATAATCGTCACATTTCTGTTCAAAGAATCTTCTCCATAACGCAGATGCTAGAACTATATCACTCGATTGGATGCCTTCATCATAGGCAATCAATGCAGCTTGAAATTGTTCTGATAACATTTCAATTTGGGCACGAGTTCCGGATGGATTGTGAGCCTAAGAAATTAAAATAGAGATATCCAAAAATTTAAATTAAATATTTACTCCTAATTTTTTCGCTCTCGCATTAACGTCTGCCCACATTGCTTCAACTATAGTATTACGTAAAAATCTTCCATCTTGTCCCGTTTCTGAACCTTCCGCCATCGCTCTCAATAGAAGCATCCAAATGTGTAATTCAGTCACAATAAACCACGAGTTAAAAGTGTTTGGTAAGTTAAATGTTTCAAAAAACTCTATATAGTTTAATTTGTCAGCAACATTCTCATACAAAATATAACCACTTACTTTTAAACGCTTAAAATTTTTTTATAAGGTGAATATTATTAAAAAAATAATATTTCTCAGCAATTTGTTTAATACCTACCGGCCTTGATTCTTCAGCGCCACTTATTTTCTTCAATAATCTTTTAATGAATCCAGCATTTTCTTCTGATTGTGAAATGTTTGCATTAAAGTTACTGCACAGTCTTGCGGGAACTGTTGTTATCAATTCATTCATAAATCTTTTGTCAGCTAACGAATTCAAAACATAACATTGCGCTTTCTAAAAATCAATTTTCGTACTATTAATTATTTGATATTGAATTTACATCAAAAATATTACAAATAAAGGCAATGTAGATCGTTGTATTATACGATTTTGGTGAATTAATTTTACAAAATTCATTCGAATGACTTTTGTTATGAAACCCCACGGCCCGACGCATGTAGTATAGTAACCAAAATATAATAACAAAATATTTGTGACATTAAACAATTTAAATAAAAATGTAGCAAACTCGATATTTGCAAAATGTAGTAAACTCAATAACTTTCAGAAATCTAAGAAGAATTAGTGTTGGAGAACTATCGATATATTTAACTATCAATATTTTTTATATATCGGCACCCTGCATTGTATTTGTAAGGAAACATTAAATAGTATTATTTACTCCATGACAATGTTATAACAATCTAACATGGAATCAATAAAACAGTATAAAAATAATATTTTTTGACAGATATCACTTGTATTTAGGCTTATCAATGGCTTACGCAGGCATTATAAGGTGCATAATATTAACTTCAAATATTTTTATTATTTAAAAAATATTTTTCTATTGTTTATTTTATTGATAAAAAAATTGTTTGTTGGTTTGAAATTTTGAATTTGTCTTTATATTACTTGCTCAAAAAAATTTTTTTATAAGTTGCCAGTAAACTGGCAAGTTGAAATATTTCAGCATATTTATAAAACTATTGCATACATTGAAGCATTTATTCCAATAAATCGCTTATGGGAGCGTTCGATTAAACTCAATATTCAAACGACATGTTGTGTGTTAAGCTTCAACTTTGACATGACTATTACCAAGCGAATAATAAGAAATTAAGAATATTCCTTTTTGGGGATGAACAAGTAAATTACAAGAAAACGAAAAATTAACGCCTGTATTATTAAAATATTTATAGTACGTACGTAAAAAAATAATGTAATGGAATAATAAAAACGATATTGTTTAAAGCCATCGATAGTATAAACAGTTGAAAACTATCGATAGGGCCATCGATAGTTCTCCACCTTTACATTAATGATCTTATGACAGAAAGGAGAAGGAACAACAAAAAATAAAAAAACCTCAAGTAATTTAACAAATGAAAAGTATTTTCATTACTTTGAAATGGATATTCTTAAACCTGAAATTCTACAAATTGGGAAACGTATGTATAGACTAAATTCATATAGGAATTACTCCCAAATTGCTAATCAAAAACATGAAAACGATTTGAAAAGTTATGTGGAAGAAGGCAAGTACATATGTGTATAAGGAGGCAATAATGCATAGCTGCACATGCAGTGATATTTTAGCTAATACATATGTAAATGTTGATTGCTAAAAAAAATTCTTGGTGTTTTATGTATTTTTCATAATTTATATTAGACATTATGTAGGTCATTAACAAAATATAATGTTTTAGATCTTTATAGTGAAGATGAATTTGAAGAAAGAGAAATAACTTTCAAAAATGGACAATTTGAATATTCTTTTCATATACCAAGGTATGTAATTTTTCTAATCATACAGATTTAACATCTATTTGAATATAATATTACGAATTTTACAGCTTATTTTATTCACATATAATAGGGACTAAAGGTACTACTAAGAAAAGAATTGAATCCCAAACAAATACGCGCATAATTGTGCCAAAACTTGGAACTCAAGGGGATATAACCGTTTTAGGTGAATACTAATGACTTAAAATATTAAAGAATAGGAACTCAAAATTAATTTTTGCAAAAATGCGTACGTGCAATATGTTATTTTAGGAAAATCCAGAAGTAATGTTAATTCAGCCTGTAGAAAAATAGATTTAGTTGTATTAGCTTCAAGAAGTAAAATTCCTTCAACACATTTCGTTAATGTTCCATTTAATAATACTGCTATTATGGAATCTTATAAAAGATTTAGAGTAGGTAACCCAAAAGCAAAAATAAATATAAAAATATAAATAAAAAATCTTTTTAGAATGAAGTAATTACTCATCAAAATTTAACAGGACTTGATCCAAACTTTTTTATTCAACCAGAAAAATTACATTTAACCCTAACTGTCTTATCACTAATTGACGACAACGATAGGTTAATGGCATCACAAATTTTAAACGAATGTGAAAAAACTTTTATACGGTACAACAATATTATGTATTTTTTTATATTTCTTACTAATTTATTTTATTTTAGACAAATACTGAAAAAGAATGATGGAGAAATATATCTTCATTTAAAAGGATTAGAGATAATGAATGACGATCCATCTTCAGTTGAAGTGTTATATGGTGTCGTTAAAAGCGAAGGCTTACAGGAAATTGCCGATGGCATACTAGATCTTTTTTGTAAAAATAATTTAACCCAAAGAAAAACTGATAATGTTAAGTTACATGTAACTTTAATAAACTCAAAGTTTTCTCAAAAGGATGACGACAATACGCAACGCAGAATAACTTTTGATGCTAAGGATATATTGCAAAAATACATTGATTATGATTTTGGAATACAAAAATTGCATGAAATTCATTTATCGCAGAGGTTTTCTACTGGATCAGATGGTTTCTATGAAGCGACTTCTATTTTAAAATTATATTAAAATAAATTATAATAAATTGATTAAAATGATTAATAATATTTTACAAAAATTGTTTAAATGATTAAGTAAATCAAAAAAATGTTTTTCCAATTTTATACATTTACTTTTAAATGTACATAGCATTATAAAAATGTACTCAAAAAATTCGGTATTTCATTGAATTTAATTTAAAAATTTTAAGATAAAAATCGCATATGTTCGGTTTACCATATTAAAAAACTTCAAAAAGTGCTAGACAGGCAAATAATTACATTTTTGTTTAATATACATATATGAAAGTTAATAATGTTATATTAAACTTGGTACTATTCAATAAACAAAGATGCTGCATTTGTACACAGTGTACATAAATATGCATGTATGTTCCTACACCTAGAAGAGCAATTTTTTTCCAATTTAAACGATTATAATTAAAGAGATCCAGATAATCTTTCATTACAAATGCTTTGTGATTGTACCCAATGTTAAATATATTAACATTAGGTACATACATAAGTGTTTTTCCAGGTTAATCTCTGGAATATGAAAACTCCCTTCAAAATACAATCAACCAAACCTTGCGAATGCAAAATCATTAGTATAAAAAAGGAGAAAGCATATACAATTGGAATTAGCATGACCAATGTTAGACCATCTTCTCTGTACAAAACGTGCAGAAACCAAAACGTTACTTTTAAAAATCAAGATCAAAGTTAAACAAATACTAAATAGTTATATTTTTTAAATATTTCGAAAAAATTTATAATTTTTAATTATTTATCTTATTAATTTCTCAATTCACAAGTTTTCCCCTAGCCTTTTTTTTCTTTTTTTTTCCTTTTTAATTAAACAAATGCATTTGATTCCAATATAGAATTTTGGAATGATTACGACCTTTACAATACGAAATATATTGAAAAATCAGATGTTTACTCTTTATTAATTTCTATTATATATCAATGTATGTGTATGTGTAAACCAAAACGCCCATGCATCTTCTAAATATTTAAATTATTTTTTCTCAATGATTATTCTATAAAATATTTTTAAATGAAATTGTATATTTTTAGAACACCGACACAAAAAAACAACGAATTTAATTCTTGTGTCAATAAAGTTGATGATTTTCAATATGAACTTTAAATAAAATTTGTTCTATTATTTAATTTTTAAACAATAAACTTTTAATAAATTTTTCATGTAAGTAATATTTAATTTACGGAGAATTTTAATTATTTTTCAAGAAATATTTTTAATGTGTTCTTGATTTTCGAAAATACATGAATACTTGTGTATGATTGTGTATATATTGTTACATATGAAAATTTATAGTAGTGTACATTTTTATTCACTAATAAAATTTGAGTAAAATAATTATGGGACTTATATACTTTATTTGTTAAAAATAATTAAAATTTTTTGGACAAATCGAAAGTTTCAACTGTAAATTATAAACATTATATTATAATATACAACACAAAATAAAATTATAGGGTTCAAATATGTTATGAAAATCAATGATGCATTAGCAAGTTCCTAAAAAGTAGTACAAATTCTATAATTCGGATCCAAAGTTTCTTTGAATCTCTTCCTCTTAGCGAATTATTATTCCTCAATTTTCGAAAATTTTCAGGTTTCCTTCATCTTTTTACTGGACACTTAAAGCTCTATGTAATAATAATCGTTTTCTTTGTACACAAGACCAACACAACTGGGTCTCCTTATGCCTTAATTCAATCGTATAGGAATCTCGTTTTATTAGTCCAATCAAGAAATCTAGCATACTTTTATTTACTTTAAAATTCCTCCTAATCTTATGCAAAATTCTTATAATAAAAAAAAAATGTAAAAGAAAACGTTTTTTATTATCATTCACAATTTTGTTTTTTTTTCCCCAGTTGGCAAAGTTTGAAGTTATTATTTTCTCGCATGTTGTAAATTTGCTTCGTTTAAATTTTAATTAAATATTTTAGGAATAAAAATTAACAAGATATTCAAACAAAGCTTTGAGCCGAGCCTGCTTAATTGAAAATGGAGCTTTCTCAACCATTATGGTAAACAATTGAAAAGTTTTAGGTAATAGAATTAAGTTCCATTCTGTCATCATAAACGAAATCATTTATTATTTCTAATATGAAAATTAGTTTTTTTATATTGCAAATATCAGAAACAAATGGTAACTCTATAGTTCTATTTAGATAACTATTTATATTTTTCGATTTAGAATGTTGTATTTTTGAAATTTATTTTGTATTTTTAAATTTTATATACACTTTCTGTCGGATTCAAGCATGAAAATATATTAACCTAAAATCTAATAGAGTAAAAGTTAAATATTAAATAAAATGAAATGAATAAAAAAAAAAGAAACAAATCTACATAAGAAACAAATATTTTTAGTATATTCGCGAATCTTGAGAGAGTTGGGAACGTATTTTTAGATTGTTATATTCTAGAACTGCAATTGTGTTTATTAGTAACGGACCGTTAGTTATTGCTGGGCTTTTTAAACAGAAAGTTGATCGAAAGTTTTCACTCTCCGTTATCTTTATACGACTGGCGTTAATTTATATGTTGTTTCGCTTTCCTTTCTTCTAATTTAACGAAAAATTTAGCGAAGTCATTACCGCGAAGTGCGAAAGTGTTACAAAATTTTAATAAATATATTTTAGTGAAGCAATATACGTATATATACATATATATATATATATATATATATATATATATATATATACTTATATATATTTTTTTAAAATTTATTTTTAGAAAAAAATTAAAGTGTTATAATATATAATTATAAAAAAAATACTGTAAGTGAAAATATTAAAAATTAAAATAATCCAATTATTTGAAAAAAAAGAAAATTCAAAAAATTAAAAGCTTAATTTATTTGCAAAATTTTATATAATTTGAAAATATAATTATAGCAACAGTAAATGATGCCAATAATTTTTTTTATTTATTTTTAATCAAATTAGGATAAAATATCTTAGGCATCAAAAAAGTTATCAATTTGCATTGAGAGTTTTAGTAAAACTTAAATTATTATTTTTGATTTTTTTTTTTTTTTGGAATTCTTCATCCTAATTTTTTATTTATAAATCAGGTAAAGTATTTTTCATCTTGAAATTTATCTTTGCAAAAAAGTTTCAGGCTACATCAAATCATTATCAATTATATAAAATACGAAAAAAGAAAAAGTTAAAATTAAAAATAAAATTTTCAAGCAAACAAAAAAAAACTTGAAAAATTTTGGATTTTAAAAAGAGAAGTCTTAAATTTGTTGGACTTGCGTAGCTGTGTTGTGCTTAAAAAATACTACTGTTTGTACTGCATAACTATATATGTGTATACGTATATAGATATCAATATGTTCGAAAATCTATGTAATATATCTATTTACGCATATTATTATAAACAATCATATATTATGTACATATGTATGTAGCTATATGCCCTCATATACTTATATGTTTCATACAATATAAATGGTATTATATTGTAAGATTTTGCATATTGTTGAGTATAGGAACATAATGCGTTTAATTACTTTATTTACATACATTAAAAACAATTGCAAATTGGGAATAAAGCATGATCTACAAGCTTCTTAATTTTTGATAACAGTGTAAACTTCTGCTTCTGAATTCTAAGTTTTCTAACAACATCATAGTATAAGTATTTTCATTAATTTGCATGAATACTTATTTAACTAATTTGCGAACAGAAACCGATCGGTTTCTAAGTAATTCTTCTATTTACATTTTACTTCCTTAATATGATAATAATGTAATCTATGTACATTATTATCTATTATTTTCTCATGTTGCATACTTCTAGGTGAGAAAAAAAAAATTAAAAATAAAATAAAATTGAACTTCGCCAGCAGAGCAGGTATTTGTCATCAGTTTTAAAATTTAATAAAACATTTAAATACAATCACTGTCACTTTAGTGAACGAATCCTCAATATTTTCGTTTATTATTTAAAGTGTCTTAAATTAACTGTCAATTATGCATGGTTCTAAAGATGTTGTATTTCTTACTTAAATGAGATTCAAAGAAGCTTAATTAACATAAATACTTTAATAAAGAAAATTCGATTTTAATCAATTTCATTTTAATTCGATTTAAGTTTTGACCTCAGATATTTAGTTTGTATAAACTTACCAAGAGAACGTGATTTGATTGCAAGCATGATAGAAGTTTATTAATACTTCAACAGAATTATTTTGGATTTTTTATTTATTTACAATACGTTTACATTTGTTTACAATAGGATTATTTTATCACAGCATTAAATAATTTATTCAAAGAAAACCTATACGACATTTTGCGTTTTGATTTTTATTTCAAAATAAGAAAATTCTCTCATATATAATCTCGTTGATCTCTCGTTGAAATCAAAATGGCCGTTAAAATTTTGTGTTGTAGAAACTCAATAATGTATATTTAATCAAAATTATAGGTAGTTATAGTTTCAAATTGATATTTAAAATTTAATATGTTGTTCGAAAAATTCCAAATTTTATTTTTAACACGAAAGAAAAACTTTTTGTTTTTAACATTTTTAATAAAAAAGTGGGAAAGAGAATATGTGAAGAAAAAAAAACCATTTTCATCCAAAAAAAAAAATCGAAAGAAAAAAAACATAAATAAATTATGCTTCAGAAATGTCATTTATTCCGAAACACATAAATATTTTACACAACCACATTAAAACAAAAAATAGTGACCAGGCCTTGATTTTCTCTTACGTCGAGTTAGAAGCAATTAAATATTCACAAACATACGTACTTTGTGGTCTTTATATACTGCTAGTGTCCTTCTGAGACACATATGTATTTCTTTCATAAAATAATTATAGTTACGCTTCGTTGCGTAAAAATTATGAAGAGCATCTGTCTAAATATCACAAACACACGCATAGAAAAAAAGAGTAAATTCTGTAAAAAAAGAAAACAAAAAAAAAAGATCTCATAAGCCAAAAAAAACATGCTTTATGATCATAAACTTGTGCCAAGTAAATTTTTTTCACTTCAAAAAGTAGTGCTTTTAATTTCCGAAACTTTAAAAAGTTTATGGTAGTTTTTTATTTTTACTAATAGTCTTTAATTTGAAAATATTTCATTGGAATTATTATATATTATGTATGTTTGTATGTATGTATCTAAAAAATAATATTAATCTTTTATCTACATACATATATTGTTAGTTTGCTACTAGATATAAACGTACATATTAAAAAATATCTAGAATAACATTTTGAAATTAAGCGGACAAAAATTTGTCACGTGAATCAAAAACGAGTTGTTTGCTAATTAATAAAAAATAAAAAAGAAAAATCTAAAAATAAAATTTTTGTTAAAAATTTTAACCTCTTACTTTTGCGTAAATTCTCAAAAAATGGCACAGGAGGGGAAATTTCTTTTTCCTAAGATAATAATCAAATAAAAAATAAGAGCCCATTCAAAATTTAATTAATTTTAAAAAATGAACGAAAAGTAAACAAAAGGCATAAAAATGTAGAATAAAAACACAAAAAAAAAAGTGAATCAAAGTAATTAAAGAATAAAAAAGTGCTTCCTTTCTTAATTTTTTAAAATTAATGAATAATAAAAAATTATTACTATTTTTTTTATATTATGTACGATTTCCTAAAACAATGAGTAACAGGTTAAAAAAATAAAATTTTTTTGTTGTATTTTATATGGTACAACAAAAAAATTTAAAGTTCGGGACTACATTTGAAATGACTTGTGAAAAATTTTTTGTTTTCTTTAACAAAAGCCTATTTTAGACACGTAGCTTAGCTACTACATCAAATTCGATATTTACAATAAAATAAATGTCAAAAACAAACGTTATACAAGTTTCTTCTAATGACAAAAAGCTTAAATTTTATATAATCTGGATTATTAACATATCTTGCCTTTCCAGCCACTTTTTTTATTTCCTTTCAAATGGCGAATAAGATTACATACTTATTGCCAGTTTTAAAAACAAAGTGAATTAATGGAGTCTAAATGCTGTATAGATTTTGGAAAAAACGAGGTATGGAATACAAAAATTTCTTCTCATTTGGAAATTACATAGCATACTCACTCACTTTCTTAGTGAGGAAAAACACGAGATACTCAATTTGATATACGTTATGTAAATCCTTTTTTCATATACGTTATGCATGTATAAGGGACAAAAATTTTATTTTTAAACAATAAAGGTATTTGTTAAATGATCAGAATTTAAATTTTGCAAAAATGTAATGTTACGAAAAAATATTATTTAATTGAGCCAAATTAATGTAAAACAAGAAATTTTTCTTGTAAAATTTTTTAATGATGCCATTATGCAAAGTTATAAAGAATTTAAATAAAATATTTTGTTCTTAGCACATACAACTGTATAATATGTTGAGCAAGTGAAATATTGCAACAAAGTTTTAGCTGAAATATATGTAGTATCCGAATAGATAATTTGAGCAAGGCATATACAAAATCAAAAGTATAGATTATATAAAAGCATTTGATTAAAATTATGATCATTTTGAAATATATTCCTAATTTGATTATACGAAATTATGATAAACTGTAAGATTTTATGATTTTATTAATTAATTATTTTCATTATTTATTTTATTATACACATATTAAATTTTATTAAAGAATGAATTTTAACTCAAAATTTTATCTGATCACATTTTTTCTAAACCTAATATATTTGGATTTCTGTTTAAATAATTGGACCTTACAATATGTTATAAGTTAAATTTGTTTTTACATATGTAATTATGTATGTATATAACTATATGCATATATTATTCTAAAATATAAGAAAATATATGGTTCAAAATAGACTATTATGAGAAAATATAAAAAAATTTCCAAAAAATTCCTCTACAAAAGTTTTTGAAAAAATTATGAATTTCCTTCCGATGTTTTACTTTTGTAAACAATTCGGGGAAAGCTTTTTTAAAATATATCTACAAAAATATATGCGTATATATGAACTTGTATACATGTGTGTACACAAATACGTATGTAATTAATAATATTTAAAAAGATATTTTAATAAATTTCGAATTCAAAACTATATTGGTAATGAACAAATATTACCAGAAGTTAAAAAGAACGAAAGATATTCTTGGACTGCAAACAATAATTTTAAGATCATTTTCAACCGTTTTTAAGACTATTTGTTAAAAATTCATTTTTTTCCGGACCAAATTTTCAATTAATAAGTATCTAGTGTTGAGTATTCCAAACAGAATATGTTCTATGTTCGATGCATAGATGAACAACATTTTTTTTACATTAACCATTTCATGCTAGTCTTAAAATTATAAAAAAAAGTAAAAAATTTTGATAGCAAATTCTGAGATTCTGTAAATTTTTACAGAACAGATTGTTCATAATGAAGTACAAGCCAATTCAATGCAACCTCCATCCATTATGTTCTACATTTTTGCAATCCATACTATTTGTAATTTTTCTAAATTCTTATTTCATGAACAATATTAAAACAAATTGTATTGATTTTTTTTTAAAATAAACCCCCCCCCCCCCCAAATGAGAAATTTTGTAAAATTTGATAAAGATTCTCGCAATTTCTGAATTAATAAAAATATTTCCCTATTTACATTTTATATTGTTTCAAATATTTTTATTAAATCTTTTTTGTTTACATAATTGTAAAAAAATTTATTCAATTGTTTTAATTTTAATTTTAACCTTGTTTTTCGTTTTCATTAAATTTCTGGGGTTGGACCATATTAAATTTAATTTTTAACATTTACAATTTTTCAAAATGAACTTCGATGACTTCTTCATCTTTTAAACAAAGAAAACCAAATTATCACAAAAATTTTTAGTACACCGGAAATTAAAATTACAATTATGCCATGTATAGAGTTACCATATAAGCGAAATATTTTTTTGAGCCACATTGAAAGTTAGAATAAATTTTATACAAAAATTTGAAAACAAAAATTTTCGCGAAATCTTTTATTATTTTTGTATATTTTTGAGCGAAACTAAAAACAAATGAAAAATTTGACAAAATGGAAAATTTATATAGTGTTAGTAAAATATTTGCCGATAAAGAGAACTTTCAAGTATATTAAAATATATATATATTAAAATAATTAATAAACAAACACAACACATAAATCGGCTCTAAAAACACAAAATGATTAAACTTACCGTTGAACATTACATGTAATTGGCAACGCTGAACATGCACTTTTTTTTTTGTAAAGTGCTTTTAAAAATAAAATTGCACTGAGAAAGTTATTACATTATACTAAAATATGTAATTATAGCACACCTGTTTCGTTTGTGTAGAAAAATGAGAACAATAAGAGAACCAATAATTAATTTATTTTATTTTTTTTTTGTTTTTAAGCGGAGAGAAAAATCAACAAGTAAAGTCATGACGTCAAAATTTCAAAAAAATAAAGTCATAAACAACCATTGCTTACCACCAATAAAAAAAAATTTAAAATAGAATATGTACGAAAAAAATTTCCTATAAAAATTAAAAGCAAAAGTAGAAAACAAAAACAAAATTTTTTATTTATAGACGGGATTTCCATTTTCTTGTTTCTCTTTTTTTTCGTTTTTGGCTTTACGAAATACCAATTTATTGTGGATGGAAATTTAAGATCTCATTTATTTGATAGAATTTCATTAAAATGAAAAAGTAGGACAGGAGGAAATTTCAATTTTTAAGATATGTTTTTTTTATAATCATTTTTAAGCTTTTTTTATTTAATTTCCTTAGGTGGAATGTTAAAATATTTTATTTTAAAATGACACGTTTTGCAATTATAATAAACAAATAATTTCAGAATCAACAATATTCATTGTTTATTATTAATTATTTAATTTAAAATTATTTCCTTTATATTGCTTGCTTTTACTATTATTTCATTTATTAGTTCATTTTCATTAACTATAAATACAATTGCCGTCACATTATATAAGGACATGTCAATAGTGTAAACCTAAGCTTTTTGTTTAATTTTTCGCGTGATTTTATGACTTAAAAAATGACTTAAATTCACAATACCGGAGTTTTTCGAATTCACAATCGTAATATTTTGGTTTTTGTCAACATTTTGTTAAGGCTTGTTTTAATAACATGGGTTTGCTATTCTAATGTACAAACGTGCATATATAGTATTTAGTTTTATTCTATTGAAAATCTATTGAGTAGTTCTTACTTTTATACGCTAACATCTCCTAGTCCCAAATAGAACAAATGACTAGAATTTTAGAAAGAGAAACTTTAAAATATTTACATCATAATTGCAAGTTAATCCTCTCTCTGTTTATCGAATTAAAGAAAACACAATGAAAAAACAAATGAGAGAATGATTACATTTAATGATAATTTTTGAGAAAACAGAAAAATGCATGAAGTATTCCTTTAAAAGGCTAAGGGTTTTCTAAATTCTCATCACTAAGAATAATTGCATACTTTTGGGGGTAAATAACTGGATGAAAATTTAATTTTCCCTTAATATGAAAGATAGTAGTTCACAAGGGGAAGGAATTTTCTCTCAAGAAAATTGCTGTTCTGATGAAATGTTTATTGATTGCTATCTACATATATATGAGCCGTTTAAGAGAAAAATTATGAAGTGAAAGTTAAAACTAAATAAATTTACTATAGCTTTTCTGACTCTTACTTATGTGGACAATTAATTTTCGATTACCAAATTGTTTCCGGTGTTTTGTAATGTGAAATTTGTATCATACCGAAAGATATACCGAATGATATTTTAATAATTTATTTATTTGATGATTTGATATTTTATCGACTTAATCATTAAATTTTCCTAGTTTTATTATGTTAGACCTGTTCATTCTAAGAATCTATTTTACTTTTTCATTTAAATTGAAAACATTGCAATTATTTTTTAACAAACATAAATTTATTTAAGTTCCCGTCAGTTTGATCATAACAAATTTATTTTTATTGATATTAGTAAGCAACTTTAAAAATAAATAAAATATATACACATACACACGTTTGCAATAATATGTACTATGAAATTCATTCTTCAGTATTACTCATAATATTTCAATACAATACAAGGACGACGGGGGATGAAAGAGAATTTGAAACATATGTAATTCTTTAATAGCCATTACTTTGCCAATGCCAAAACAATTATGAGAGAAATTTTATTGATTTTAAATATTTTTTTTTTCATTTTTAAAATATTTTGACCACCACAAATCATTATTAATAGTTTTAGCATAACATTTCGATATTGCAATCAGAAACGAAAAAAAAAATAATTCAATATCTCTGCATTCTCGTCATGAATAATGATCATTCTACTTTGAAAGTAGTTGTTGAACTTAGTTTAAGTTTAACAACTGTTTAACAAATGGGTTAACGTTTTGGGATGATTTTTTCATTCATTAATAAAAATTTATTTTTAAATTATAATCCGTAAATTTATAAAATGCAATTTTTGTTGAAATATGATTAAATGTTCTTCCGCTTTTACTTTTCTTTTTTTGTCCTATTGGAATAGGACTAAGTGAGAGAGAACTAAGTAACCGTTAGTTAGAACATTATTGTTGAAAAGATTTTACAACAAGTTTCGGTGACATTTTTCTGATAACATTTTTGAAAAATGTCGGGAACGTCGCATAAAAAGTGTGAAAAGAGTCACCGCTTTCACCATAGTATACGAGTATTATTAAAAAAGTTTCGAATACTCCCATAATTTTGGTTTGAAGACATGTTTAAAGATTTGTAACGCGTGATCATAATCAATTTGATTTTTCTTAATAATTCAGGCATCGAGTTTTTTCAATTTACATTTTCGACAGCATTCTCTTAGATATTGGCTGATCCTGCGTTTTGTGCTGCAAATTATTTTTTGTAATAATTTTTTTTTAACCAATATAAATTTAATGTTTATAATTTCGCCCATAAATATTTTTTTTGGATTTAGTTGCTTAATCTTTTATTTTTTCAATCTTTAATTGAAATAAAAAAAATCTATACATTTTTTAATCTTATTTTCAGAAAGCATTTGGCGTGAATCACAATCGTACTCTGCTTGCAAATATTCGATTAGGAGAGGAAAGTCAATAAATCAATTCTGGTGTCAAATATTCAAGTCGATATTATGGTAGTTTCTATTCAGAAAGCGTAATAAAAACGAATTACCTTCATTACGTTTTGGTAAGAAATAGAAAATTGATTTTCTAATATGATTAAAAAATATTATATGTTTTTATAGCATAATATAATTTTTAAATTCATGATAAATTTTATTATAAAATATAAAAAAAATCATATTTTAAATATTTATAATTTTTTCAATATTAGCAAAATGGGTGTGCACTACAAATGGTACTAATAATTTAATAATATGTAATTATAAGATTCGTGTTAATTTTAATTTTGATATTTTTATGCTTTTTATACTTGCATTATTTTGTATTGCATTTACACTATCAGCTTTAAATTAAGCCTTTTCTTCTATCTTTTTCTTTTTACAAACATTTTGAAAAATATCTAGCTTATGCACAACTTGCGTATACATACTCGTATGCATATAAATATAATTATTTGTGTATATACTACATAAAAGTTTAAGCAGAGATTAACAACTTTATACAAATATATTAAGTATTAAAAATTAACAACTAAAAAAAAGTACTAGCAAATTAACAATTTATAAAGTAAGAAAAAAAAAATAAAGTTGCCGAAATAAATAACACTATATATATTAAAAACAAAAATAATGGCTACAAATAAATATAACAAAGATGATAACATAATGAATTTAGAATTATCTGCCAAAACAAATCAACCTCATGTAATACATATGCCGGGTTGGTTTGAACCGCTTCCAAAAATTGCTTATGAAAGCTCCTTTGAAATATTGCTCCTTAAAATACCATATCCACCATCTCCACCACCAACCCCAATGGTAAAGAAAGTTTTTGTACATAATGAAAATCTAGAACGTAAGACAAGAGCTTTTTTAGCTGGACATTATGAAATTGATCGTTCTGATAATACGCTACGTACTGCTAAACAAAAAATGCGCTCTATTAAAACAACATTAATTAAATCTGAAGATTCAATAAAATTAACCGACGATACTGTTAAAAAAGTAAAGAATAAAGATTTTTCACGTATTATAACACCTTTAGTACCAAAAAAACCAAGACCATTTGATATAATTGAAATACCCGATTTAAGTGACGTTGACGAGGAACAGGATTCACAATACACTGAACGTGTTGATAGCCGTACAACTAACATCATGGATGAATATAATTATTCAAGAGCATCGTCTCGAAGACGCCAACATACGTGTAAGTTTTGAAATTCTTCAAACATCATTAACTAAAAAATTTAAAATAAGATTAAAATGAGTTTCAAATATAATATAAATTAAAAGAAAAATAGAAAAACTACATAATTATTTTATAATTAATACTTCATGAATTTTATTAAGAGTGATGAACTTTAATGGAAAATGAAATTGTTCTCTTGATACTGAACATATTAAAATATATTATAGTAGAAGAATAATAGTGTGAGATTTTGTGTCAAAGTAGGAACTTCCATTCACATAATTTATATAAATGTTTAAATGTTCAAAAAATATAAAAATAGTACAGTTTTTTTTAATTAAAGATAAAATTATTGTAAACGGTTGTTGTGCACCGTCAATATTATGTCATCCTGAACTACATATGTCAAGGTATTTTAGTAAATGTCAGTTTTGTATATGTTTGAAAACCATAACTGGTAACACCATAATCAAAATCTAGTTATAAATAATATGGTATGTGTATTTTATTTGAAATACAAAGATTTTTAAGCCCACGCAATTAATGGTTTTTCTGTATATGTAATAATCACAACCTCAAATTTTATAAAAATAAAATTTATTAGATTAAATTATTTATTAACTTGTAAGATTTTTTGGTAATATTTTTAAGTTTTATAAAATCATTTAAAATATAAGTTGTATATTAAAATTTAACTAAAATTAAAATATAGTTTTCCCATTGATATTTCTCTAATTAATATAAATTTATTTATTTGTCTATTGTAAAAAATATTTATTTATTTTATGGAAAAATATCAAGTTTCTCTTGTAAATTAAAGCCATTAATTTACATCCAATTTCAAAGATAATTCACAAAATATTTTTTTATTACACAAATTTTATTTTGAATTTTTATTCAGTACACCAAGGTTTTAATTAATATATACACACATATACATTAATATGTACTTGCTAATATTTATTTTTATTTTGAATTTTGAACCATTTTGAAAATACAAACATATGTACATGTGGATATACATTCATACATATATAAAAGAAAAAACTTTTTTAATTATAAATTTTATATTTTTAGATTTTAAAAATTTTTTGATGAAATTTTTTATGCAAAAAATTTTCCAAATTTTTGGTTTATTAACAAAAAAAAATCTTTCAGAACAATTTATTCATGTATATATACATATATATACAAAATATAATACTTTGAGACAAAATAATATTTTTTGAAAATGTAGTATTTTTGAATCCTTAATTTTTTTGTATTTTAAAACTTTGACATATTGTTAAAAATTTTGAAATCTTACTAAAATTTTTTTTTCTAATTTATTATTTTTATTATAACTTACTCATGTGCACTTGAAATTCTTCAAATATAAAAAAAACCACTTTAAAATGTTCATTTGTAAATAAATTTTAACCTCTTATTCAACAATATTCTACTAAAAATTTTAGTAATTAATATTTCCTATCCTTAATATCCTTCATTGATTATTTTGTGTATTGTATATTGTGTTTTACTTATAGCATTAGGTACTACCACTGGATCGGATCGTTATAGTTCTATTAGTTCTCGTAAATCAGAACGTTATAGCACTATAGGTACTTCATCCGATCGAGTATCCGATCGTTATAGTAGCTCATATTCGTCATATGGTACTGATAGCTACTCTAGTAGTTCTGCATTGGGTACCGAACGTCGTGGTAGTGGTTTAGATAGAATATCATCTTCAATCGATTCTGAACGATATAGTAGTAAATTATCATCATCATCAAAATACGATAAATCATCATTATATGATAATAAAAAAAAATCATCATATTTAGATGAAAACAATCTATCTTATACAACAGCACTAGCTGACGATTTATATTCGACTGTAAGTGAACGTTCACGTTCAACATCACGTATGGATAGCAAAGGAGCAACATCAGTAACATCAACCATAACAAAATCAATTGATAAACCAGTTATCGTAAAAACGCTCAAAAGTTTACATCATGAATGTAAGTATATATAAAATAAAACAAAAATTTTTAATTCGCGATCAAAAACAAAAGTTTATAATTATAATTTTAAAACAAAAAAACACACAATGTAAAATTTGTACAAAATAAAAAAAAAACTGTGATCCATAATAACTGTTTAAAAAAAAGGAATTATAAAATATTTATTTATAATAATTTTTCGTTGACTTACAAAAATTGTACTTTTATGTAAATAGTTTATGTGTTTCGTGTAAATCAAAAGAAAAAATAATAAATTATTGTAATATTTAAATACACAAATCTCCTCATCATTGAGAAAATTTTTTGATAACTTATGATATTCACAAAAATAAAATTTGGAAAGCTACATATAACGTATAAGAACGTAAAATTTAATCTGAAAACTCAAAAGCCGCACATAAAAGAAAATTATTCAAATTTACCCTTTGACACCTTAAATTAATAAATTTACAGTAAATTAGATTTTATAATAATTGGCAATATTTACATAAATGATTTATCATTTGATTTGTCCTTAAGAAAAGTGATTCGGACGTCCGTATTATGTATGTACAAACAATATATAATTTTCCCAATAAAGCCTTCATTCAAATTTCGCTTAAAAAACACATTGAGGTAATTCTTTTCCATTTAATATTATATATTTATTTTTTTTTTTATTAATTTTGAATAATTTTAAAATTTTGTTTTTTCTTTTAAATTTAAAATAAACATATACTTACGCATACATATGTAAATTTCTGTTCAAAATACATCTGATCTCATTAATTTTTGCTTATTTAAAGCTAAGTACATGTTATTTTGCACACAGCGCCTGACGTTTCTTAGACTTTTACTTTGAAAAAAGCTGACGTCCATAATGCCATATTTTTATTGAAATGTTTTTCTTTTTTTTTTTTTGTTTAGAGTTCTAAATGAAATATTGTTAACAATTTTAAAGAAGCGATTTTTGTGACGCAACATTATTTTTAAATTATGCGATATGCACATACATATAGATACATAAATATATTATAGTAAATGTACATACAATATACAAAAGTCACTAGTGTCAAAAGAATATTATTGTTAATAATATCAAAAAAAAACACATTATTATAAAATTATAATTTTATAATAAAACTCATTTGTACAAATAAAATTATATATACATATATATATTTGTATATGTTTAATGTCAATTTTTTTATTTTTTACTAATACATCGAATAAACATAAATTAATTCATAAAAAGCACATTATGTATAATGGAGAGAGAGCGAGAGAGAGAGAGAGAAGAGATCAATTACATTTCAAAATTTTAGAGTTAAAATTTTTATGTGAATTCTTTTATTGTTGCCAATATGCCAAAATACATAATATTTGAATTTGATGTTTTCAACTGACTTATTAAAGCTTTTTTTTCTTTCTTTAATATAAAAACAGGATTTTTGCTTCGAAAAAATTAACTTAAGAAAAAGAAAATGAAAAACAATTAAAAAAAATAAATCCAACTAATGATTAAAGGCCTTCATTGTAAATACTACAAAAAAATAAAACCATACTCTATTAACAATATGTTTTGTATTTTACAGAAATTAATGAATATAATTATAAAAATAATAAAAGCTACAAAATAGAAATACACAAAAAATTAAATAAAAATGAAAAAAAAATGAATGCAAAAAAAAATAAATAATAATATTTTATAACTTTTTACTATTAAACATACCTAAAAATATTTAAAAATCAAATATTAAATTAATAATTTTTGAGAATTTAATATTAAAAATAACAAAAAAAAACATGAAAATTTCCACTTATATTGTGATTAAAATCTTCAGGCTGCATTTGCAACAATTAAAAAATATTCTTGCTACCTATATAATGTATGTATTCAAATATTCTAATGTTTGTTGAAATATTTATGATGTAGCACGAAATGCGAAAAACACAAGAGCACACAATTCGGGCTCAATTTTTTAACAAAAAAAAAATTCTTCATGACCAAAATAATATTGCTGTTTTTGTTAGTATTGCCAAATCCACAACACAAAAAAAAAAAAACAAATAAATTATCTGTTGCACTGCATTGAATTTGTGATAAACATAGAAATTATAAATATTTCTAATTACTAATATAAATTATTTTTACATATATACGCATATTATATAACTGAATTTGTATTATTTATGTTAAAAATAAAATATGCACAGAATATTTGCACGAAAAAATTTATGCCAAAGCTTTTATTAAAGTAAATTTTCACTGTAATTTTGTATGAGGGAAAAAAAATAAATTACTCTTCAATTTTTTATTGCAATTTATTTTTTTTTTCTTTTTCAAAAAAAATCAATTTTGAATGTTTTTATGAAATAATTAAAAAAAAAATTAAATATGTATGTTAAATTTCAATTGCAATTTGTTATTTATTTTTAATGCACAAAACCATAATAATATACTCGTATTATATATATTTTATGTACATACTTATACATACACATTAATTTTTAATTAATATCATAAAAAAAAATTAAATAAATATAAAATTTTAAAGGCGGAGAGAATGCGATTTTTGAAATTCAATTTGCAACAAAACCTAATATTGTCACTTGGCTTAAAGACAACAAACCATTAAGCGATCCATTAGCAGATCGTGTAATGCAGAAAGAACTTGATATGAGCACATATAGGCTCGAAATTCGTAATTGCAGGTTAGTGTTTTTTTATTTTAACTTACAATAACCATATATTTGATATTGAAAATGCAGTAATACTGTATTAATATACAATCAAATTATTTTCATTTTCTTATAGTGCAACTGATGCTGGTACTTATACCGCTAAAGCTATGGTTGGAGCAGAAAGTACAACATGTTCAGCTCAATTATTTATAGGACATGGTAATTTTTTAAACAAAAATTAAATAAAATTATTTAAAAATTATTTTTATATTAATTGCCTTTATTTTTTTTTTTCATTAAAACAGATGTTAAAGCTCAACACAAGGATGGTGAAGAACATTTAGAACCTTTCTTCTTAATTTCTCTCAGAGATGCTGAAATGATTGAAAATTCGCAATTTCGATTCATGGTGAAAGTTGTTGGAGATCCTAAACCACGTATAACTTTGTATGTAGTGATAATATTACATAATTGTTTCTCAAAGAATATTTTCATCTCATTATGACATTTTATGTTTAAACTGGCAACACTATTGTTGAATAGAAATTAATATGTTCACAATAATTATGTACATATTTATAAAAAAATTTTAAAATAGAGGGCTAGAATTTTATTCACAAATTCTTAAGTTAATGAAACACCATTATTTGTGTGGAAATCTCAAACACTTTATTTCTTCTACCTTAAAATAGAATTTAAAAATATTGCTAAGACAAAACTGGCACTTATGCTAACCATTATTTTGAATCAGTTTTTTTCAAATTTTGAAGCGATATGCAGATTTCAATTAGTGATTTATTATTTTATTTTGCCTCTTCGAAGTTATTTCGTTTCAAAAATATTAAAATTTCAATTCTCGGCAAACAATAAGGCTCATTCAATTTCTACAAAAGCAAAGAAATAAGAACCGGAAATGTTTTATACTGCTTCTTTCAGCTCTCATTCTAAGCATAATAAAATCTATTGACGAGCGAAATTTACATACAATAATTTTAATTTTAATTTTATCGACATTCATTACATATTTACACAAATTTTGCTAAAGTGCAATAAAATCTAACAACAAGCTATTTCTTATTTTAATTTTAGCTTTAAGGATGGCAAAGAAATTGAAGAAGACAGCGAAGTAATGCAAGTTGTACGTGACAAGGACTATTTGGGCTTTTATGAATTGGTCATCTTTCAAGTAGAAAAAAGTCACAGCGGTCATTATTCTTGTGAAGCTGTCAATAAACATGGAAAATCAGAATGTTCAGCTGACGTTACTGTTTGTGGTAAGTGACATAAAGCGAGAACTTTGCACGAGTCATTTAAAATATAATTTGACAACATAATAACGTTCATATGTAAATTTTCCCATTATAGAAGATAAAAACTTATTCGGGGAACTTAGTGGCCAAATTTTACCGCAAGGAGAAAAGCCTGTTTTTGCATGGAAAAGAAATGGAATCGATTTTGATCCTGAAGAACGTTTCAAAGTTTTAATGGGTGATGATGAAGATTCATTGGCTATTGTTTTCCAACATGTGAAGCCAGAAGATGCAGGAATTTATACATGTGTCGCTCAAACCAGTACAGGAAATATTTCATGCAGCGCTGAACTGAATGTACAAGGTGCTATACAAATGTTGTATCGGGAACCAGAGAAACCTCAGCTTATTGTTGAACATAAAGAAGCAATTGCTCATGTTGGAGGCACAGCTATTCTTGAATTAACTTGCAAAGGTTTCCCTAGTCCCGCAGTTCAGTGGAAACATGAAGGTGAACTTATCGAACCCGGATCAAAATATAAATTTCTTTATGAAAATGAAGAATCAATGTCACTTGTTATCAAAGATGTTAAAACAGCTGATTCTGGTGTTTATTCTATTACAGCCACTAATGAATTAGGTGAAGATAGTGCTGAAGTCAGTTTGACTGTAAAATGTAAGTTTTTTGTGGAGTTGAAATTTTAAAAGTCCAGTTTAATTTTTCGTTAAATTTTTAAAGCTCAACCGAAAGTTAAAAAAATTAAAGATGTTACCGTTAATGTTTCTGAAACTATTAAAGTTGAAATAGAAGTTGAAGGTTCTCCATCACCTACATTAAAAATATCACGAGATGGTAAAGAAGTCACTGAAAATGAAAGAATTAAAATTACTAGAACTGAAATTGCAAAAAGTACCGAGAAAGTTGTGCTACAAATTGAAAAGTGTATTTTGGAAGATGCTGGGTCTTATTCAATTACAGCTACAAATGAAATCAGTCAAGTTTCTGAATTTTGGAAAACAACAGTTAATTCTAAGCCCATAATAGTCAAACATCTTGAAAAAGAATATATCCATGGAGAAAAGGAAGATGTTGTTATGTCCTGTAGATGTGACGCTTTTCCTGTAGCAAAAGTTAAATGGTTTCAAGATGGGGTTGAAATTAGCGAAAAAGATTCAAGATTTGTTAAAACGGTAGATGGAAATTGTTACACATTAAAAATATCAGGTGTTACTAGAGTTGATGCAGCCAAATTTTCTGTATCTTTTGAAAATGAATTTGGTAAAGCTGTTGATGAAACTGTACTTAAAATCAAGTGTCCACCTGAATTCAAACAAAAACTTAAAAATATTGTTGTCACCGAAGGTGATACTAACACAGAGCTTAAAGTTTCAGTTGATGGCTATCCAAGGCCACATATAAGATGGTTTATTGACGGATTGGAAATTGATGAAAATCGTAAAGAATTTATAAAAAAAGAAGAAGGGGATGATTACAAGTTGATAATTAAAGAAGCTCAAGTTAACATGAACGGAAGATTTAGTTGTTCATTAATGAGCGATTATGGTAAATTAGAAAGCGAATGTTTTGTTACTGTTAACTGTAAACCAAAAATTCGCAAACCATTGACGAATGTTGAAGTAAACGAAGGTGAAAGTATAACATTAGAAGTAGAAGTGTACTCTGTACCAGAACCAGAAATCAAATGGTAAAATAAAAAAGAAGTACATATATTATTTATTGTCATCTAATCTTCCTTTTTTGTTATATATAAAGGTACAAAAACGGCCAAGAAGTATCATCTGACACAAGAATAAAAATTTTTAGAGATACTAAGCGAAGCGAAACATATTGTCTTACATTGAATTTATGTAAAACGACTGATGCCGGTACATACGAATTAAAAGCAACAAATCCTTTGGGAACATCATCGAGTGCAGGCGATCTTAAAGTTTTAAGTAAGTAAAAATTATTAAATCCCACGAATAATAAATTGAGATATAATTTTTTTTCTTTGGAATGAATTAAAAGAAAAACGCTAACATTTAAAGCACTCGTTGAAATTAAAACTTTTTATAAGTATGTTTTCGAAAAATTGCCATCATTCACCGTTATTTTGTTTTCGGCAAAAAATTAAATTTTTTTTTTTGGAAATACAGTTCGTGTTACAAAATTGCTAGTTTGATTAGAAGCTGCAAAACCCTAATAATATGTCATTTTTAATTTTAAAAAAATTTAATTAAGTTTGACTTTTAGCACTTTATCATTTAGCACTTTTAACTTTCTTTATTAATATTAAACACGGTAGCTTTGAAATATATAGAACCAAATACCCCATGATGGCATTTACTAAAGCGGTCAAAGCATAAAACCATGTTTTTATAAAAATATTAAAATAATTGTGGAAATTATTAGAAACTAGCAATAAAAAATGACATACATATTAAAATGATAATTTGTTTGTGTACGAAAATTCCATATTATATTCACATTTTTTTACTCAGAGTATTTACGTCTCTATAAGAATAAATTATGTAAGTGACAAATAGATGATCTTTCTTTTTGAAATTTATGCAAAAAGTGTTAATTTATAGACATTATGATTCCTTCTGTTGTCATTAGATTTTTAAAACAGTCGGGTATTTTTCATTTCTTTTTTCAAAATTTTTGCAAATAAATGGTGAACAAATACACCTACTACTATAAATAATTAATAATAAGAAAAAAATATTATAAAAAATTTGTTTATTTTTGAACATAATAAGCGAATTATATTGCTTATATAATGTTTAAATTTGTATATATGTAAATATATATTGCATATGTATTTTATTTTTCATTATTTTGAATATATAGCATTTAAAACACAGCTTAATTAACACGCATTTGTAAGTTAATGATTGCAAAATTTTCTACTGAAAAATTCGAGTTTTATTTTGAAAAAACATTTTTACTATAGCCTCCTGGTTTTCCATGAACACTGTACATACAAATACACTTACATACATGCATATACTTTCCTATTATGAATAACTTTTGATGTATATAAATGTTACTGATAATATTCATGAATCTTTATATCTACATAGCACTGTTTCCATTTCCATTTTTAAAATAATATTAAGAATTTAAGTAACAGATAAGGGATGGGATATAATTATAAAAGATGAAAATCATGTTTATATTTATTTTTTATATATATATTCTTGTTTATATTATATATAATAATTAAATTTTAACTATAATAAGGCATCTAAGAAAATTTAATACTGCAAAATGTACATACATTAAAATCTAACCAAAATATTTTATGAGAATTGAAATTTACTGAACCTATTAAGTTGTGTAAATATTATCGTTAATATTATTAAAAGGTGAAATCAAATTTGTATATTTAATTTACCTAAAAATTAATATTTCTATTTATACATATATCTTAAAAATATTCTAATAAAAAATCGTAAATTTTATGATTTTTCTTTCTATACTTTCTTTATATTGTTTGCTTATAAATATATCAAAGTAGATTAACCTAGAACTATGTATTTATTTTAATAAACAATTCTAGTTAGTTCTTCTAATGAAAGAAGTTTTTTAACAAAGAAAACACTGTGTATAGTATTAAAAATTTCAATATAAATTTTTTGTATTGTACTTTTGCTATAAAATGCTATTTATAGACGTAAAAGATGATGTTGAAATCGGCGAAATTAGTTCACATGAAATAACTGAAACTCGTGCAACAACAATTGTTGTAGAAGAAATATGTAACGAAAATCCGGCACAGACTGCTATTTCTTACGAAAAACAAACAATTCATATATTGGAAACGGCTGATTTAGAAACCATAGAGGAACCTAGAACTGAATATATAACTGAAGAAATAAAAACCAAGAGTATAATAGAAGGTATAACATACTGAATAAAAGACCAAAACCATTCTCGTTACGTATAACTATATTAATTACGTTATCTCTTGATCTAATATACAAAATTGCATGTTTTGTATAAAAAAAAATGCTCTATAAATGTTACTACTTAACATTATCTTATAAGAGAAAAAAAACTTTAACAAATTTAATAAAATAATTTTTATAGTTGAAGGGTTTATAATAGCTGAAGGTTTAACCACAAATACCTTTAAAAAAAATTTATTTTTCTATTAATTGTTAAGCTATAAATTTAAAACAAAAAAAAAAAACTTAAAAAGGGCTGTCTTGGAAAATTGCCTTTTAATTATACTACTACTGCATGGATGTAATTGGCTTCTCTATAGAAATATTATCAAAAAATTTACTATGATTATTTAAAATTATAGGCCAAAATATTATAAATGAGGCAGAATCTAGTAAAACAATAGATAATAAAGAGAAACCTAGCGCACAACAAATGATAAACATAGAAAAAAAAACAATGGATGTGAAATTACTCAAAACAGAAACCAGCAACCAAAATTACTTAGATAAAGATTTGAAAAATAGTATAATATCAGACCAAGAGCCTGATGCAAATGAAAGTTTGTTCAAAGATAATTCAAATGAAAAAGGTGGTAATTTAAACCTTTTTAATGTATTTGAAAACTTAAAGAAAAAAAATTTAATTGATATAATTTTCTTGAAAACTTTGTGATTATATAGGTTTAAATGAAAAAAAGCAGCAGATAGGCATACAATACGACGAAACACCTGCTCATATACCAAGTAAACAAGCGATCATAGAGGAAAATCCTTTAAAATGTTCTTTAAAAGCAGAAATTGATAACGTGGATGTTAATAATAATGGTACAAGATAAATATTCAATAAAATTTAGAAATATGTATATAAAAAAGTCTACGTTATGGGTGCTTCGAATTTTTAAAAGTGAAATCCTTTCTCATTTAATGAGAAAGTAAAAGGGTTGATGGTCTAGTTGAATACATACTTTTGAAATAATTAGTTTATGGTGTATTAACGATTTAATACCATATATTAAATGATGACACAGTGATTGTAGGTCTTTCAAATCTGTACTCTATTCGTTTTTAGGCTACTTTTCAATTCTAATAGCTTTCAATGTTACCTTTTAATATTTTTAAGATAAAATACAAAAACGTAGTCACATTTGTTCTTTTCATTCGCAAGGTACGCGAGATCCTAGAGGTATTTTTAAAGCAGGATGATAAAATGCACATACCTAGAAAATCAAATTTTTCCGGAAGACGATAAATTTGATATTTAATAATTCGAAGAGGAAGTCAGAAAAGAAAAAATACCTCTCATTATTTTTTGTTCCTTTACCTGCATTTTATTATTCTTCTTCAGTATACCCTCCATATAGTCATGAAAATCCTTTATGGGTACTAAAATATTTAAAAGATATTATATTAATAAATCTTTGTTTAAACTTGAAAATTGTGACACATTAATGTTACCAAAATTTTATTGTTTCGATTAAATAATTGCAGTTTTCTGTTCTCTTCCATTCTACAATCAAATTTGACAAAACAATTACAAGTATTGCATATTTTTATGTATATAGGTTCACACTAAGCTACACAAAAATTAATATTGTATAAACTTTATGATCAAGCCAAAATTTTTATGTATAGCTCTACCGGAAATTCTTCATCACGATATTTTCGATAGAAATACCTATGAATCAGTGCCTCTCAGATATGAAGTTATTGCTACAGGTATACCAACACCTGAAGCAATTTGGTATCATAATGGTAAACAAATTGTTTCAAATCAACATCTAAAAATTCTTCAAGCTGGTGTAAGTAAAATTCAACTATTACTCCGTAATTAAAAAGTGAAAAAGATTTTGAATTCTAATTTTTCCACACTACAAAAAAAATTTTACTATACAGGACAAATATATGCTAGAAACTGATTACCTCAATTTGGAGGATAAGGGTGAATACAAAGTAATAATAAAAAATAAAAGAAAGGAAGAAACGCTTATAGCTACAGTATCAATCGCTCGTAAGAAAAAATATTGATGTTGTAAAATTGTCATATTTTTTTAAATGTTGTCCGATCAAAATTGGTTCGAAAGAAAACTATTTAAAAAATTTTTAAATAAATGTGCACCACTATCTTAATTTTGTTATAATTTTTTTTTGTTTTTGAATTTTTCATAAAAAAACTTCAATTAGGACTTGAAATGTTCAATTAAATTGTATTTAATTAATTTAAAAAATAAATCCATTAAAACATTGAAATTAATACATAAATGTCAAGTTTTTAAATTGAATTTGTTGTACTTTTATGTTGTATTTCAAACTTAAAACAATTTTGGAAAGAAGGGTTTTTAAAATATATTAAATATTTTATAGCTAAAGCTGAATATAGAAAACCGATATTGAAAAAAGGACCACAAGATATCCAATGCAAAAAGGGAGACAATGTTTTGGTACCGATTGTTTTTACTGCCGATCCAAAACCCGATATTAAATTATTAAAGGATGGTAAAGAAATACCATTAGATGACAACGTTAAATTGGAAATTAAATCTGAACCATTAGAGAATGGCCTCAAACAGTTCACTGTTAATGTTATTTTCCCCTCTGGTATGTTATTTAAGTATAAAGAGATAAAATAAAAACTTATTCAATTCTTTAATTTTTTAGCACGTCATATTGATACGGCGGGTTACCAATTGCAAATAAAGAATGAACATGGTCAAATTGAACCTCGATTTGCTCTTGACGTTCTATCAAAACCAGAAATAATTGGATTGAATGATCAATCGTCATTACCCTATGAAACGATATCATATGATGCCAAAATTTTAGCTAACCCACATCCTAAAGTTACTTGGGCTAAAGATGATGTAAACTTGTGTAACTCCGAAAATCATGATGTAATTGCTGATGTAGATTCAGAAAAATATCGTCTTGTTATACAATCAGTTCGTATGGAAGATGGTGGCAGTTATGTATGCATTGCTACAAATTCTCAAGGAACGACTAAAAAAGAATTTAAATTGAATTTGTTAGGTAATTTAAAATAAAACTTTTTTCATAAAAATAAATTGAAAATTAATAATAAATAAATTTTAGTTGAAAAGCCTAGTTTTATCAAATTTCCCGAAAATCAGACTGTACATGATTATCACGAAGTTGAAGTTCAGGTGCGAGCCCAAGGTACTCCCCAGCCTAAAATTATTTGGACAAAGGATGGAAAACAAATTAACTTGGATGCCAAGAATGAAAACGGTGAAAAAAAATATAAAGCTGAAATGTCTTCTGTATCAGACAAACATATTAATGCAACATTAGTTATTAATCATATGAGTGCAAATGATGTTGGGCAGGTTAGTAGAGCCTATTCGCATATTTGAATAATTCAATACAATCAAAATAATATTTTTTTGAAAATATTAAGTATGTTGCAGTTGCTAAAAATGAAGCTGGTGAAACCGAAGCTAAATTTGAAATAAAGATGCTTCAAACTCCACCGTCTTTCCTTAAACCACTAGAAAAATCTTTAGAGGTACGTCAAGGAGAACCACTTGAATTGAAATGTGTTATTGATGGTAGTCCGTTGCCAACAGCCACCTGGTTTAAAAATGGAAAGCCACTTGAAGTTACAGACAGAATAATTACGGTAAACAAACCTGACGGAACTGTGATGCTTAAAATTGAAAACGCTTTACCAGAGGACAGTGGTGCATACAAATTGGTTCTGACCAATCCAAATGGTGAAAATGTAGCAATGTGTGCAGTGGCAGTTAAACGTAAGCAAGATTCTTCATATATGTAACCTATCTAACAATTGAAAATTATGATAAACATTTTTTAAAATAGCGGAAACATCAACTCCAAAGTTCATAAAACCATTAAAGGACTTGAAAGTTACTATTGGAGAGCCAATAGAACTCGAAGCACAAATTACCGGATTTCCATCCCCTGAAATTAAGTGGCAAAAAGATGATGTTCCCTTACGCCCAACGCAAGCTATTAGTTTTATTAATAAACCCCACGGAATCATTGGACTTAGGTAAAAAATAATTATTTTAAAAATTTCATGATATTTTTAAAAATGTCTTAAAATATTTCAGTGTTGAATCAGCGAGACCTGAAGATGCCGGCGTTTATAAAGTTTTAATTTCGAATCGTGCCGGTGATCTATCTGGTACAGCAAAAATTGAAGTTACTCCCAGGAAAAAGAAACCTCAATTTATTGCCGAATTGCAAAATATTGAGGTCGTTGAAGGTTTCCCTGCAATCTTGGAAGTGAAAACTGTTGGTAATCCACCACCAGAAGTAAAATGGTTCCATAATGGGGAACCAATAACTGGAGACTCTAAACACCATAAAATTGAAAAACGTCCGGATGGTACTTGTGCTTTAATTATTGAACATTGTACCCCAGCCGATATTGGAGCATATGAAGTGAAAGCTATAAATGATGTTGGTGCTATTTCCTCAAATGGAAAACTAAGCATTATTCCAAAATCGAATGAAACACTGCCAGAAGCACCACCTAAATTTGTTAATTCTCTACGTGATGTAAATGCTGACGAAGGGCAAGATTTGGTATTTTCAGCACCATTTGTGGGTAACCCAGTTCCGGAAGCTATATGGTCAAAGAATGGTGTACCACTATCGCCTAGTGATGGTAGAATATTGATGACATGTGATGGTAAAAATATAGGCCTTGTAATACATCAAGCCCAAACTTCAGATTCTGGCGTATATTCTTGTCTTCTCGCGAATCCATTAGGCGAAGATGAATCCAAGGGAAAAGCCAATGTTAGAAAAATATATAAAAAACCCTGTTTCGACCAAAAATTGGCTGATCAACAAGTATCGCATAATCAAGACGTTTACTTACCCGTTAAAGTTTCTGGAGTACCAGCACCAGAGTTAGTTTGGTCTTGCAATGGAAAGCCAATCAAAGAAAATGAAAAATATACTTTCAAGGTATTTCAAACAACATACTTCCTCTATTTCTTTAAACTTAAACTGTTAATATTATTCGTAATGACTAAAATTTTGTCATAGTATTTGTTTTTGTCCAAAAATATAACTTTTTTTTAACTTTGAATAGATTCATAAATTGACGGAAACTAGAATTTCTTTTTAATCTTCTCTAATATTAGACCAATGACTAAATCACCTTTTAAAATAAAACTGTTAAAAAACTTTTTCAATTATGCAATGATAATATTCGACACGCGTTATGTCAAATATGTGGTTTGCACTAAATGTAGTTTGACTTTAAAAATTTTTTGCTTTTAGCTAGAAAGAAATTCGATAATCGAAATTATAATTTAAAACTGAATACATACACTTCTTTTTGAAGGAACTGTAATCATTTGTAATAAATAATAATAATTCTTTGTTTAGTCCCCCAATTTACTTGTATGATTGTTTTTGCTTTTTGCCGAGAAATTATAGCTGATTCGCAATTAGCCTCAAAGCACTCCATTCATAACTATGTACAATTAATTAATAAACACAATATTTTTCATTTTTAAAAGCATGATGGCGATCATCATAGTTTGGTAATTAAGAATTGTCAACTAAACGACGCAGGAAAATACAAATGCGTTGCAAGCAATAAAGAAGGTGAAGACGTCACACAATGTAAAATTAATTTCGTCGACGAATCGTAAGACAAAAATAATGTTATTCTTTAAAAAAATGCTTAAAAAATTAAAAAAAAAAAAATCAAATATTTTTAGAGACAAATCAGCTAAATTCGAGGCCCCATCCTTCCTTAAAAAAATTGGGGACTGTGAAGTTTACGAAGGAATGGTTGCTAAATTTACTGCCTGTGCTACTGGTGTACCGGAACCAGAGGTAGAATGGTTCAAAAATGGACAAAAACTGTTCCCATCAGAAAAAATTAAAATGGATATTGAACCCAACGGGCTCCTTCGTTTGACAGTTCACAATGTTGATCAATCAGATGTTGGAAAATATTCTTGTAGAATTTTCAATCCTTATGGAGATGATAGCTGCCAAGCCGAATTATTTTACGATAGTAATTTTATTGAACTATATCTCATTATTTTTTTTAAATTGTTTTTATTTTTATTTTAGCCCTTGATCGCAATAGAAAACCAATTTATGACGATTATCAAGTTGAAAAAGGCGGAGCACCTCCACCGTTATCAGAAGCTCCAATTATATCGAAAATGACAGAGAGACGTATTACGCTTTCGTGGAAGCCATCCGTACCAACAGGATCTCGTTATCCAGTAACATACCAGGTGCTGACGTTAACGCAATGTTAAACTCAGAAATTAATTTATGATAATGTATTTATTTTGCTTTTACAGGTAGAAATGCTAGATCTTCCCAGTGGCGATTGGAAAACTGTACATACTGGAGTAAGAGGATGTTCTTGCGACATTAGGAATTTAGATCCGACAAAGGATTACAGATTTCGTGTTCGAGTTGAAAATAAATTTGGTGTCAGCGAACCAAGCCCATATACTCAAACGCAAAGGTTTTTAGAAATATTTTCATACTTTAAAATTCAAAATTTTTATTAGTTTTGGGTTTTTAGGCAAAAGCTGTTGCCAGAAATACCTAAGTTTTACCCATATTTGGAAGACGGTATAGATTTTCGTCCAGAAACTTCACCATACTTCCCAAAAGATTTTGATATTGAAAGACCCCCGCACGACGGTTTCGCCCAAGCTCCACAGTAAAAAATTTATCAATACATTTTTTTGCTTTCTTTTAAATTTTACTTTAATTTAGGTTTTTGCGACGGGAACAAGATGTTGTTTATGGCATTAAAGGACAAAGCGTTGACTTAATGTGGTTTGTGTACGGATACCCTAAGCCGGAGATGCATTACTACTTCGACGACAGCCCTATTGAATATGGTGGAAGATTTGATCATAGTTACACAAGAAATGGACAGGCAACATTATTTGTAAACAAGTGAGCTAGTGATTTTTATTAATTATATAACGTTAATAAAGAATGCCAAAAATTAAAGGATGCTCGACCGTGACGTGGGTTGGTATGAAGCTGTTGCAGTAAATGAACATGGTGAAGCAAGGCAAAGAATTCGGTTAGAAATTGCAGAACATCCAAGATTTACAAAGAGACTTGATGAAACCCATATAATGATTAGAAAGAATGGCCGTTTAGAAGCGCACATCGTTGGTGTACCATATCCAGATATTAAATGGTACAAAGATTGGAAACCACTAGCGAATAGCGCTAGAATTAAGGTATTTTCAAAATTGGATTCAAGTTATTCTAAAAATAATGTTTCAATAACTTTTAGATTAATTTCTTTGAACCGGATGTTACTGTTTTATCTATAGATGGAGCTATAGAGTCTGATTACGGTTTATACTCTGTTAGTGCAAGAAACATAGCTGGATCAATTAGTACATCTGCCACAGTTCATATCGAACAAGATGAAGATAGATATATATTCAAAGCTTATGGCCGTATACCTTATGTTCGCGCAAAACAAAAGCCTTATGAAAGTTTATATGATATTGGTGACGAACTAGGTCGTGGTACTCAGGGTATAACATATCACGCAGTGGAACGTTTAACCGGAGACGGTTATGCAGCTAAAATTATGCATGGAAGACCTGAATTCCGTCCCTTCATGTTTAATGAATTAGAAATTATGAACTTATTTAATCACAAAAATCTAATAAGGCTACATGATGCGTTTGATCAAAACGATACTGTAGCTTTAATATTAGAATTAGCTTCAGGTGGAGAGTTGGTGAGAGACAATCTGCTGAAAAGAGATTACTACACAGAACGCGATATTGCCATGTATATAAGACAAACTTTATGGGGATTAGAGCACTTACATGACATTGGCGTCGGACATATGGGACTAAATGTAAGCCAAAGCATTTACAACATATTTTTCTTAATTTTTAGCTCTTTAATTTTAGCTCAAAGATCTCTTAATTTCTATTCCTGGAAGTGACATCATAAAACTTTGCGACTTTGGACTATCCCGAAAAATAATTTCAGGTAAACTGTATCCACTCGAATATGGTATGCCAGAATATTGCTCACCCGAAGTAGTTAATGGAGAAGTCGTTGGCTTCGGGCAAGATATGTGGTCAGTCGGTATTATTACTTACGTATTATTGAGCGGTATAAGTCCGTTTAGAGGTGATGATGATCGTGAAACTTTAAATAAAATAAAGCAGGGTATTTGGAACTTTGATGATCCATTTTGGAACAATATCAGTGAAGATGGTCGCGATTTTATAAAACGCCTTTTAATTTACGATTCAAATAACAGAATGGATGTAAGAACAGCTTTAAGACACCCATGGTTCTATTTATGTGACCGAAAAGATGATTCATATTATCAAATCACAACCGACCGAATTAGAAAATATTATGGCTTATTCCGCGATTGGTATTCAAATGCTTCTTGCAAACACCACTTCAGAAGAAGGAAGTTAGCAACAGCATTTACGCATCCAACTCGAATGGTTTATCCACCGTACGAAGTTTATACTCCAGAAGCAACACCAGAACCCTTCTATGAATCAAAGACCAGATACAGACGTAAGGAAAGTGTATCTAAATTCCAACATCCAGATTATGAACTTGGTTTAATACAATCTGAAAGCCAGTAAGTATTGTACTATTTTTTTAAACTTATTAACTAAAATTAATATATTTTATTATATTAAAATTAAAAAATATGATAAAATTATGTATAAATAATTTTTAGTTATCAATCTGGTCCAGATACTTATTTGTTACAATTGCGCGATGTGGACTTTCCAGCACGTCTCAGGGGTTACATTAAGGAAGCACACAGGAGATCTCCATCGTACACATTAAACGAAAGTTGTATTGAATGGAGTGTAAGTTTCTTATCTAATTTTTATTTAAGTTTATTATTGATAATTCTTAATTTACTAAATAAAATTTAAATTACGATTTTATGTACGATACACGTACGTGTGTACATATCTCAGACTTATTATTGAAAATTATCAAAACTATTTTTTATTTTTTCAGCTTCCCGTCATTAGAGAAAGAAGACGTTTTACTGATATCATGGATGAAGAAATTGATGATGAAAGAAGGTCAGTTATTAACAATTACCGCATTAATGACTCGTACCATATCAGGCGTTTGAGAACTGAACTTGGTTCAAGATTAGATTCATACACAGAAGCTGAAGCCCTAATGGAAACACAACGTTCTGGCTTTCCACCATTCTTCCGTGAAAAGCCTCAAGATTTAGCTATTACCGAAAATGAATCCTATTGCATGAAATGCTTCTCAGTTGGTGATCCAAGACCTATTGTGCAGTGGTTTAAGAATGACACAATAATACAAGAAACTAAAAGAGTTAAAATATTTGAAGATGATGATGGCCGCTCAATTCTTAAATTTGACCCTGCAAACTATAATGACGTTGGTGTATATAAGGTAGTAGCAAGAAATAAAATTGGTCAAACCGTAGCAAGATGTCGCGTTGTTTTGGCTACCTTGCCAGATCCACCAGTTTCACAGGAAGTTATTTCTATAAGTGATACAGAAGCACTCTTAAGATGGAAACAACCTCGTTTTGATGGAAATTCATCAGTTGTTTGTTATAGTCTACAATATAAACAACATGATGGGGAACAGTGGTCCACTATAGCTGATAATATAGATCATGAATTCTTTTTGGTTCATGGTTTGCAACCTAACAGTAGTTACCAATTCAGATTAGCCTCACGAAATCGCATTGGATGGAGTGAAATGGGCCACATTTTAAACGTTACAACATTACAAGCTGGTTCAGAGAAAATACAAATTTCTAATACTATGAGACATTTACAAGAAATCACAGAAAGCGGACATGAAGTTGAGTTTGAACACGAAAAAAGTTTTATTGATTATCACAGTGAAATAAACCCACCTGAATGGAACTTAGACAATAGTGTCTTTGACAATTATAAATTTATTTCAGAAGTTTTTAAAGGCAAATTCAGCACTATTGTTAAAGCTGTACAAAAAAGTACTAATCAAATGGTAGTTGCAAAAATATTTGAATATACAGAAACGAATTCTAACGATATTGAAAAAGAATTTGAAAACTTCAGAACCTTACGTCACGAAAGAATTCCAGCCTTAATTTGTGCTTTCAAACCTTCAAATGCACGTATTGCAATTTTAGTACAAGAAAAATTACAGGGTGCAGATATTTTAACATATCTAAGTAGTCGACATGAATATAATGAACAAATTGTAGCAAATATTGTACATCAAATTCTTGATGCGCTACAATATGTTCACTGGCGAGGTTTTGCGCATTTGAATTTACAACCTGATAACGTTGTCATGGCAAGCGTACGTTCTGTTCAAATAAAATTAATCGACTTTGGTTGTGCTAGAAAAGTCTCTAAAGTTGGAACTGAAGTACACGAATGCGGTTTGTTGGACTTCCAATCTCCTGAAATGGTTTGTAATGAGCCTGCATTCCCGCAATCGGACATATGGTCACTTGGTGTTTTAACATATTTAATGTTGTCAGGATGCAGTGCCTTTAAAGGAGAAAATGATAGTGTAACCAAACAAAACATTTCATTTGTTCGCTATAGATTTGAAAATTTATTCGAGGAAGTAACACCAGAAGCTACGAGATTTATAATGTCCTTGTTCAAAAGACATCCTACGTAAGATAAAATTTACAAAATTGTAAGCAGAAATTTTTTTAAGATACTGTAACATTTATATTTCCCTACAGAAAAAGACCATACACCGAAGAATGCATGGAACATAGGTGGTTGACCTCGTCCGACTATATGGTAAGAAAGCGTGAAAGAGCCGTATTTCTTGGATCTAATTTGAAGGTAAATACTTTATGTACTATATCTTAGCAGAAACTACGTAATTTGGGGTTTTTTGTTCAATAGAATTTTTTTAATACATTATTTTTTCAAAACATTTTAGAAATTTTCTGATGAGTATCATTCGAAAAAGTATGCCGAAACATCAAATGAGAATTTGATGTCAACGCTTGGTGGAGGTCCAACACCCAGACAGCTGTTAAGGTCAAATAGCATTCAAGAGGAATTATCAGCACAATTCAACTAATCTCTGAAAACTATTACAAAAACAATGAAAATACATGTTTTGTTTGCTAACACCCTTATGAAGTTTTTAAAGCGTCATTTCATAAATTAATTTTCTTTAATGTAAATAATAATTAGCGCTGTAATTTAAAACATCATATAATATATTATACCAAATTTAGTTATTTATTATTTATGTATATAATTTAATTTTTAATAAATATTACCATGTTAAATTAAATGATGTCAATCTAATACAACGGCTAACAAAGGTCGACTTTTAACAATGTGACGGAACCACATTTCACTTTATCATTCATTTTTAAAACAAAAAAAAAAAGATATTAAAATTTTATAGGAGTAAATATTTCATCAATAAGAAGAAAATTTAATTTACGGTTTAGAATTTCCGAATATTGTTTAGAATTTTGATTTTTCAAAAAAATAGAATAAAATTTATAAAAATTTTCATAAATGCAAAACAGATTTATTGGCAACGCGGATGAAACGTTTGTCAACTATTGATATAAGAGTCGTCGTGTAAACACAGCTAATATTATTTAGATAGTGACACTATTCTTTTTGACAAATGTGAAAAGTAAATGGGAACAAAAGGTTTATAATTTTTCAAATGTGAATTTCCAAAATTTTTACCAAAGTACCTCAATCAGTATTAAATAGTAAAAATATGACATGAATATATTATTTCAGACGAGACAATTTCGAAAATTAAGTTTTGAAAAATCAAGTTTTTGAGTTATTAAAGCAAACTATAAATTATCTGGCTAATGACACAAAAATAAAATATGATTATGGCAGCTCTATTTAAAACACGAACCAACCACCTGTCAAGACATTGAATTCATAATGCAATGCAACTTCATGTTCTGGTAATGTCAGAAAAATGTAAGAACATTTGTCATTACCTTGTGTCATATATGCATATTTACGCACACATTTACGTTTAATAAATTAGAAGTTTACTGGGAGGTGTGGTGCCTTTTGTATTTTCGAAAAGCTGTTGGTAAATAGTTTATATGTGTTAAAGAATGGATTTATCTGCTTGAGAGTTCTTGTAATAAATATATAAATTAATATGAAATTTGTTGATATTCTAAAATTTTTTGTTCGTTGTCATTAATGGAAGTTTTTTTGTTTGCAATAATCTGGCAATAGCAATATATTTTGCATTAGAAGTTCAATAAAATAGGAATAAAACAAGTAGGTATTCATCTACCTACTTACATATATAACAATTGCTAATTTTTGTCAATATGCTGTGCTGTGATTATTATCTTATGAGTGGCAAAATACAGAATCGAAATGACATTAAATTTAGTGTAGAAAAGTGCTTAAAAAAATATCTTTAATAGAAAATTTGTATAATTTAGAATATTTAGATATTGTTGATAATATAAAACTTCTAAAATTTTAGCTACACATAGTCATAAATTCGGGATTCATAAATGTGTGCATTTTATGTATATATATACATATGTGTAGCTATATGTATATGTATTTAGTAACAATATAAATAAGTATATGGAAGCAAATTTCTTATATTGATAATCCACAAAAGATAAAATGTGTCATCGTCGAATAAAGAGGAAACATTAACGAAAGTTCTTAAATAAATGAAATTTTTTAGTTAACTTTAATGAAATTAATTAAAATGTAAAAATGAAAAATCTTTTATAGTTTAGATTATTAGGTAACTGTGGACGTATTGCAATACGACTTTTACTTTGTTGTATTAAATTCTTAAAATGTGTTTTTCTTGTTTTTATCAATGGTTTTAATGTTCTTATTAGAATCTACGAAATCCATTTAAAAGGAATTTCGAAACTTGTGACAATATTAATTATAATTCATATTGGTTACATCTCAAATTAACAACTGTGTTATTATAATACATACATCTATGTGCCAAGAAAATATACTTATGTAGCTGCTTATCTTTTTATATATTTTATTAAAGTTTATTGAACGTATTTAGTTAAACAATTTACAAATTAATTACAAATGATTGTGCTCTTGTTAATAGCAATTGGTCATATTTAATAATCGAATTTAGATATGTATAATGAAAAAATAATAAACAGCATATTGGTAAATTAAAAAGTAAAACAGCAATGTAAAATTTTTAGTTCATAAAATGTGATTTTGCTTAATTTAAACTATATTAAATTTTTCTTTCTAGTAAACGCTGTCATAATCCAATATATGATGGGAAAGTTACTCTCAAAAATTTTTGGGAACAAGGAAATGAGAATACTAATGCTTGGACTAGATGCTGCAGGAAAAACTAGTATCCTTTACAAAATATTTTAAAGAGCACTAATAATTCCCTACCTGTATTTTTAAGAGCCCTGTAATTTTAAGTACCTACCTATGCATAAACTATTTAAATATAAAATATCAGTTTACCTACAAGTTTATTTTTTATTCAAAAACGTAATATCAAATGAAAATATTTCAAAACAAAATTTTTCAAAAACAATGATCAAAACAAAATTCAATCAAAATTTTCAATGTTCAAAACAAAATTTTTCAAAAACTAATTAGTAATGAAAATCCTTATAACTTGATTATAGCTATTTTATACAAACTAAAATTAGGTCAAAGTGTTACAACCATACCTACAGTGGGGTTTAACGTAGAAACAGTAACATATAAAAATGTAAAATTCAATGTATGGGACGTAGGAGGACAAGACAAAATTCGTCCACTTTGGAGACACTATTATACTGGTAAATAAAGAAATAATGTTATATATATTTTATATAATATATGATATGTATTAAAACATTGTATTTCAAAATTTTCAGGCACACAAGGGTTGATATTTGTTGTTGATTGCGCTGATAGAGATAGAATAGATGAAGCCAGAACCGAATTACATAGAATCATAAACGATAGAGAAATGCGTGATGCGATTATTTTAATATTTGCAAACAAACAAGATCTTCCAAATGGTACAGAAAATCACATGTATATAATTTTAATAATAAATTTATTAATTATTTTAGCTATGAAACCACACGAAATTCAAGAAAAACTGGGTTTAACTAGAATAAGAGATCGAAATTGGTATGTACAGCCCTCTTGTGCGACATCAGGGGATGGTCTATATGAAGGCTTAACATGGCTGACATCAAATCACAAATTATGAAAAACATTTTTATTGTGCATGTATCAAAAAGTAATTTTATTTTTTATTTTGAAAAACGCAATGTAATTTATTTCAGTTTTATCAAATTTAAGAGTAACTCTCGTTATTTTATTAAACTCTCATAAGTAATTTTTATTAGAAAATTAATTTTAATCTTTTATTCATTTTATTCATACGGCAAATTTTTTTAGTAAAACATAAAAAAAAATTTTTTTATACAAAAAATATTAAACTGAATAATCGATCATATCATCAAATATTTTGGTATTAATTTGATGCAAATAAACTACATGTTGTATTTAGTTTCATGCAGTAACCTTAAGTCTTAAAATTTCTTTTTTAGGAAATAGTAAAAAATTAATCTGATACAATATTGCTTCGAACAAACATTCATTTGCATCGGAAAACTTCAACGAAATAAGGTTATATAATAAACCTAGTTTTTATAAATTGATAAATTTTTTTTTTTTTTTTTTTGGAAAACACTATTGTCAATTATTGCAATTAAGAGTAAAACAATCGAAAATTAATTTTCAATAAAGTAAAAAAGTTTTTATTAAAATTACTATTTTAAGTATAAAATAGTGCTTTTGATAAAGGAACAAATTCTACTTGAAAATCATAAATTTCGAAGTGCTCTTATTGATTTGTCTATCTTTATTCTACTTCAGTGCCGTTTACCTAAAAAAAACCTATACAAATAAACGATATTATTAAATTAAATTTATTTCAATTCGTTTTTATATTGGTAGATTTTTTACGGCAAATAGAGAAATACTGCATATTTTTACAATTTTTCTTTGCAAAAATCCATATTTTTTCTTTTATTTGGCTTAGCTATTAAAAAATTATGGATAAATTAAAAATATTGAATTTTTTTTATTTGTAAGTTACATTTTATTTTTATATGAACATAATGAAAAGAAAAATGCATAAATAATTATATAATTATTAGTTTTTATTATTAATCAAATAGAGAAAATTACAATTAAATATTTATTTAAATAAAAAAGGTCGTATTATTTTGAAATAACTTTTTAACATAATTTTATAATAATTAATTTTTTTTTGTATTCTACAAGAAGTACGTAAGCGTTATTTAAAAGGAATGCTTTAATTGAAATTTCATTTATCCATTTATTTTATATTTTCTCTTGTTATACATTTTTAATTCTTGTACATATCGCATAAAACTTTTTCCATTTGTGTATTGCCAATTATTTTCTTAAAATAAATTGTCTCAATTTTGTTAGAACTAATTGTACGCAGTAGAGGAAGCATAAGTAAAAGACGTCCACATCTAGCTAATTGCGCAGGATATTGTGTTCTCGAATGTTGTGCTAACATAACCTAAAGAATAATCATTTATGTACAAAATATATAAAAATAAATATTAATTTTATAAATAAAAAAATAATTTACATGAGCCTGATCTTGCAAATTTTCAATTTGTGAGGGATCTTTCAGTCCTCTAGTTTCTGGTTTAAAAAGAACTACAGCCTTCAAGCATGCGAATTCCGCAGGGTCTACTAAAACCGCTTTGAATTTGCTAAAGATTTCAAACAGTGTTCGGATATCAAATGAAAGCTAAAAATATAAAATTTAATTAAATTTTGAAAAATGGCATTTTCTAGGATATATTTCAATGGCAAAATGCAAAAAACTTAAAAATTTTTTATTTTTTTCTAACTATGAAAATTTTATAGATGTATTTTATAGAAATATGTATTTGAATTTGCACCTTTCATATTTGTTAAATAACAAAATAGAAATTAAATTAAGGTTACCTCATTTTTTGATTCACCAACGTTTTCAAAATGTTCTTGTTCGGAAAAAAGGGGACATCCTGCGGCATCTAATGGAATACACCACTGTATAGCGTTTAAAAGAAACAGTTCAGACCAGGATTCCTCAAGTAGAATAATCTTAAAAATTTACAATCATTAACAAATTAATTAATCAAAAAACTGCAGATAATATTGGTGTATATTTATAATATGATTAAAATTATAAAGAAATATTTAAAAAAGGAACAAACAAGAATTGAGCCTATTCTGACTTAAAAATTTTAGATTTATAGTCGACTAATAGATTTAGACATTAAAAAATTTGAAGCAAATGTTTAGACAGAAAGCATGAAATTAGAATGCGTAATGGCAATCGAAAAAACACGAATTAAAAAATGCTTTGATTAGATAGATATTCATATTGCAAAATGCCTTCACACAATTATTTTTCTATTAATTCCATGACTTGTACCTGGTTCCTTCTTTTAAAAATTTGGTTGATGAGTGCTTCGTGTACGAAGAATTCAATAAAAATTTTAAATATACCAAATTTAAATAATATTCACATACTTGGTCTCTAAAAGCTAAACTGCCAAAACTTGGCAGATTTTTCGCCCATTTAACAGCCATAAAAAGAAGTCTTGCGCTAGTTTCATATACAGTCTCCGAACAGCCAGCATAAATTGAATTTGTTAAAATTTTAATATCAGGACGTCCAGGTATAGGTGATATTTGCGCATCGCCATCTTCGTCATTGGTAACATCGATTGAATCTTCTATGTAAAAGAAAATATTTAAATAGTTTGTACTTTTAATTGAGAGTACAACTATGTTAATAGTTCATCAAAATAGTTAAAACTCAATTCAAAATTTAAGTAAATTACCTTCGTTATCATTATCTATAGAATACCCTAATGATTCGCAAGATGATCGACTTTCTTTATATAGATCCGAAAATTTAACTTCAGAATCTAAAATGCATGTTTTCTGATATAATTCAGTTAATTTAGTTGAGAGTAAAAATTAATCATTGAAAATAAAAAGGTAAAAAAATATGAGCAAATAATTTACCTTTATTTTCTTTGAGTCCCTTTGAGTTAGTTTGATAGGAAAAGCTTTCATTTGAAAAATTTGAAAATTGCGACAAATTTGGCGTTAAATGAAATTTGCAATTTTTATCGGAACTGTGTAAAACTTCAACTAAAATAATTTGATAAAATTTTTTGTAAATTACTAAAACCTACATTATAAAATAATTATTATTATACTTACATGAGGAAACTATTGGCCCGTTATTGCAACACGGAGCAGATAAAACGACAGGAGATCTAATAAATGAAATAAAAAAGTTATTAGCAAAAGCATTTAATCTTTTTGATAAATATTAATGAAATAAGGTGTATTATAAATTCATGGCAAACTATTTGATACGACAGCTATTGTATTCTAGGTTCTTAATTTTCTATATTGCAGTCAAAAATTTTTAACGCAATACTAAGAGAATCCCAATGATGGGTTGGGATTTAAAATTTAAAACTTAAATGATAATTTGGGATAAAACTTAAAAGTAATTAGCAAAAATTACTAAAAACATTTTAAAAAGAAGACTCGTTCTACGTTGGCATATTGAACAATGGTCTTAAATAAATTTTCGGTTAGATTACTTAGGTCATAGCTCCCTCAAAGACCTAGTTAAGTCAAATTAGCTCGTTGTAATACAATTGAAATATTTACTCTTGTTTGTACTTGCCTAATTTTTTAATAAATCGATTAAAATCCGGTTAGCATTTACATTTGTTGAATTCGCAACCCATAAAAGGGAACTAGTTCTACAAAGTTTTTTTCTCGTGCTCCTAAATACTCAAGTCCAGAATCCAAACAATAGCTAATTTCAAACTCTCGACGAGTTTTCAGACTAGGTTTTGTCTGTTTTCATTTCTTTCGGTTTTTTTTTTTTGTTTTGTATTGAATAATAAAATTATTTAATGATAAATCAGGTATTTTCAAAATATAAAACATGTACATATATGTACATACGTAAATACGTAACTATAGTTTAGTTTACGTAGCTATTTATGTGAATAATGTGTAATAGTATACTTATATTCGTAATATGTAAATGTTTTAAAACAAAAATTAAATTCATGTACATATTATTTTTTTTTTCTATTTCTTACCCAAAAACACCAACAGCTACAGCTGCCTCCCTCAAGGCTTGTCCATGTTCCATATCCCGCAGAGTTTCAGGTTTAAGTGTGGCAGTATTTCGTGGTTGCCGTTCATTTTGTACAGCTAAGACAGTGATTTAGAAAGGAAAAGAAAAAAAAAAAAAGAATTCATATTAAATTAGTTTGGAAACTCTTTTAACAAATCTATTTGCATTTATACAGTGTCAGACATCTACAGTTAAAATAATTCTCATTTAAATAAGTATGTATGAATGTTTAATTGCAACAAAATAGATTTCTGACTATCTATCTAATGTGTATTAGGAAAAATTAAAAATACTATTCATATTTGTACGTACATAATATGTGTATGTATGTAAATATGTACATATGCATGTACGTTTTGTCTATTTCCAATAAATTATGCAAAAATAGAGAGCACGTGCAACACACTCATTGATTTTCATCGTATGTGGTAAAAATAATGTTGGAATTTTAAATGAAGCGAAAGCACTTGAAGCGTCCTTAATATATTTAAATGAAGTAGAAACAATGATTCATTTTGATGTGTTTTTGAAAATTTGTCAATAGGTGTTTAAAGTAAATTACTTTATTTCGTATGATACCTGCTTGTTACACTTTTTGATTTCATACATAATTATTGTATATAGAGATGTTCACATATGTACATTTGTATGTGCATATACTAAAATCAGAATTATGTAATTTTTTTTATATCTACATTTAAATAGTAAAATCTTAGTATGTTTGGTTTGGAAACTGTTTATGCTTTGCTTTTCCGCATTACACAAAATTAAATGTATTTTAACTAATATAAATTGTAGGTATATGTGTTTTGAACTAAATATATTTTTTAAATTTAATTTAAGAAGGGTTATAAAAATAGAGTGGGCCAATGCAAATTTATGTGTTTTGTCAGACTCAATGGTGAATAATGAATTATGAAATTCTTTCATGGCAATTTCAAAAATTTCACTTATTTCTGTAAAAAAAATTTGTTTTAAATGTTTAAAGCATTTCAATTAAGTAATAGTCTCCTAAACACCCACATATATAGAATTCCAGTATTATAATTAATTACAATAGCGAATAAGTTGTGTAAGATTACTTTGGAAACAAACTGAAAGAGTTTTTTTTTTCAATTTGTAATCATTTTTCAAATGATGAAAGCTTGTAAATTTCAAAAATGTGGGTTTTATGTAAACTTATATGAGATTTTTTTAATTTCATATACCAATTATTATGTAAGTATTTGCTTAGATCTCAAAATAATATATCAGATAAAATAATATCCATATTGAAATTCAAACAACTTCTCATTTTTCCCCGTTTATAAATGACCCACCCTAGTATAACTATTAACACACAGTATTTATGCACATTATTCCCACATTGAATGTAACACCGTTAAACTTTTTTTTAATATTCATGTTTTTCTATTGTTCAAAATTATGACATTAATATACATAATGAGGGTCTATTGCAAAATTAATTAAGGAATGCAGCATTTAACATTATTAAAATGAATATTTATTTTTCACTTTGATATTTAGGATAGCGTTAATTGCGTTAATATTATTCATGACGTGAAATTATATATGTAAATGAATAATCAAATGATTGTGGTCATTCTTTTAAAAAATCTTAAGCTACACCTTTCTATTATGATTTCATTTAAATATTGTTATGTCCAATATTTTATTTGCCTTCATTTTTTCTACTTATAAAGTTATTCATATTTTAATTGAGTGTTCCGGGCCCGTATTATATGAAATACGTACTTTTTAACTGTGACGAGTCACAAAAATTTTCAAAGGGGCTGCCATTTGGGCAGTACTAATGTGAGTTGCAAATATGTAAAAGAATTTTTTTATATTATGTTCTTGAATATAGTTGATATTAAATAAGTTTTGGAAAAATTTAAACAGAAATTATTGAAATAAATTTAAAAAAAAAAATTTTTTTATTCAAATTTCCTGCTAATGTATTTTTTATTTTTTCTTCGTTGTTTTCAAAATTAAATCCTTGTGGAAATTTCGAAATTATCTCCTTTAATCCGAAAAAGTTTTACACTAATAAAATAAGCAAAATAAATAAATTAGTAGGTTTACAAGTTGACGTGCCTAAATTTTAAATTCTTTTTCCCATTGATTTAGAAATTTTCATTGTAATTTTTCAAAAATTCTTTCAGTACAAAATTTTTCTTTTGATTTTTTATAATTTTTCCAAATTGCTATACGTACATATTTATTATTTTGTTCTGAAAAAATTATTTAAGGCGCTTTAAATTTATTATCTCAATTGTTGTCTGGAAATCAAACACAAACAGCTAAACAATATGGCAATATGATTATGGAGCAGGTTTTTTTTTTGTGTATTATGAGCACCTACCCAAAAAATATGTCACATTCCATAATTTTACTTCGTTCACTATTTTCATACCCTAGCGATTCATCTAATCTTTTTGTTGCGTTCATAAACATATTAGAGCGTGTTCTTGCTTCCGAACAGTATGGCGTCGGTAACCCAATCATGGTAGGGAAAAAACAATACGATGTACTCGTAATACTTTGCTTCACTTATTACCATTATTTAAATTATGTAATAATATTCAAAATTATTTACAATTAAATAAGATTAGGCTCACAAGTATTTTGTATAGTGTATTGCAATTTTTATTGTTGAGTTGAGAACAAAATTAAATTTCTATTTACCTTTCCGTTCGTTTATATTTATAGTTTACATACCCGGCGGGTGAGGACGATTTTCGTTATGTTGTTTTTAAGTTTTTGTCAAAGAAAAACATGTTTTCGTTTTCGTTGTCAATAACTATAGTAGATCTATTACAGTAGATTTGAAATTCACTAACTGAAAATTTTACTATTGTATATGTAAAAGTTTTAGTGTGTTTTTTTTTTCAAAATTCCTCCGCAGGATCAAATCAATTAATTTAATAAGTTAAAATGAAATTATAATAGATATAGATTATCCATGTACACCAAACCTTCTTTACAATTAATGATTATTTAATTTATTCCCTTTTTAAAAAAACACATCCATTATACATACATACATAAATATATACGTTAATCTGTGTACTCACTTAATAACTATTAAAAAAGAAAAATAATACAAAAAATATCTACACACATTACCGTTAGAATTTTCTTTCTCTCTTTATTTGTTACAAATTTTTCAAACTCTCTTATAAATCTATTAAAATTACTTTACTCTTCAAAAACACCCTTAAATTATTATAATATTTTTACCGTTATTTGATAAATAATGGAAACTTTTCTACTTTATGCATAAGCATCATGAAATTAATACATAGGTACACAAAAAACAAAATAAAAAATCTTTTTACGTGACAGCAATATTTAATTTCCTTCAAAGAGGTTTCTTTTATCAAAAGATTCTTAAATCTTATTATACTGAATGTTTTTTATGAACTGATTGACCCAACTAAGTCAAAGAAACTACTATATTATGTAGAAGTACCTGTTATGTATGCATATACCGTTTATTCCTGTCAAAAAAAAGAAAAAGAGAAAACTCTATGACTTCAGACGAAAGAGTCAATTGAATTTTTTTTATGAATTAATTTTTTCCTTTTTTGAATTTTTAACACTATTTGTGTAATCAAATTCTATTTTTCTAAATATTCATCATTTTATATTTGTTTATTTTAAATATACATACATATGTACACATATAAATAAGAAAAGAAAAGGCAAAAAAAGAAACAAAAAGAATAAGAAGGTGTAGGCAATCCCATAACGTATTAAATTTTATTTGATTTTTCAAACCTTTCCCGTTTCAAATGATATATTTTCATTGGTCAGAACAAACCCCTTTTTTTTACTGTTACTCAAAGATGTATGTATATAAGCATATATGTAATAGATAAGTATGTGTATATTCTCCCCATTTACAGTTAAAATGATAGAAATAATAGCATTAGTATCACACACAAATATACTTATATAAAATCGTATATGTATGTACATGTATTGATAGATTTGTAAGCATGTATGTAACGTAATAACGTAAGCATGTAAATCTAAAACTAAAAGACGGATTTTAACGAATGACGATTGTTTATTAAAATAAATAAAATATTTTAGTATAAAAGAGAAATTTTCTATATTTTTATTAAAAAATTAAGCATTTAAATTTTTTACAACAAAAATCAAGGCCCAAAGTCTTTAGCACCAAGTTTAAGAGATTCCAGAAAACATTAATTTTTTCTATTAATTATGTGCCAAATTATAAAATATAAATTAGTTTTCAGTCTAAACGGTAAGTGTAAGTAATTTACACATTTCCCTTGATTTCCCTTTGTTGTATGAAATTAAAAATTATTGCATAGTTTTGGGATAAATTTTTCTCAAAACTATGCAATAATTTCATCACTGTCTGAAGATACTTTGGTGTAAAAGTATTAAAGTTTCTGAAAAATAAACAACCGAAAACTGTTAAAATCACAATAGAAAATTCTAAGTGAAAATCTATGGGCAGTATTAAGAGACTATACTAATTAAGAGACCTTTTTTCTCGGACAGAAACGTGGTTCAGTTCAGTTTTGCTACTAGTTTTAAGGAGTACGAGTATTAGTTTAAAAATATTAAATGCACTGATTTGCAAACCTTATACATAATAACAATGCACTTACCATCTTTATTCATTCCCATTTGCAAGCATTTCTTTAATCTGCAAGCTTGACACTGATTTCGGTGAGCCTTGTCAACAATACATCTACCTGTCCCAGCTTGACACCTGAAAGAAAATTCAAATTTATTTTATTTAAACTTAAAAAAATTTTGCCTATTTTGTTCTAATACGTTGTGTAATCCTTCCTCTAAATTTTATTATTTTTTCTAGATGGCTTTCCGAAATTTTTGAAAGAACTTTTGATCGTATGGCCTTATGAGAAAAATCAGCATTACGAAATCAAAAATCACCGATTGATTGCAAAGACTTCTTTGATCCCTAAGTAATTTAGTAAAAAAAATTTGAATTATTTTAGGGGGAGGGTAGATTAGGGGAAAATTCCTATCGTTCCAGATGATTCATGTTAAAAAAAATTCGTTTCGAGATCCGTTTTTAAAAATGGAACAGGTATAAAAATCATTATAAAACCCACTTATTCTGTGTTTAAGATTAGTAAAATTGCCTCTATGAAATGAAATTCTTAGTGATCCCAAAAGTTCGTTAAAAAAAAAGAGTAGTTATTTACATTACCATTAAGAAAAATGTCAAGTGCTTTGTGGATTCTGAGCTAACAATAATTAGACTTCATATTATAATGTTGTTTCTTGATTCATTTCAGTGTATAGAAAGGTGGCTCGCATAAATCGTAAAAACACATGCTTTCATTGTATTATTCGGCGTTGTTAAGATTCACCCAGTTATGAGAGTAAGTTGCTACTGTAAGGCAGGTAGGTAACGAGCCTGCCTTAATATTTTTTTATATTAAATAATTAAGGTCACTGGTATTTTTTATTTTATTTTATTGGTTTTTAAAATCACGTATTATGGAAATGTGGTAATTAATTTTATATTAATGTTTTATTTTAGAAATATTGTATACATATAAAGCTATACACTATTGAATATTCAAGCATTCGAAAATTTAAAATCAAAGGCCTGGATTCTCATACGGTGGGATACCACTTCCCGGTGCAATATTTACAAAAAAAAATAAATATTTTCAGAAAAAAAAACGTATGTGAAATTTATATTTTTTTGTCTCTTGCTTTTAAGACAAAATAAATTTGGACTACGTAGGCGTTTTTACCTAATGATGAAAAATAAAGTACAAAGAAGCGCTGTAAAAGTGAATATTTATAAAGTGATTACAAGCATTGTGTATATAATTTATAGTGATACACAGAAGGCAATTTTTGTAATTACACAACGAACTATACTTTGTTTTAGGGGCGCTAGTGAGTATTAAGTTTTTTAATTTAAAATAGTGCCACTCAAAAAAAAGTAGCATCATTGTGTAACTGCAAAAATTATTTTCTGTGTATGCACAATATAAACCAGAGGTGGCGAGCCCACGGCCTCAAGACCGTATGTGGTCTCTAAGGGTTTTTGTACGGGCCTGCTCCGCCGCCTTTTGTATATGGAATAAATAAAAACTGAATTTAAAATAAAAAGAAAATAAAATTTGCACAGCAATAACTGTACAAAAGCTACATTTATTGATATTAAAACTTATGCGGCCTCCTTAATTATTGTTATTTTAAATTTGGCCTCCATGGTTAAAAAGATTCTTCACCTCTGATAAACTATATACAGAATATGATATAAGTGAGTTTTATAAAATTATTTTTAACGATTTTAAAACAAGGTAAAAGAATCTATTTTTAATCATTTTTATAATTATTTCTTATTTTGTAATTAAAATAAAATTTCAAAATAATTTTCCATTCAAAATAAGAAGCTAAAAATCTTTTATTACCGGCAAGAAATCAAAATCAAAGAACTGCAAAGTGCGGAATTTAATTTAAAAGATTTACCAGAATTTTGGCGGAGTTCGAAAGATATTGTGTCCAAAATTATTTACACATGAAATTTTATTATAGTTACGCACTTTTTGGTTTTTCTTGTCATTTTAAAAAAAAAAACTATTTTGCATATTTTCAGGATTATAACAAAAGTTCTGATCGAATTTTCCTGATAAATATCTGTTGTATTAAATAAAAAGGAGGGGGGGGGGGGGGGGGGAGAGAGGCGGGAGCGAACGGTTTCTTTATTAATTTCAAATGTCAGTGTATAAGATAGACAAAATAGCACCAGTTTCAACTACGACAAATAATTCTTAAGATTTATGTAAGTTTGTACAACAAATTCCTCTATTCTAGTATGAAAGTAACAAAACGTTTACTTACTACATATACACAAAGTAGAAATTGAATATTATGACCATATAATAGACAAGGATCCTCAAATAAAGCATAACAAGAAGGCAACAGTTGTACTTTATTTTTAAGTGCTAAAAACCTAAACTAAATTTTGAATACAGAAATGTATACACATATAAACATACAAATGAATAATAGTAATTTTTAACAAAATTAATTTTATTAGGTTAAGGGTCGTCACTATACACGAATATGGAAAAATCAATGATATTGATGGCCTTTTGATGACTAAAAAGGATAGTTAAAATATGCATAAGTACATTTTTCAATTTTAATATGAAAACCATAATCCTATATCCTGGCACTTTTTATTTTCTTCTCTTATACTCTTTTTTATTCTAAGTTAATTGAAGTATGAAGGGGATTCAAATTTTTTTTCTTCATTTTCAAAAAAAAAAAAACAAAAATATCATGTTGTTTAAGCCTAAAAATTTGTCAATCTAAAAACCGTTTTGCCTTTATACTTGTTTGTACTCAAGCAAAATGTTTATATGATTGAACAATACATACACACACATATATATACATATGTAAAAGAACGAAGAATATTATAGTTTGAAAAAAGGAAAAATTATTTAAATTCAATTACATTAATGACATTTTTATTTCTAATTCAATTTTTATATTTTCATTTTTATTCTATAACATTTATACATATATGTATGTATACATACAGACCTGTAAATTAGTTTTCTTCGTACACTTCTTTTAAAAAATCCTGAACAACCATTGCATGCCAATATACCATAATGTTTGCCAGAGCTGGTGTCACCGCATACAACACAAATTAAATTCATAATTTGAAATTTTCTATTTTGGCCATTTATTGTTCCAGATATATTTTCTTTGAGACTGTGTTTGTTTGAGTGTTGCTGTTGTTGTTGCTGTTGCTGTTGTTGTTGCTGAGAATTCCATGATGTTAAATTTTGAGACGTGGTATTAGTTGAAGGAGATTTTCGTAGATCTATATATGCATGCAAAATAAAAAAAATATAAAAATTGAATGAATTAAAAATTAGTCAAAAAAAAAAAAAAAAATAAATTCCTTAATCTAAGAATTTTTTTAACAGTTTCATTAAAAAACATTATTTAATCCTTAAACAATTTTAGATTTGATTTATCGTTTCCTTTTGTCATATTTGTTGTATGTTATATAAAACGGTTAGGAAAAAGGACTTGTTACAATTTTCATTTTTTTTTCTGGTTTTTTTTACTGTTTACTGTTGAGCCTTCAATTGCTATTCTATACCCACTCAACTCATATAATATAACCAAAATATCTATTTAAATAAAATAAAAATAAAGTGAAAAAAAAATTATTAATGCACAAAATTTTTCCCTTGGGAGAAGGGTTCAATCACATCAACCCTAAAATTAAATTGACGAAGTGATTTTGATTCAATTTGAATTTTATGAGGAGATTAAGATCATATGCTTCATTTTTAGGTTTATATATACGTTATAAATGAAACAAGAAAAGAAGACAAATTAAAAAATAAAATTCCAATGAATACATGTATACACCAAAAAAAAAAGAAGAAGAAACACCAGATCATAGGGCATGCATGTACAAATACCAGCGTAAAATAATTTTATTATTTAAATGCATTTTATATTTAGCCATATATAGTTTCTCAACCGCATATCAATTCTCTTAAGTGATTAATGTATGTATATTTCGTATGTATGTAAGACAGAATGAATCATAATATTTAAAAAAAGAAAAATCACTTGTGTAATATTGCTTTTGGTTTTTGCACCAAATGTGACTTGCGATATTTAATCCTATTTAAAAGAAAATATAAATATAAGTAAAACTGAACAAATAATTAAATAATTATTATATAATTTAAAGAAGTGTCTTGGGATTTTGAAAAAGTATTTCTTAGTTTTATAACCGAATTTTAAGGGTAAACTTATTTAATTGAATCAAAATGTTTTTCAAACCTGATCTTTTTTTTTAATAATGTATAACATGGGGCAAATATTTAAATTGTATGTATATAGAGAGAGAGAACGTATACATAAATTCATGCGAGAGCATTTTAATTACTAAATCTAGATATAGAACTAAATATAATATTTTAATGCGTACAGGTAAATGTCTATAAAATTTTGTTCAAACGCAAATGTTTCTCAAAATTCATTCAAATTAAACGTCTAAAACTTCTGTCACATTAATTTGATCTCTTAATTATTCTCTCAAAATACATACAAACTATATGTATAAAATTAAATTCAGTGTAAGATGCAACAATAACAATTGCAAAATGCACTCTTTTGTATATACATTCACAGACATCTTTATATATTATAGGAGTACTACATAGTCTATTATAGGAGTAGCACATTATAGTAGTTTATGTTACATTTAACTTGTCAAATCAAGCAATATATTTTTTGCTCTCTTTTAATTATGAAAAATTCTGCGCATCGAGTTTTCAGCAAAAATACAACCGTCCCAATATTATACAATAACGCATAAAAGAAACTATTTTTTATAAGATCTTGGTCTATCCGTGTGCCTACGCATTTAAGGTACCACAGTTTCAGAATTTTAGGAAATCAATTCGATGTAGTTTTAGACCGTTTTTGTATGGAACGAAGTGTCACAATTGAGCAAATTTCAGTATACGGTGATTTAAACGGTGATTCCAACTTTTTTTCTGATGTTAATTATACCTTGACTCCTGTGCAAGATATGATTTCCAAGATTAGAAATAGTAAAACTTTTTATTTTTGAAAAGTTTTAATCCTTCAAATGACTTACTTGTTGAACTCTTCCAAATTCAGTATATCTACATAAATTCTTTATAAACTAACCTTTAATTTGGTTTTTAAAATATTTTTTCACCTGTCTTCTCTTCCCTCTGTTGTGGTTTAGTAATATAATTGAGCAAAATAAAATAATGAGAAGTTTCGTGCAGATTTTTTTATAACGTGAAAAATTTTCCCCAGCACATTTTGCTACAAAATTAAAATAGAGATTTTTTATTCTACAACATAGACAAGCATTGCAACGACAAAATGGCAATTAAAACGATCTGATGTTTTTTTTATCGTAAAAGAGTACTGTTAAATATTTTCTACGGCAAAAAAAAATGCCGTAAAAATTAACCGTTATCATAAACCAGTTTTTTTTTCTTTCAATTTTTTACACCAATATTCTCTTAGTGCAAAGTTGTAAAAAAATGAAAAAAATATTGCATATTTTCGGGATTATAACAAAAGTTGTGATCGAATTCGCCGGATAAATGCCTGCTATAAAATGTACTTACCGTTAATTTTTATAGAAATATGTATGGAAAAAATTTAAAGCTACGATTAGGAGACGAAAATTATAATTATGAGTTTGATAAGAAAAAATTATTTTCTAGAGAAACAGGTTTCAGGCAAGAGTGCATTTAGATATAAAATTGCAACTTTCTATTTTAGAAAGTGTTTACAATTTTCGCAAACCGGTACAGGAACGTAAAAAATTAAAAGAATAAGCACTTTTTTCAATTTTGTTGGTAGAACGGTGTAAGTATAAATTTGCTGATGCAATATGGTTCGGATATGCATGAATGCGATATTTGGTTCCGCATACTCGAAATATTCAGTATAAATGAAATTTATATATTTTTACTGTACTAGTAAATTTTTACTACAGCAGGACTACAGCACAAGTGTATTTTTATAGTCATAACCTTAAGACCAATTTAATAGTGTTTACAGTTTCCAATACTGGAAGATATTGTATAGTTTAGATATTGTTTAAGTCTTAAGTGTTAAATGTTGGCGAAAAGTCAATTTTCTAATAATAATCGCGACATCTGTCATTTTCTTAAAAAAATAACTGTATATTTTTAATTTATTTTTTCTGTTTGCTCCTTTTGATTGAGAACTATTGGTTTCAGAACGTTTAAGATGTAAATTAGCGGTGAACAACAAAATAATATACAGCAAGTAATGTCGTTTAAATATTAAGGGGTGAAGGTTTCTGCTTGCCAAAACCGAAAAGCAAAAAATATGCATAGCTAGTGTCAGTGGTTGTCTAACCGATATTATATGGAAAAATAAGCACATGAGGCAAGCAGCGAAGATTAAAATGTATAAATCATGTGTACCCCTAATTATGATATATGCAGCGGAAACTAGGGCTAAAACGAGCAAAACAAAAGCCAACTCACGTGCAGCAGAAATGAAAACGATTACGATAGAATTCAGAGCACAGAAAAAATAAACTTTTTAAATGTTCAAGACGTGGTAAGATGGGTAAGATCCAAGAGGCGTGCCTAGAATGAACACGTTTCTAGAATTAAAAATGACCGCATTTCAAAAATAGCAAGAGATGGCAAGCGAACTACCGAAAAGATTGCCCGATTTGGAAAATAACAGACTAGAGGCTTATAGGAAAGAAGAGACTATTGGTTTTAAAATTTTAAATTACTTTATGTGCAAAAACCTCACCTTACACTATTTAAAATGTATTTACAAAAATATAAGTGATTCATAAATGAAAAATATTCATATCTCAAAACCTGACAAAACTGAACCCCTTCCTTATTCACTTTTACAACAAAGATGCTGAATATTTTGCGTATACTATATTGTAATTCGTGCATAATATAAAGTAAAACAAAGATCGACTGTTTTTATATGAACAAAAGGGAATAAGAATAATTCTACATACACATACATAAAACATAGAGATAAAAAATAATCCTTAAAGTAATCAAATTATATCTGAATTTGAACAAGAATGTCAAATATGAAATTTATTCTAGTTTTCTTTGTTGTTAGTACAAAAGATTTATGAAAATGATGGGCCATATCAAAAAAATTGATTTACATTTATTTACCTGTACATATATTTAAAGTCAATGGGATTTCGAAAAAAAATAAATATGAAAAATTTTTCTTCAACTTAATAAATTTAATTACCCATAGAGGAAAAAACAAACTTTTCACATTTTCTATTTTCAAAAAAAAAAAAATTATTTAAACTTGTTTGATTTTCAAATAAAATTTATTTATTTTACATTTTGATTGTGGTGAGCAATTCAATTCCATGTTTGATTCTATTATAAAATATTCTTATGCCACGTGATTGCCTATTATTCAAACATTTCTATTTACATAACGGTTACATTTTTACCGTTAAAAATGAATTTTTTGCACCGCTATTTTAAATTTCAATATCAATAAAATCTGCGTATGTGTAGATTCTAATCTATTATAGTTACTTAATATTTTTTGTAAGAAATTCTAGTTTTGATTGGCACTTATATGCAAACACATTTGTTAAGAACGTATTGCATGCAAGCAATATTTTATGAATTAAAATTAATTACCCTATATATGATAATGGGAATTTTTTTGTATAATGTAATGGAATTTATGTATGTACATAAGTGTGTGCCTTCCGAAGAATTCGAAAATTCAATGAAAATAATTGAAACATTGTGGCATATTGCATACGTCATTTAAGGCTTAATTACGACGGGTGTGCCGAGAATTGCGGAAAAAAGCTGTCATATGAAGAAATTTTTGTTTTCAAATTGTTCAAATAGCCTTACATAGAGATTAAATAATTTTATGAGAAAGTTTCATTCTTCCTATTTTAAAATTAAATATTTTTCAAATTTTTTAATGTGTGAGCGATTTGTGTTCAAAAATTTTGAAATTTTTTGAAATTTTAGAACAATTGCCAAGGGAAGAATTGTGGTTTCAAAAAACGTATAAAAATCGTCCATACTTGAGGTAAAAATATGAGTTTTTAAAATTTAAAAAAGAAAATACAGATCTTACCACATTTCGAGATTCTTACTTGGGAAACATCGAAAAATACAAAATGTTATCATTGCAATTTACCCGCACTTAAGGTTTAATTCAAAATTTATGACTGATGTGTGATAAGTTTTTTTGCTGAACACCGACGAATTATGCCTTTATTTTATCTGTACTTAACATATTTTATAACTTCTAACTTTAAAATTTTTAATTTAATTAAAATTAATTTTTAATTTATAAATATATAATAGCTTAACAGCAAATTGTTTGCTAATAATAAGTAAAATCGCTCAAAGTCAGTATAAAAGCACAAAAATTTTTAATGTATTTGCATACTTTTAGGAGTTAATAAGAAATTTGTAAAAATTATAAGTTAAAAACTGAAAACGTCTCCTATAAATATATTTATTACAATGTCTGGTTTATGGTAATGTGTGGTAAAAAATTATTTTACATAATTATACTTATATGACTAGGGAAATTAGTAAAAAAAAATTATAAAATAATTATTATTAAATATTTAGAAGTTTTCTGTGGACTTTTTGGAAATTTTCAAGCAAGTTTATTAATTTGATCTAATTATTTTGAAAAATTCCAAAATTTCATTAGATTGTATTAAATAATTTTAAAATTAAAAAACAAAGTTCGTACCCAATGTGTTTGACATTAATTCGCTTGAAATTTCCGATGAAATATCGCAATCTTCCATATCCGATCCCGATTATATCCTTTTTTGTTTTACAATTAATTTCACACTTTATTATTTTTCTATTTAAATTTGAATTATAATTATATTACAAAATTTATTATTTAAAATTTGAAAAATTTTTTAATTTTATTTTTTATTTTGATACTAAACAAAATTATTATAATTTATTAATTAATTTAATTAATTAAGAAAATTTAAATTTATTTGTATTTTTTTTTTTTAATTAACTAAGTCAACATAATTTAATATTATTAATTAAATTCATATTAAATTTAATAATTTTAATTTTAAGCTTGAGAATATTTAATAAAATTACACCAAGAGGAAAAAAAAAATAAATGAAATAACTGTGTAACAAGGATTTTTAACACAAAATTTTGATTTTTAATTAAATACAAAATGAAAAAAAGAATACACTTGAATTTTAAATTTTTTTTTTATGTATTCCTTGGAATGATATAAAAGTATGTAATTAATCCAAGTAGTTAACTTGTACAAGTCTCATTATATTCTATATCCTTAAAGTTCAAAATGTAACAAATGATCCTTGATACTTGGTGCAAATGACAACAATGCTATTCTATATACATTTAAAATTAGTTTAAATATGAGTACACCATATATAAGAAGAAGATGACAAATAAAATAATTTTATAGAAAAATACTAAAACTCCGCCTTTTAAAACAATAAAAAAAAAATATTGGGCGGAGCATTAAATAATTTGAAAGTATTAAAAGGACATCAAATCGCATTGACTTTTTGTTGTATTATTCTTGACTTTTTATCTGCTTTGCTACACCATTATCATCATCAGTATATTTTTTGAACTTGTTCACATTATATAAAGCAGTACAGATTACATATATTTATTTTATTTATATACATATGTATACATGAATTTTGTTATACTAATATATTACATACACATTTATATTTAAATATTGAATTTTCTTGAATAAAGCTCTATACATAATGTATATACATATATATTCATGCATTCTCTGTCACAATCTCTGTCATTTATGTATAAAATTTTCGTTTATATTATAAAGTAAATAAATATATAAATGAATTTATAGTCAATTTTATTACTAGAAATACAAAAATAGATGAAATTTATGTAAGTATGTACATACATATGTATGTACGACTCGTATGTACATATGAGTATGTATTTGAATATTGACATGTTTTCCATGTTTTTTGGAGTGACTCGTTTTTTGTCCTATTTGCGTATAGGAACATACAATCATTTGTTTCAAAAAAAAACATGATGTCATATGTATATATGTACATACATACATATATGTATATTATTATTGTTTGTAACATATCTACCATCCTATGATATTACTAGCTTTTGTAATCATATAAAAGACAAAATATCATAACCCACTTCTTACGCGCGCCTTTGACATAAACACCCCATATTTTTCATCATACCTACATACTTATATTTTTAATGTCTTCACCACAAAATGTTATGTAGCCTCAAATAAATGTACATACATACATAAATATCAAAGCAGATATTGATGTTTGGATATAATTTATCAACATAACACTAATTATGTACATGCATAACTCTCAAACAAAAAAAAAATAAATAAGTAAACTAGATAAACTTAATTTTGCTTTTATTGTAAAAAAAATCTTATTGGTTAAAATTTTAGAAATTTCAAATAATTTTGTCTCCTACAAAACTAATAAATTTTATACATACATCCATACATGTACATATATGCATACATAAATAGAATATTGACAAATTATTAATTATTAACACAAACTGCATAATAATTACTATTAAAATAATTTACTAAACTAAATTAAAAATAATATAAAAGAAAACATTAATATAAAAATGATAAAAATAAATAATTATTTATAGTTTATTTAAAAGTAAATTATGTACGAACGTTGTGATTAACGCTGTACGGACGAAACATAATTTTTCTAATGTTTACGAATTTTTTAAATTAAAAATAGTAAAATTTAGGGAGATTCTCTCAATTACTCTTTTATAAGACGAAATTTTTTTTGTGATATTTTAATAAGTAGTTTTTGTGACCACCAGGAGCTCATAGAGTCCGCCCATATATGATAATAGACTGTAGCAAAATTATTTTTAAGATATTTGCAAAAAAATTTAAAAACTTTAACCGCATTTTCTTGCTAAACTAACAGAGACTTGCTAAACGATTTTAAATATTTTTCTTAATTTACCAGGATATTAAAATAAAATATTATATGTATTTGTATATACATACATATGTATATGTAAATACCATATATAATTAGAATTACTAGTTCCGGGCTAGGATCTTTCTATACTAGGATAATCCGCTACAAAAGAATCAAAAATCGAAAATTCGCTTTCATTTAATTTTCATTTAAAAAAATATAAATTTTAACCATCTATCTAAAAAGAAACAAAAATTATAAATTAATAAATGTAGGTACATCAATGATAAAATAAACTGCACACAAAAACTTACTCTCGAAAAAAGAGAGAAAACAATTAATCAATAAATTTTTATTTACTAATAATATATGAAATTCATATAGATTTTATTAAAAAAAATTGCAATTTAATTCCAGTATTTAAAACCGTATTACATATTATTTCTTAATTAAGGTAATATTGACTTATAGCTATAATATAATTTGTCAAATTGTTGGAAAAAGGAAAAAAAGAACTTCAATGCAATAGAAGAACTTACCGCTTGATCATGATTGAAGACTTCATAATTCTAAAAAATGGCGAAACGCTGAAAGTTTACGCTAAATACATATTTAAATTACCTAAAATACTTAATTGTAAATAAATCATATTAATTGTAGATAAATCATAAGCATATAGATATGTATTACATACATACTTATATTCATATATGCTCATAGTTATAAGCACTATGGATTTTTCATTAGTTAGAGCTACATAAGTATGAACAAATACGAATGTTAGTACATATTTTGAAGAGAATTTTGAATAATGAACAAATTCTTATTCAAAACACTTGTACCTACATATCTTTTAAATATCTCTCGGGGAATGAATTTAAAACTCTATCCTTACATAAATTTTCATCAGTCCCACTGATTTTATTACGCAAGTCGTAGTAAATTACGTCTGTAAAGTAAATTAAAAAATTTAAAACAACGCCATCTAAAAAATAAAACCTTAAAATTGAAACCTGCTTTAACTAAACATTATCGAAATCAAAAAGAAATTCTAGTCTTTTATTAAATTAAAGTTGATGTAAAATGTAAAGTATTTGTATATGTGCATACAATAGAAATTTTCACTATCGCATGTACAATAATTACTCTTACTAATTTCGCTACATTGCGAAAATTTTACAAAGCTTATAAACATAGCGGAGTTTTCACTAAGTACTTATGTATGTTTGTTTATTAATATATATGCAATATGTATTTTATTATAATTTTATTTAATTATAATTTTAATATATGTATGTAACTTGTGTATACAAAATACAACATTATAAATTATTGGTAAATATCTTGTTACATACATTTATTTCATCACGATTAATTTTAACTTAGTTTAATAATAGAATTGTATATGTATGTTAAAAGTAGTGTTTTATTTCCAGAAAATAACAACTTGTACCACGTTCACAATCCTTATTACAAACTCTTGTTTTGGGATAGAATTTGTATCATTAGTCTCATTTGAAATTCAAGATTATATTATAAGATATTCCGGAAATTAATCAAAATTCCGAAATAATAATTTTATTATAATACTCAGGTAATAAAACTTTGACAGTTTTACTATTATTTATATTTTGTTTTCATAGTCTTTAGAAAATGTTGCTCAAACCTCATCAGAAAGACAACGTTTAATCATATGTAGGTAAAAAACACTTTCGTCTTTTCAAAATTATGTTCGAGATTTTACACTGATAGGCTTTATGTTAAAATAATAGGAACAAGCTATACAATCATCTTATATAAGTTTATCTAAACAATATCAGCAGTGTTATTTAATAAACAAACACAATCTTCTTATGTAATTAGTTTTGAAATTTCGTAGATTTCACATTTCAAAAGAAATTAGAAAAATTTCTATTTACTTTACTAATTTTATTTCTTTAATGACGATGCAATACAATTTTAATGCTAGCAAAGATGTGTAGTAAAAAATCTACATAATTAAATGTGTTTATACCACAAAAAAAAGGAATGTATGAGATGATTTAGCATACCACGTAATAAAGACCTCACACTAAAACTATTCAATGTTTGTTATATAAATTTAGAATTTTTTTTATGGAAAATATTAAAAGCTCTTAAACAATGTATTCATATTTTCGGGCAGCCGTGCACACATTCAGTCAGGCCAATATATTTTTTTGGAAAACTATTCGTTCCTTCTTCTATGGCGTTATATAGTAAATAATATGTTGAAAGTTGTTAATAAAATTTTTGAATATAATTTAAAAAAAACTAAATATCAAAAACTGTTTATTGTAGAAAAGAATATTCAAAAATTAAACGCGGCAAAGTTAACTTATCAAGATAAATATTAAAAACAAATCTTACATTTAAAAACAATATTCATTTCTTTAAGTTAAATTGTTTTTATTGACATTTTACTTTTTTACAGGACCTGTTGTAGCTTGAGCAGCTAATTGATCTTCCTTTGCTTGTGACTCTAATATTTCTTGTTTTTTATTAGCAATTCTTTCTTGACGACGTTTGCGTGCCTCACGTACCTTTTGTCTTCTAGCTTCAGCTTGATCTGATAACATTTTCGTACGTTGTTTTTCAGCTTTCTTTTTATGAATGTATTCCATTAAAACTCTTTTGTTTTTGAAGACGTTACCTTTGCATTTCATATACAAATGATGGTACAAATGACGATCAATTTTTTTGTTGTCCCGATATTTTTTTAAGAGTCTACGAAGTACTCTCATTCTTTGCATCCACAAATACTTTGTTGGCATTCTTGCATTAGCAGTACCTTTTCTTTTACCAAAACCACAGTGACGTCCTTTGCGTCTGGCTTCAGTATTTTTTCGTACTCGGTAACGTGAATGTACAACAACAGGCTTCTTTATAATTAACCCATCTTTGATTAATTTACGAATATTTTGCCCTAAAATTTTTTAAAATTATCATTTTAATCGATATTATACAAATAAAAATTCTTTTAACATTTTCAAATATTGCAATAAACTTACGTGAATTCGTATTTGCAATTTCATTTATTTCATTAGGATCCAACCAAACCTTCTTCTTACCACATCTCATAACAGATGCGGCAAGCTTTTTTTGAAGCTTTAACGAGCTAAAAGTAGAAAAAAATTAAAATAAATAAAGTATAGTTTCTTCGAGGAGCAAAACAAAATAAAAAAACATTAGTCTGGAACATTTGGAAAAACATAATTTTAAAGAAATTCACAAACCTCATGTTGTTAGTTTCACAGAAATCGACGTAAAGGATTTAGACAATTATAATATTCCGGAAATATAGATAGCAATACGTGAGCGACGCTTTTGACATATTAATGGTGTTACCATTTAATTAGAAATAACCCAACTTTTAAATTGTCACATAAGCTTGTGAGAAAGGTAAAAGCACAAATGTTTTTTCGTAACTAAAACATATTGTATACTATTCATATTATGCATAAGTATATATGGTATTCGATTTATGCATTATGCGTATAAATTAATAACTAAATAAAAAATGAAATAAAAAAATATTAATATAAAAATAATAAAAATAAATAATTATTTATAGTTTATTTAAAAGTAAATTATTAACTTTATCATTAAACTTTAACTACGTTGTGATTAACGCTTTAATACAACGTATGTATGAAAGTGTAAATGTACATAATATATCTACGGACGTATTTTGTAAAACGAAACATATTTTATATTCATAAGTACATACATACACATATGCTATGCATTCGATTTATGCATTGTATACTATTATGGACACATTTTTGAATAATTTTCATATATCATGTGCTTTTTTTATTCAAATTATGTATTTAAATTAATAATAAATATCAGTTTTGAAAATTCGTTTGTCTTTTTAACACCATCCAACTTTTCAAAAACATCCAAACCATGCAGTTAAAGATAACTCATTATTGCCACAAAATTAGCAACCTTTCGTATATTTTAAATGAGTAAAGTGGATACAATGAAATAACTATATCTAATACAATTTTTTCATCACTTTTATAAAATTGGTAATTTATATTACAATTTTTATATATCTTTCGTTGATAACTTCCTTTTTCTATTCGATCTTAAATAGTTTGTACCCAAAATCATAAACGATAACACTGTTGAAATATTAGCTATATAATAAAGACAACCCTAATTTAAGTAGAAAAGCGATGAGCCTTTGAAAATATTGTTACCAATTACGTAGAATAAGATTTTCAGAGCTATAGAGATTTCAAAAGAAATAGTATTCTGTATCAGAAATGTATAACAAAGAACATCAGTATGTAAAAAAAAAATTTGTATGTCAAAATAATTCTTAGCCAAATTTTTAAATTCTGCTGGTATGTAAGAAAACTTTTAGTTGATCGACATCGAATTATTAAATTTGTAAAAATAACCACTTATCTCATATAATAATTCTTATGCGAAAAACTTGAGGCTGGAAAATCAAACACAACTTTTACTTATACATATATCAATAATAATACAAATATCTGTTAATTATAAAATCAACTTTTAATTCACTAGTTCATCGGATTACAGTGATGTATTTTCTATGAAATTGACATTCTCTTCTTTTCTAGTTCAGTTCGTTTCTTCTCCCTGAAAAAGTTGAGTCACATTCAATTTTATTATTATTTTATATAATGTATTAAGAATAACAATTTGTTCTTCTCAAAATATATCTAATAAGACAACTAATAAGAGAAAAACTAGTTCGACTTGAAATAATCCAGTTTAAAAGCGACGAACCAATGAGTTCTTATCTTATTTACATAGTAAATGTTGCGATACCTTTTGTGTGGGGATATGTGACATTAATTGTGGAACGAAAATATAATTTTGATACAAAAGTTTTAAAGAGACAACACTATAAATAAATAGTTGGATCTTGTTTAGCCAAGTGTTTGTTTTATTACAATTAGTGCACACAAAGATAAAATTTCAGAATGTATTAAGTTCAATACGATGTGGTAGTAACTGTCATTTAGATAAAAAGGAATTTGAGAAATATAATTTTTTGTAAAAAAATCTTGTTAAGTTATTTAATAGTGGAAAAGTTTAACTTAATTTTTGATTAGATTAAATTTTAATCATATCAAATTTTATTAAAACTTAAAGGATATTGAAAAAAAATAATTCTGATATTTATTTTAATAAAAATTGACAATTCGTTTTGAAAGTGAATTGGTATAATAGTGTGCGTGCTAATAAGACAATTTTCGCATATATTATAAACATATTAATTAAAATCGCGTTAAAAGTCGAGCTGAGAAGTGATACCTAGTTTTTGTATGTTCCGCCATCATTAATAGGCGGCGTTAGCATTTCAAAATAAATTTTTTTTTAATTTATTAAGTTTTAAAATTTAATTTTTAAATAGTTATCTGAAATCAATGTGCTAATTTTTAGAATGTTAGAAATATTAAAATTTTGTTTTCAATTGAAAAATGACATTTAGAACATGTATTTTGGTACAATATCTTCGTAAATGTCGTGATGATAAATAGCCTATACAGAAAAAATTTCGGTGAAAAAAAAAACTGAATATATTTTTTAAGTAATTACAATTTTGTCCATTTACAAAGTAAATCGCCTATATTTAAAAATTTGGTGTTTAAACAATTCATTTTAATAAAAAATATAAAAGATACAAAAATTTTCACGAAAGTTTTGATTTTGCACTTTATTGGACCTCGCCCGACAGGTAAATTTTATATACATACTGTCATATAGTAAAAAAAAATCTATAGTCTATACATATCATATGTATGTATGTATGTATGCATATGTATATAAAATATATGCATGTACATTTGTACATATTATTTTCTTTTAATTAGTGTACTTTTTCAATTTGTAGAAAATGTAAGAAAGAAGTGGAAAAACAATTTGTTAAAAATACTAAAAATTTTCTGAAATTTCAACATCATAATCCCATTTTAATTTGAAGTAATTTAATAGAAAAAGAAATTAGAGATGTAAGTAGTTATTGCACTTATACAGACATCTATGTACTAGTCCATAGGCACCTATGTATATACGAGTATAGGTAACATTTTTCGTACCTCCCTATCTATAAGGTGAATTATAAATAAGTATAAAAAGTAATATATTTTATTGTTTAACTTATAAAATAATTTTATGGAAAATTATTTCACATTCGTTTAGTACACATATGTATATCATATTATAGCAAAATTATTTCATTGATAGAAAATTGATTTGAAATAATTACTTTATTAGTTAGGTAGGTCGGAAAGTAGATACTTGCCTAGGTATTAAAAAACAAATTCGTTCTTTATTACTTTCAGTAGTTATAAAATTTTAAATTTCCTAATTTAATATTTATTGTAATTTCATATCCTAAAATGTGCTGTAAAGAGCGAAATATCTATGATTTACATATATAATAGGCCACGTGTATATATATATTATATTATATATAGTTGCTTATTTAAAGTAGGTAGGATAATATGGCAGGTACCTACCCCATTTTCTCTTGTTATAATATAATATCTTAGATAGGTTTCTGTTTTAACCTTATAAAAGTCAAATATTGAAAAATACTATTTAAAAATGCTAAACATAAAAATTTTTGTAAAAGTAGGTACTTACGTATTTTTAACATAATGAGCTTGTTTTTCATAATTATTCAAATCTCTTCGCAAACTACATCCGTTGAGATAGTCAAACTCCAATATGTTGAACCTGTCTAGGTATAAGTAGTAACTATTTACTTCTTGCACTCGCTTTATGGAGTATTAGTTGTTTAAAACTTTCATTAAATATTGTTAGTTTTAGATTACATACACATTATGTGTATAAGTACCTTAAATTTTAACACACAATCGTACATAAATATGAATTTGGGAAGTTCTATAGTATGCATTTGAAAAACATAAGATATTGAAAAATTAAAACTCAAATTATGTTATGATCTACAAATTATTTCTTATAGCTTCAGATTAACAAAATACTAGTTTGGCAGTAATAGCTCCAAATAGTAATAGTATAATAGGCAATTTAAAAAAATAATTGCAAATTTTAACACATCAGAATTTCTTGTTTTCCAAATTGAATAGTACTGAATAACAGAGAAACATTAAAAAAAGTTTCAAAGTAACTTTAATTAGAAAAAACAAATTAAACGAAAATATTTCAATCGAAAAACATCGGAATATTAAACATGACTTACGATACGAAGCATTGCTTTTGTAAATTTTGTTATTTCGGATTACTTCGATAAATAACTTCAGCTTTGTAATTGGTGATTTCATGGATATATTAACGCATTATTACACAAAAATACAAGTAAGCAATAAAAACAAGTTAAATAATTTAAGGACAATTTGAAAATCTTAAGAATAATTCAGTAAGTCAATTGAAAAAAAAACTCAATGAACGCATGCGCCTGTACGAAAACTTTTTATTCGGTGATTTTTCAATTGAAATAAATTTGGAAGTTCGCTTTACTTATTCAAAAGCTTGTTTGTTAATGTTAGTCAACTAAGTTTAATTTAAGTTCATGTCATTGGTTACCCCCTTAAAATTTAATCAATATAAATTTGTACAAAATAAATAATAATTGAAAATTTACGTAAAAATATTAAAATATTTTGGGAATTTTTTCTAAAATTTGGTAGTTTGAAGCATGTTTAAAATAAATCTTATTCTTTAGAATCTTAAATTTTAAGACTCTAATTGGAAGTTTGAAATAAAAAGCTCTCATTTACAATCGATTATTTCAATTAAAAATAAAAAATTTCTTATTTATAAAAGTATTTTTTAAAGTATTTATAAAAGTTTGGAACCTAATTTTATTAATTGATCACATAGCTTGGTTCTTTTTAACAGTTTAATAATACGTAATCCGTCAAATTTTCGTAAAATAATGTTATGATAACAAACTACCGTATTATAATGGTATTATTACCGTATTACTATCGTTTTGATTTCACTTCTTCTTACAAATTTTCATTAAATTATGAAATTGAACAAAATTTCAAGGTTTTGCAGATTAACATTAAAGGTCTCCAAAACTACACACAATTCCTTTTTGGAATTTGAATAACTTTTAGAAATTCCAATCGCATAAAATATACATACTTACTAATACATAATAAATAATATGATTGAGGGAAGAAAAAAAATTGACTTCACTATTTAAATTTAAGGGCATAGCTGTATTATGGTTTATTTAAAAATCTATATCAATAGAAAACGATTTTTAAAATTGCTTTTCTTCTATTTTACTTAATAATATGTGTGTTCATAGAGTACCTTGTCTAGGGTAAACACGTGATGATTTGAATCATCGATTTTTGTTTTGTCACTTATATATATTTAGGCGTTTTGTTAAACAAAAAATCGACTTCCTTGCCAGCTAAATTGGATTATTTCGCTAATACACATATATTCCTTTTCACATACAAATATTAAAATATACCATTGACGAAGCCTTACTTAGATTTCACATTTCTTTTTTTTTGTAAATCGAATAGGAATTTTTTTCTGTTTTTTCCATAACTTTGAAAGCGTCTAGTGAGTTAACATCTTTTAAATTTTTATATTTTTCCAATTATAATTAAATTTGATTTATTTTGGTTTTTTTATTTCAGATGAAACTTTCAATAGTGAAACATAATTATTAATTTCTACAAAAATAATAGACAAAAATATTTTATTTTCGATTGTTATAACTTATATATACATCTAATTATATCTATTACATACATATATATGTATTTATGCATATAACATATACATATATGTATATATGTATATATATATGTATATATACGTAAATATATGCACATATATATATATATGGTTGCACTGAAAAAATTTAATATTAAATAAAATTCCTGGTCGAATAAAAAGAATTAATATTAAAAAATAAATCAGTAATAATAACAAATATAAAATAATAAAAAAAATTAAGAATAACGCCGTATAAATAAAAACTTCACAAACTATTTATTATGGAGTGTTGTTTATCTGAGGAAGCCAAAGAGCAGAAGCGTATTAATCAGGAAATAGAAAGGCAGTTACGCAAAGACAAAAGAGATGCAAGAAGAGAACTTAAGCTGCTTTTGCTAGGTAATATAATTCTAAGGCTGTAAACATTAATTAATTTATCATGTATTATTAATGCTTAACGATCTACTCTTCCAATTAATAGACGATTTTCTCTGAGCTTTAAAGACAACAACAAGTCGTCGTGTCCGTGAATATTCGCTAAATCAATAAAAATAATCTGCTTAAAAGTTTTTTTTTTTTAATATTTACAAAACTATATTTACACAACATGCTTAAAACAAGTAAATTGATAAAAAAGGAATATAAATGAATCTAGTATTAAAAATTTTTTAAAATAAATAATTTTTCTAATGACAAAAACACTAAAAGGAAAAGCGCAGTCGGTGCACACAATTTTAATTCTTATTATTCAAATATTTTTCATGAAAAAAAAACTAAAAATTTACTGAAGTTGTTTTATATTAAAATTTCATAGTAAACACGAATCGGCAATTCGTTTTATTAATTACACACTCAATAACTATATTTTGTATTTCATGTATTTTGTATTATGTTGTGATTTTAGAGGAAAAAACATTCTTAAGAAATTTCAATTATTCGAATTAAAATCCTCAAACGTAAAACATATTTTATTTTGCATAATTGTAATATTGTAGGCACTGGTGAATCTGGAAAATCCACATTTATTAAACAAATGCGAATCATCCATGGGGCTGGTTATTCTGACGATGACAAAAAAGGTTACGTTAAAATAGTTTTCCAGAATATTTTTATGGCCATGCAATCTATGATAAGAGCTATGGACATGTTAAAAATACAATATGGATCTGCTGAAACTGCGGTAAAATTATAAAAAAAATTTAAATGAATTTTTAAATTCTCATATCTAATTATTATTGTCTGATAATTATATTTTTAGGCTCATGCGGATCTAGTGAAAGAAATTGATTATGAAACAGTCACTACATTAGAAGATCCTTATATTACAGCCATTAAAGCTTTATGGGCAGACAGCGGAATTCAAGAATGTTACGATCGAAGAAGAGAATACCAGTTGACTGATTCCGCAAAATAGTAAGATTTTTCAGTTTAAACATTATTTTTTGAGCACATGCAAACACTCGAAACCTAAACTTAATAAGTATATTATGTCCGGAATAATAACGTCTAAATAATATTCTAAAACAAATTTTAATTTAAATTAATTCAACAGCAGGAATTTGTTAAAGCAAAAATCTATTTAAATTCAAATTTTATAAATTTATTTTAGTAAAAAATATTTCAGTTTTAAACTATTTGTTTATTTTGATAAAAAAATTATAAGTGTGTATTAAAAAAGAGAAAAGTTTTCATTCTTTAGTTTCATAATTTCAGCAATATTTTTTCTTTTAAGTTTGACTTGAATTAATTAACAAAATTTTTGAAAGTTAGTACATATATAATTTGATCAGAAATAAATAGAATAAGTTTATGAAATAAAGAATTTTTACATTCCCAGTTATCTAATGGAAATAGATCGAGTTGCAGGATCAAATTACTTACCAACCGAACAAGATATTTTAAGAGTGCGTATACCAACTACTGGGATTATCGAATATCCATTTGATTTAGAAGAAATACGTTTTAGGTATTGTTTTTTTTTTCCTGAAAACTTTACTTATTTTTTCGGTGTGGATTTTATTCATTATTTGTTAAGTGTTTGCATTTGTCTTCCTATTATAAAGTCAAAATTATAAAACATAAAATTTGACTATAATAAAAAAAATAAAAAAAACATAATTTACTAATAATACATTTCTTATTACATTGCACGTTTTATTTTTACTAATTTATTTTAACTATATGTTATGCATGTGTTGGAATTAAAACAAACATAAACAAATTAAAAAAATGTAGTTATTTAAGCGATCTCGATCGAATAGAAGTTCCAGATTACTTGCCAACAGAGCAAGACATTTTACGTGCTCGAGTACCAACAACGGGGATTTTAGAGTATCCATTCGATTTAGACGGAATGGTTTTTAGGTATCCTTTTGAAGTTGGAAATGAGTAAAATTATCTTACGAGTATCGCTTAAAATTTTTTTATAAATATGTGTTTTACTTATATATTTAACGCTTGTATGTTTAGAACAAATTTACGCAGTTTCTTATCTAGGCTTTAGATAGAGCTTCCCAAAAAAACTTTATTTCATATACCAAAAAACTAATTTTTAATTTTATTTTCCTATTTAGAATGGTTGATGTAGGTGGACAAAGATCTGAAAGAAGAAAATGGATTCACTGTTTTGAAAATGTAACATCAATTATATTTTTGGTGGCGTTATCTGAATATGATCAAATTCTGTTCGAATCGGAGAATGAGGTAAATAAATAAAAAACAAAAATGTTTTTTTCGAAATACATATGTACATACATATATTTCATTGTATGTTTTATTGAAAATTTTTTTTATTTTAGAATCGAATGGAAGAATCCAAAGCTTTATTTAAAACCATTATTACATACCCATGGTTCCAGAACTCTTCGATTATTTTATTTTTAAATAAAAAAGATTTATTAGAAGAGAAAATCATGTATTCACATTTGGTAGATTATTTTCCAGAATTCGATGGTAAGTATTTAAATTTAAATCCTAAAATTTCACGTTAGGTAAACTTGGAAATCATTACTTAAATATATAAAAAGAAAAAATCAATTTAAAAACCTATTAACAAATGTGAAATTAATTCATATAACTTATAACAAGGACCGAAGCAAGATCATATGGCTGCAAAAAACTTCGTTTTGCAAAAATATTTAAACGCCAATCCAGATCCAGACCGACAGTGTTATTCACATTTTACAACTGCTACAGGTTTTAAACTAAAATATTTTTTTCCTGGCAGAAAAATGCTAGTATCTTAATTTAATTAAAACTATAACATTGTAGCGAATTTCGTATGACAGCATAAAAAAAAGAAATTGTAACAATATGTATATGTATATGTAATATAGTAAATTAGCTTCATTTAACAGCTCACACTAATATTTGTATTTTGCTTCATTAGTATTTGACAAAATCTAGCTATTGCTTTATGTAATTTTAGGACCCCAGCGGGATGCTATAGCTGCTAGAGAATTTATTCTTCGTATGTTTGTAGATCTTAATCCTGATTCAGAAAAAATTATTTATTCTCATTTTACTTGTGCTACAGGTGAGTATTTTTTTTTTACAAAAAAAAATTTTTTGTTTTCTTAACAATTTTATGAAGAATATTATTTAAATTTGAAAGTTGGTTAATTGTGTGATTCGTTCAGTGTAAAATAACGAAGAATATTTGAGTTATTAAGAAGGCAATATGGGACTCTTTTGACCGGTAGGTTTGGATTGTAGAACAAAACCCGACATTTTATTTTAACTTGAGTTCGAATCTATGAATTTAGAAGATGTACTCGAAATTTTCTAAGATGATAAAAATATATTGTATATATTTTGTTTCGGCATCGCCAAAATGAAAATTCCGTAAAATTTGGAAGATTTTAAAAATTTTGTATATAATACTTTTTTAAAAACAAAATATTCGCTTTCCACATCCAAGTTTTTCCTTATCATACTTTTGTATTAGAATTGATTCTTTTGTTTTTAATATTGGTACCGTTTTTGTTGTAGAGGTTTGTATTCCGTTTGCAGTCCATTCCTTCTCCCTTATTAAAATTATATGTGAACGTAATTATCAAAACTTTTTTAATTTTTTACAGTTTGCGCTCGAAATGTTGTCTATTTATACAAATATGTGAAAGTTATATGCATGTAGACCGAAAAACGTTTTTGAATTTTAGTTTTCACAAGTTTCAATAATTTATTGAGGTAAAAGTAAAGCTATAAGTAATGCACATGTAGCTACATACACTTAATTTTATATTTGAAATGTAATGTAGGGGTAGAAATTATGCGCTAGAAATTTGAAATATATTTTGATTTAACTCAATATAAAGAAGTGTTTTTTCGAAATAAATTCTAATTAAACTTATTTTGAAATTGTTTTTTGTTCTATTTCTGTTTCTTTAAATACATTTAAATAATGTAAAGATACTGAAAACATTAAATTGGTCTTTTGTGCTGTAAAAGATACAATTATGCAAGCCGCTTTAAAAGAATTCAATTTGGGTTAAAAAAATTTTTTATGGATGGAATCGTTACTCGAGCAATTCAACACAGTGAATGTAAAGTGTGTACTATCTTTTATATAAAAGAAGGAAAAAGTACAAAATTATTATTGTAATATTAAAAAAAAATTTAAATTACAAAATAAAACTTGTGTGCTTATGATTGTTGATGTTTTTCTTTTTATTTTTTAATCTTTATTATCAAGAATCTTAAATGAAATCTTAATTTTCCTACAAAGTACTTCAACTTCCAAATTCATTGATGCTACTTGCCACTATTATCTTAAATTAAAAACATGTTAAATTTAATAAAGAAAAGGAAAAATTATTTCCTGAAGCCTAAATACCTTTTGATTGTCTGGTTTTTATAAAGTTCCTTGCTGTACACATTGTAATTGAATGAAAATATTTTTATTATAAAACAATTTTATTATAATCAAAATTTTAATTAATTTTTTAATTTAATTAAAATACATTTTTTTTACATATATTTAATATATTTTTAATATATTTTAGATACTGAAAATATAAGATTTGTTTTCGCCGCTGTAAAAGATACAATTTTACAGTCAAATCTTAAAGAATACAACTTGGTCTGAGATGGATCTTTCGGGAGCTAACTGGTGATGAAATTTGTTGTCATATATTCCTTTTTTACAACATTTGTAAATGCGTACACTTAAATATTAGTCAAAACACAATACAAATAAAAAAAAATAGATTATAATAATTATAAAAAAAAATTATTAAAAATAATTAATATAAAATACGGTAAAAATCAGCGACGCAATCAAAAAAAAAAAAATAAAAAAAAAAATAATTATTATAAAATACAAGAAATTTTAATATGTATAAACTGAAATATTTCAAATATTTGCGTGATGCTACTCTGAGTTTTGATATAAAAAAAAAATTTATATATAATTGCTGTAGGATGCTTATATATATTAATATATGTATGTACAAACAAAATAAAAAATAACACAAAAAAAAAGTAAAAAAAAATAAGAAAACGTTTTATTTAAGAAGTGTGTTATGCATTATTTCGTTTGCTAAAATTTTTTGATAAAACCAAAATTTTATTACTTAGTGAAGTAAAATCTGAATGTGTAATAAATAATACCATTAAAAAATTATCCATAAAAGTTAAATATAAATTATATTTAGAGATATTGGAAAATCGCATGTACATAATTTACAATATACATAGTATGTATATATGATTTACATAATTAAGATATTATGAACATATTATATGCATATTATATATTAAGTAAAATTTTGTATATGGATTATGCATCTTTATATATATATATATATATATATATATAAATATATATATATATATATATACAAATAAAAAGTAATTATAAATTCGTATGTTGAAAGTAGTTGCATTTAAAAAAAAAAATTCTTTCAAAGGAATTGTGTTTTTTTTTCTTTTGTTTTTTTTTTAATTTTTTTTTTGCAACAGGTATTTTTAATTATATAAAACGACTAATTTTTTAATTGAAATAAAGTAAATGAAATGTTAAATCATAATTTTTTTGTTTGTTACATCAACCTGGCACAAGTTAAAAATAACATTTTCGAAAATGGTTTTCAAATCAAACAAAATTTGATTTTTAATTAGGTTTTGTGCTAAATGTTTAAATTAATAATTAAAAAATATATTTAATGTAAAACAAATTGTATTATTTAATGGGTAATAATATTTTTTAAAAATCAATTATATCAATTTTTATCAATTTTTTTTTTTGTTAATGTAACATTCTATGACGACCATATAGAATTATAATTCAAATCAAACCTTGACATCCAAATTAAAGAACTACAAAAAATACTGTGCAATTAATACGCAATAAGCACTTACTTATAAGTACGATTGCGTATAATAATTTAGTATTTAGTAGTGGAATTCCGATGTCAGGGTTCTTTAATTTTTAAAACGTAACAAAAGTCTGTTACAAACCACAATGAAATATAAGTGATCTATTTTTGATATAATTTCCTTTCTTTTCCTTATTATAAGCATTTTTTTTTTATTTTAATATATATATATAAAATGTAGTTCTTGTTATCGCTAATTATTTTTTTTTTTACGTGTTATTAAAGTTTTAATTTATAAATAAAAATTAGTATATAATATTTTTTCACATTCTTCGAATTTTGTTTAAATCGCTCAAAAAAATCTCTTTTATTTTATTATTTTAATCCTAAATATTATTATATTCTTAAATATAGAAAAGCTTATAAAATGTTTTAATTTTTGTTTTTAGTTCAATGTATTTTTTCAGTTTCTTGCTAATTCACTTTTATTTTACTATATATTAAAATATATTATACTAAAATAATTAAGTTTGATAGCAGCTATGTAAAAAATATTAATAATTATTCAATAAAAACAAAAAAAATGTCAGAAAACACAAAAAACGCGCAAGAAAATAAATAGTAAAATATAAGACTAGACTATCTTTAAACTTTTAAAACAAATTCTTTTTATGTATAATTTTATTTGATATCTAAATGAAAAAAAAAAAATAAAGCAGATTATTAAAATGATTCTATTTTTTTTTTCAAAAATAAACTTTTAATAAATTTTTTATTATGATAAAGTAAAATAAAATAAAATTTACGAAAATTACATTTAATAACTACGTAAGTATTTTGTGATTGTTGTCTTTGTAATATTAATCTTTTTTTATTAAAAAAAAAAACAATAATAAAAAAAATCGCATTCAAGATAAAACGCTAGGATAAAAATACTTATGTCTTTATAAAACATTTATATAATTAATACACACATAACTTGTTCAAAAAGTTAAAGAATATATATTGCGCAATACCCGAAAAAAATGTAATATATTAAAAAAAAAAAAAAACAAAAAGATGAACAAATAGCACATAGGAGGGTGCAAATAAAATGTTTATTTTCTCTGTTATTTTTTTTTATGTTTCTCTTTGTTTCTATTTTTTATGTAACGTAAACAGAATTACATATATAAAGTAATAAAATTTATAATTTGCATTTCTCTAAAAAAAAAAAAAAAAATATGAAACATGAACAAAAACTATCTTAGTAGCATTCCGAACCAAAATTTGAAATCTGTAGGAAATGTAAAATTTAAGCATAAAATAAAATATTTAAAAAGATATTTCATGTGCATTTTAAAGTGATTTTAGTATAAGGTTCATAACAGCTACAAAAAAAATTCTTCCATTACTCAAGATCATTATATTTTATCATCTACACGTATTGATTGTGTTCGGATTTAATTCCCAAAAAATGCATAAATGAAAAACTTGGATATACATATACATATATACTCGTATGTATATTTCATATTTATTTAATTTGTAAGTAAGCAAATGAGTTAATATTTCAGTTAAAGGTATTAGTGCTAATTTTTTTAGAAAAATTAAAAAAAAAATTTAATATGAGCGTTCTGATCAAATACGTTATGTATGCTTGTACATATTTCACATTGTATGTCGTTCACTTATTTATCAAAAATGAATTGTCAAGTAAATTTCAAAAAAAAAATTCATACGTCAAAAACTATTAGAGAGCTAAAAAGAAAAGACATGTTTTATGTCAAAAATAGTTTGGCAAAAATGGTTAACTTTTCGAGATTTAATACAATAAGAGAAGTATTTTAAAAAAATATGTATGAACGGAAATATTATTAACATAAAGAATTAAAAATATTAAAATATATTGTGGTAAGTTTTATTACTGAAAACATGCGGTAAAGGTGTATTATTTACCTTCCATATGTTTTACGGTTTACTTTTTTCTTTGAAAATTTAAAAGAAATCTTATTTCTAAGATAGGGATTTTTATCTAAAAAGATCAATAAATAATATTTTGCAGTCAAGTAATATGGTGGCAGAAGACGTTAGCTGATTTGCTCCACTAAGTCAATTAATGGAACAGAATTTGATAATTCTTTAAGTGTAAACAACGAGATTGATATCCAGGCATCTATCGTACGTAGCAGACATTTGCCGTTACAAGCAAATTCAAATTATCATCAGTTAGTATGCATTACAAATCCACTGACAATATCAGAGAAAGTTGACATATGAATATCGATAAACACCATCTGAGAAATAACAGCATTTGAATGAAAGTATTTGCAAAAGACGTCCAGATATAAGTAAAACGTACAGAATAAAACATATACATAAGTCCTTTGTTAATGATAACAAAAGTATCGCAGACGAGGATAAATAACAGAAATTTTTCGGTAATGACATGGCAGCAAAATTACCACAAAATTTGGTTTTACGAATTGAATTCCAGTGCAAACACCAAATTGATAAAACATGAGCCTCTTGAGGTACATATCTTAATAAATGTTGTATGAAAGAAATACTATCAGAAAACATTTATTGTGTACTTAAAAAAGTACTATTGCTTTTTAGTAGTCTCAAAAATGAAGTAAAAAAACAAATGCGGTATATGTGCTTTTAATCGTCAAGCGCGGCTTTCTATAGAACAAGAAAAACCAAAAGCATTGTGGCGAATCATATAAAGCCAATTATCCAGCTTACAAAGCTAAAGACTTATGTTTGGACATGGAAACAACAAATAAGGTGTGCAACACGAACAAAAATGAACCGAAATCATATGCTGAAATTGTAAGTAATTATAATTCTAATAATAGTGACAATTTTAAGTATATGCAGTACTTCCAATAAAAATTTATTTTCTCGTCATGAAATATGCCACATATGACAGGTTTAGATAGTTGTAGTAATAAAATTGAGCAATTTAATATAATCACCCAAATTACCTATAAGTATTAATACAATGTGTAGCTGTACAATCAGTAATATATGCTTTTGGAATGCACAGAGCGTGATAACCCATTGCTCCACTAATCGGCGCCGGGAGTCAAAAAGTAGGAGTGTACTGTGCAAGGCCAGAGTTAATTCTCTTGACCATAAAATCAAAAATAGTATCACTAATATATATAATAAGAATATTTCAAAAGTTACGGGATGCCGGCATTTAATAGTGACTTCGACCTGCGAAGAGTAAATCCGACTAAAGCAGTTATAGACAAATAAGCTTAGAAAAAATAAAGCAAAAAGGGCTTAAAGTATAGAGTAAAATGAAATTTTAGAACGAACATAATATCATTATCACAAAGTTTATAGACTGATGAAAGTACATGATGGGTGTATTCTGCTTTCACCTGATTTGGATTCTATTTGGCACGATGCGCCTGTTCATAAATTTAGAGTTTTAAACTTTCTATTGTATATTCTAAAAATATTAAAATCGTTTTTAAATATGAAAAGTTTCTATATTAAGATCTTCAATTCAAAATTGAAAATGTACACCTCAGGATTCCATACTTCTTTCACTATTGCATAACATTTACATATCTGATTTTCTGACAATAATTGACTGCGAAGTAGCTCTATATGCTGAGGATTGGTTGTATTACCTAGTTAAAGATATCTTGTAATGCTAGTTATTATCTGAGATACTTGTAAGTAAAACAGAATCATATTTTGAAAATTATTCATAACCGCCTTTCTTTTTCTCAACTCGTGAATTACAAAACTTTTCAAAAGTCCCACTATTGTTTATGGAAATTAGGGACACCTCAATAAAATACTAGCAAAAAGCAAGACAATTTTCAAATCCCTTAATTTACACTTTACTTCACTAAATATGCGTATCAACTTTTTCTTTTTAGTTTTTATTCCAAAATAAATTTGACTGAAAACACTTACGAATCGTAATTATCGAATAAAACTTAAAAAAAATTTTGATAATACAAAATCGATTCTCGTATGCTTACATTTGCAATTAGGAAATTCCTTTTTTCAATCATTCAAATCAATGTTCCAGTTGTTTTATTTATTTTATTATTTATTCTCGGTCGAACTTACAAACAAAAAGTAAAACTTAAATTAAGGTTATATAGCTTAAATATTATTAAAAATTAATTAAGTAATTAAAAAAAATTATTATATACTATAAAAAAAATTCGCCGTCGTTTTAGCTCGTTTTTTCTTTATATTAATATTAAGAAAAATTTGTTTTGCCTTGCGCTTTCAATTTTTTTGGAGCTTTATAATACATATTTGTTTATGCATACTGTAGATGATTTTAGGCCATTGTTAAGGTGCCAGCCCCTAGCCCATAACCAACTCCCTTAGGTCCGAAATTCCTTCCGTAACAACTTCTGCAGTAAATATCACCATCTGGACCATCATTTAAGTTAGTTGAATCTAATGATTTTCTACAGTCTGCACAATTGAAACAACGTTTATGCCAAATTCTTGTTTTGCTAATCATTTGCTCAGCTGCATATACGGCATATCCACAACGTGGGCACCCATTGGCCGATTTTTGACCGCATGTTGGTCTACCTTCAGGGCTAAAATTAATTTTTATAATATATATTAAAATAGTCGTATAAAAAAATTTAACATTATTCTTACAAAGATACTGTTGATTCACCGCTAACAGATACTAAAGTAGGTGTATGACCGTATCCAAAACCTTTTGGTCCAAAAAGTTTACCATAGCAAGCTCTACAGTAAATTTCCTTATCAGGACCATCACACGCCAACATTGAATCCAATGGTCTGTGACAATCAGCACAATTAAAGCATTTCTTATGCCAGAAAGCACCTTTTGACAATTGTTGTTCAGCAGCGAAAACCATACCTCCACATCTTGGGCAACCTTGACCTTCAGGTGCTTTAATTGATGTTGTATCTGGATTAATGAATGGGCGCGATTGGGATATTTCATCCTCACTGAAATATGGAAAATTTTGTTTTGTATTGATATAAGTACAATATGCATGTAAATATTTGCAAGAACTTGAATAATTATATTGAATTTCTTACGTCAAACCATCTGTCTGTAAGAAACCAGATCCACAAGCAAATCCATATCCATGTGGACCCCATTTCTTTCCATAACATGTTTTACAGTATACATCTTTATCAGGGCCATCGCACGCTATAATTGAATCCAAAGTTTTAGTGCAATCTTTGCATTTGAAACATTTTCTATGCCATTCTCTGCCTTTAGATAAGACTTGTTCGGCAGCAAATACTACACCACCGCAACGTGGACAACCTTGACCTGGTGGTGCTTTGATTTTAGCTGTATCAATAATTGTAGTTTTGGGAGCCATATCACTATGATTTTTAAAATAAAAAATATATTTATGCATGAATGAAAAATTTTACATAATATTATAATTAATTAGCCCCAAAACGGTTTTGGGGCAAATGTGAGTTTGTTTACATTAATAACGAAATGACTAAACATTGTAAAAGATTCTTACTATTACAGTGAAATGTCAATTCAATTCAATTTAGTTTGTCTTTTTACAAACTGGCGCCCGAACATAATTAATGTTTTAATAAAGATTTTTTAAAACTTAATGTTATTTTTTAAAATGCGTTAGATGATAAATTAATTTTATGTTTTCAATACGTCAAAATTTTGTCGAGATTATTTTTCTTGGAGGATCGCTATATTATTTTTCTTTTCGAAAATCTTTTGTTTATATAGTGGCCATGTAATATCGATTATACTTTTGGAAAATGATATTAAAAATTAAATTGGTGGTATTTTGATTGAAATGTGTAAAAAAATATGTGCTACGTCATAGTCTTTGATTAGGCAACCTAAAACATATATTCGTGGCCAACATTTACATAAAATCGTATTTGAAAAAATCATTTTTTGCATAGACAAGTTTTGTAAAAAAATTTTTTAGCTCTGTATTATGTGTAGATGAAATTAACGAGCGTTCAGTGATGATGTACATATGCAAAATTTAAAATAGAATTTGTCCTACTTTTTCTTTTAGAAATGCACATGGTGCTAATGTACGAGAGGATTATTATGCATTTATGTGGGTAACTCGTTGTAAATTGTTATTATTTCAAATAGAATATACGAAAGTTTCCAAATAATTTTTAAATTAACATAAATATAATATTTTTTTTTACTATTCCGCCTACAGTTTTTTGGTTTTTTTGAAAAAATGTTAGAAAATTTAACCATATAACAAAAATACACACATTATTCAACAACATACAATTCTGAATCATTAAAAATAACATCATAAAGAAAAAGAGAAAAAATTAGAGTACGACACACACATACAAGTATACATTTAATTTTGTAGAAAAAAACGTCAGAAATTTTTCATCTAACAACACCACATTAAAACTTATTTAATATACACACATTAAAATATTCATAATATATGTAAATATGTACATATAATGTGTATAGTTTAGTTTATATATATATGTATGTTTAATGCCTATATATAAATATACTTGTACGTCATTTCACCTCTGCCATTCCACATCTTTTATGTCCGACATTAAACCAATCGATGATATTCCTATATGACCATAACCACGAGCACCAAATCTTTGTGCATAGCAACCTAGAGCAAAACATTTCTTAAAATAAACATATTTATTTTTGTTCAATTTAAACATTTAAATAAAAAAAAAACAGAAACAGAAATGCAAAATACAAGAAAATTAGCGGTTATGAATCTATAATATTTATTTGGGATAAAATAAATTGTTTTATTTTTCAATTAAATTAATTTATTTGATTAAAACCTGGTAACAATAAAAAAAATATTTTTTATTGGATACAAAAAACAATTATTAATTAACATTTTTACAAAAAACCTACATATACGCGTACATTTTCAAACCCAAAATTAATTTTTTGTTAAAAATATTCTTAAGGTATCTACATAAGTGCAAACCACATCTTTAACTTTTTTTATTCAGCAATTAATATTGCATTGCTGAATAAGTCAAATTTGTATAAAATTTTCATTTTGATGCCTTGTTTTAAAATGACGTTTATTGGACAATTGAAATAAGTTCTTGATCTTGAAAAGCAAAATGTATTCAGTCAATAATCCAACAATATCAAATAAAAACATGCACGTATGTACATATGTATGTCTGAAGTATAACAATTTAAAAAAATTGCTGTAATATAAAAACACTTTAATTCACAGAAATGAATGTATAAAAAAACTCTTAAACAATAACTGCATTGATTTCAATAATTTAAATTGTAATCAACAACATTTCTGTAACGAAAATCCTTTAAATACATTTCTGACGTAGATGTAATCATAAAAACTAGAAATCATTCACAATAATTCAAATACACATAATTATGAAGTCAAACGTAGAAAAATATCACACAACAAACCAATTTCTGACAACCTGAACTTAAAACAAAATATTATACGAAGCGTAAACATTAGTAAGATATTGTTCGACCACTATTCAAATAATGCTCAAACACTATTCGGGAAAAAGAACCTAAAATATTTTATTCAATACGTTTAAAATTTCATATATCCTTTCATACAATCAATTTATATTAAAAACTAAACTAAACACTTCATATCTTAAGTTGAGGTTACCGTATTAGACATTAGTGCTTAACCGTATAAATAACAGTACTATGAGAAATTGAGGGCTTTCTTTTTAAATTCATTTCAATTCATAATTTTGTAAGTTTCAAAATTTAAAAGCCGCCTGCATGATATGCAAATTTATTCAAATATAAAATTTCACTCTTTTAAATATTAAAGAGCGTAATTTAATAAAATTATTAAATTTTTTTTTTTGTTACGAGTATATAATAATTTTGATCAAACAATTTAATTTTGATTTCTTTTTTAAACATACCCATTTTGATAAACATCACTTTGTAGAGCTCCACCACCTTGACCATAACCATAGCCTTTTGGACCGAATTTCTTAGCGTAGCAGACTAAACATAAAACAACACAAATTTTATTAAATACAAACATAAGGTAACATAATTTATGAATAAAAAACTCAACAAATATTCTGTAAATTCCATATAAGAAGTTAGTTAAAAGAAAATTCTCAAATATGCATAAAAAATTTAAGAAAAAAAAATTTAGTTTAGGTTAAAAAAATGAACACATTTTAGCTGCATTAGATGTACCTTTAAATTGAAGTAAGTTATAAAAAAAATATTAAATTTCCAGAGAAGCCTTCTAAAACAACCAATTTGTTATTTTGATCATAAAGGGCGGGCGTGTTTACCAAAATACAAATCTAAAGTCGATTTATCTGGCTACGCAATTACAATTTTTATTGCTTAGTATGGTAAATGATTGCAGGTTAGTTTTGCACATAGGTAAATTTTCATATAATAAACCGGCATTAATTTCTTAAAAACTAAATCTATATTTTTACCCAAAAAATAAAATTTTTTAAATTTGCCAAAAACAATGTTGTTATCTATGGTTTCAAGCAGCTTAAAATTAAAAGCAAAATTATTATTTTAAATTATTACGCAATTTAATTAATAAACCTTTATTATATCGGCGAATATTGTTAAAAAATTAAGTATTTCCTTGCAAAGATCGTAAATAGTACGATTGTAAATATAACATTATAATAGATGGCAAATAAAATAATTTGCAAAACAAAAAGCGTAATATTTTATATAAATTTGTATAGAGAATCAATCGCACCTTTACAATATATATTCTTATCGGGACCTTCACAGCAAGTCAAGGAATCGAGACCTTTTCTACAATTTCCACATTTAAAGCACTCCTTGTGCCACATCTATATTATTAATATTTTATAATAAGTAATAATTAATTATTTTTTTGTTTCATTGAATGAATTTTAAAATTTAAATATTGGAAGATCAGGAAATAAATATCTTCCAAAAAATTAAATTTTATAGAAATGCATACATTATTTATCAGTAATATACTAAATTAATTACGATATATCACAGTTATCTATTAATATAATAATATATTGACAAAAATACATTTGAAAAATAATCTCCAGCACAAACATTTAAATTTCAGCAAACGTTGTCATTACTTATATTTCGATCATTTGCATGCGGCTACAGAAAATTATTTTAATAGTACGAGTATTTTTAATTTGTCACATTTAAGTACCACATACCTTTTCTTTACAACAAAAAAATTCTTATATATTCCTTACAACAAAAAAATAAACTTCTATTTCTTACAATTTTTCCTTTCATCAGCCTCAATTATAAACTTCAATTTTTTCAATTAATTGATAAAATGTCAAATCTTCGTATTATAACTGTCAAATGGCATAACTTTTTCTGGCAGATTTTATTATTCGGGTATTGCAAATCAGGTATTACAACTCATGAATTGAATTTTGTATTGCAGTAATTTTTTTAAAGCAGCAGTACTGTAGTCAACATAAGTTTTGCATTCGTTTTATTCAGTGCACATGCACCAATTTGTTAAAAGAAACAGATATAAAAATAGAACGTCAAATTCTTAATATTTACTTTGTTTTCTTAGTTTTGAATTCATTTTTAAATAATATTGACAGTTTGGTTTCGAGTGCAATATTAATATAAAAGAAATGGAAACAGTTTTAGGGCGTGATTGCGTGCTCTCGTAATCATATATTTGTATAATGTAATTTTCGAATGAGAAAAATTTTTGCGTATCTCAATTTTTTTTTTTAAAAACAGTAGTGATTTTCATACGTCTTAGTTCAAAAGTGATAGGACCAAAAGCCGGTAATTAATTAATTTTTTCTTCATACATTTAATGCATTTATGACAATATAAAGTTATTTTCATTGTAATTGAAAAAAATAATGCCAATTAAATGAAAAAAACCCTGTCATTTTTTCTTGAATTTCTTGAAAAAAAAAAATTAATTTCAATATTTTTGTCATAATAATTTTAACCTTTTCAAATCAAAAGTTTTTAGGTAAAATAATTGTAATTGGCATTTTTACATTATAAAATAATTGCGAATAAAAAAATATCTATTTTTATTAAAAAAAAAAATCATCAGGTTGTTTAATTTCTAAAATAGAAAGAAGCCAATTTCAGTTTTTCAAAAGAAACTTTGAATTTATTTTTAAATTGAAAAACAAAAATGTACTTTGTATATGTGTGTATATAAATATTGTTTTTTTGTATGCATATACGTACACAACATACATTTAAAGTATACTTGTGATTTCTCATTCGCGCCCACATTCATTTTTATTTTATTTTATATAGAAAATTAATTAAGTTTATTTTTTTTTTAAATAATTTTTTCATATTTTCATAATTTTATATCAAATTTTTATAATATTTCTTTTTCTTTTAATATCATTCAATATATTTTATGAGTAAATGGTAATATCAAATAATAATATTATGTAATATTTATGCCTTATCTATTTTTATTTTATAATATTAAAAAAATTTTGCAGAATATTTTCTTATTATATTTTTATATCAAAAATAATAAAAAAAAAGTTTAATATAAATCAAATCATAAAATTTTGAATTATTTAATAATTCAAAGTGTCCCGAAATATTAAGAAAAATATAATTATAGAATTTTTAAAAAAATAGCGCATACTTGATTATACAAAATAAAATAATTTTACTATGAGTTTTATTTATTTATTTTTCTTTCCGTCCACCAGTTGCGGGAGCAATAGGACATTACACTTGACATTTTAGAGTCAAGCTTCAATTTCAGAGCTCAGTTAATTATGGATATATGAGTAATAAAAATTTTTTTAGTTTTGCCAGATATTTTTGTATTTCGAAAGGAATGACGGTGTGGTGACACTAGAAAATAACAGCCTGATCGTGTATCTCGCTTTTTTATTCACTTTCAAATCAGAATTTTTAGCATTTTCTAATTCTAATAAGATCGCTAATTTTTTCAATTGAATTTGTACTTTTTTCTCAAATTATCGATTGAACGTCTCATTTTCAAATACAAAGTGAATTAACTTTCTACGCATTTAAAAAAAAAAAACGGGATACGCAATAGCAAATAATTCTTCTCACCCGAAAATTACATTATACAAGTATAATATGATAGTTACTCACTTTCTTCTCACTTTCCGATTAAAGTAAAGAGATAGACGATCAGGCCCTATTTTTTTTGGTTTAATATTTTGATATTGTTTGTGAAGTAAGGTTGATTTTATTACGGACATACAAGTTAAGCTTCACTTTAAATGCGATTTTGTATTTGAAATATTTTAAAAATAATTTAATTTGTTTTTTTTTACGAGCATGAACAGAAAGTAAATCAAAATCAGAAAAAATTATACTTTTAAAATAATTTAATTCAAGTTTTTTTTTTTTTGGAAAATTTAACTCTAATAAGAATAGTTTTTGATAAACAAAAGCTAGGTGGCAATATATATGTGCTTAAATTAAGTATAAAAACTTGGTTTTTTATCACATTTTATGCCAGTTCTATGTTTTATATGTTGCCATATATTTCAGATTTTTTGACAAAATTTTCCGAATTTTCTGTAATATGGTAACGCTGATTGTATAATACGCTGTATTATAAAAATACAATTTTGTATAATATAAATTAGTAAAATATTAATTATAGTGAGCTGATAAGGTGCAATTTTATATAGTGAGAAAAAATAACTACGCCTAGAACATATGCAATTATTAGGTCTATTTTTGTTTACTTTTACTAAAAGATATGAAAATACAACCCCTTTATCTCCTGTAGTAGAACCTCTAAATCTCTGTTACTCACTTTTCTTCTTTTTATATTAACAATTAAAAAGTCTAATTAAAGATCTTATAGTTTATATATTAAATAAAACTCAAATTATCCTCGTGACCGTACGCATAAGATTACTTTTGTGAAAACTTGGGTAAAATTTGGTAAACAAAAATTATATTTCGGTCGTAAAATTATGTATATTCTTCAGTTCGTACAGAATTTTAAACCATTTGTTGGAAAAACGAGGAAATGTGGAAGAGAGTGAAGAGAGAGCTCTCTTTGTATATGCTGATATGCCACGGTTAATATTTTAAATTTGTTTTAGTCAAAAAAATATTAATATGTTTTTAATTTTATCTAGATTAGGTTAAGTTATGTTAGGTCGACGCTGCTACCATAAGGTACATATAGGCCAGAAAGCCCTGTTAATTTCATCTAAATAAAAAATTAATTTAAAAAAACAGACTTTTTATCAATTTCCTAAATCTGTTACCGACAATCAATCAAATGTCAAATCAAATATCTTCAGAAATAATGTGTCCAGTAAACTTGATACATATCAGAAAAGGTAAATAACATTCTTAAACATTTCTTAATTCGACAATTAATTGTCGATTCCAATATTATATACTAACAATTTTTGGAATTATTCATTATAGACTATTATACACTCGTTGCTTGATATTCTTTAAGATGATTTGATTAAGTTAACACTATATATCGATTGGAAAACAAAAAATACAAACATTGAACATAATCATACATATAAATTTTTACCTCTGCAATATATTTCTCTATCGGGGCCGTCGCAATGCATTGTTGAATCTAACGTTCTATTACATAGTAAACATTTAAAACACCTTCTGTGATAACCCTATATATTTAAATTATTCCAGATAAAAATGTTTTTCTACAAACATATTTGTTATACAATATTATACAATATCCCATAAATAACGATAATTTTCACTTTATAAATAGATAAAATGAAAAAAAAAATTGAATATTCTTAATTTGTAGACCATATTTTAAAATAATTATAGCAATTTCATATTTTGTATGAATTCTAAATTTACAATTAATAAATGAAGAATTTGAAAATTTTTCGTTCTTAAATATTTAATTCACATATATTTTGTTTAATTAATTTTTGATATAATTGCCGAACGAAATTTACGTTCTAGATTTTGTGATTATTAAAACAAAATTAAAAAATTATATTTATCTGGTTTTTCTCAAATTTCATTACAATTAGAAAATTTAAGAAATTCAATTAATTTTTAATTTTGAAGTTGTACACGTTACATATGGGATACTCTTTATGTATAAATAATATAAAGTGAATATTATATGTACATATATATGTACTATGGTTTATGTATACATTTCCATAAGAGTATTGTTATATATTATATGTATGTATGCAATCATACATGTGCGAATGTAAATCATTCTTGTTTGAATATTTCCTTAAAACTTTTTGTTATTTTCTTTTTTTTTTTTGTCAAATGGTAAAAATATTTTTAAATCATATACTTACTCTTCCTCTGGCTAACATTTGTTCAGCTGCATAAACATAGCCACCGCAACGAGGGCATCCTTTACCTTCTGGTGCTTTTGCAATGACTTTAGGTTCTAATCTAGCTCCATTTCGCATTTCGTGCTCTCTGTAAATTTTTGTATTTTTTTTTTTATTATTTTATTAAACAATAAAATATAAAAATTAAATATTTTGAGATTTGATAGTCTCTTTCTTCTCTTTTTTAGTATAACTAAAAATTATTTATTTGAAAATTGTTTTTCCCTATTTTTACAAGTTTATTATTTCAGATTTTAGCTTCAAATTTATTCTGAAATTGAATATGTAGCTTATATTTTGCAATTAAAGGAAAAAACCGCTAGATAAAAAGTCGAGCAATATCGCATTTAAAAAAAAAAAACTTACCTATACTTAAATTTATAATATGGTTTCCACAAATTTTTTAAAAGATTTCTCTAACGAAAGCCAAAATATTTAAAAAATTTGTTTCAGATTCTTATGTACACCGAAATGGAAGACATCTTCAGCTCGAATTCTTTTATAAACTTTCCTTAAAATTTTTCATAATAAAAATTGCTTTTGTTTTCTTTTCATATACTCGTGCATAAGCAGGATCCAAAAAATGCTCATAAAATTGTTAGAGTTCTCAATATTTCTTATACTCGAAGTTAATGAGCCTGAAAAAAGACTTTAGTTCAAGGAAACATTTTAAAAACCGTTCTTTATAAACTTATAATTTATCATTGCCGAAACTATGCCAATTACAGTTTTTGAAGTTTTTACAAACGCTTTTGTAATGACAATTTTCCGAAAAAAAACAAGTATAGTAAAAGTGAATTGGTTTTTTGTATATGGCAACCCTTATACATGCTATTCGTACAAAGCATTATTTCACTCATTTTTATGGAGAACGCGGAAAGAATTGAGAAATTTTTATGATTTTTAACTGCAAAAGAGCAAATTGCTAAAGTAGTGTGTATGGTGGTTAATTTTGAAAGTTTTGAATACAAAATTACAATATTTATCAGTTTATTTTATGTTTTATTTATTTAATGTTCAGTTCGTGTCACCTTTCCAATACCAAAATAATATTTCCTAAGCTAAAAGAAGCTAAAAAAAATTTAAAGCAATTGAATTGTTGGTTTGACGCACCTTTAGAGAGTACTATATGGTTTCGGATTTAAATGTAACTTAAAGTTTTAAATAGATACAAGATTATTATAATCAAAGAAATAATCAAGATGGGAATAATATTTTTCTAATCTCAAACTTAATATAATAGCAGAATTGTTAAAATATATGTATAATATTTTTTTCCCTCTTCCATTCAATATTAATTTTTCCCTATGCTTTTGTATCTCTTTCAAATACAATTCAAAAATAATCAAACAACCTCATTGTTTAGTTCTAAATATTGCCATTTTAATATTTGTTTATAATTTTGGATCTATATACTGTCAAGATGGCTACCATTAAACCAAAGTAGTTATGATTTAATATATATATATTTTTTTTCTAAATTCTTTGCATTCTTTTTTTTTATAGGCTTCTTTTCTCAGTAGTAACTTAGAAAATTTCTATTTTCCTTTTAATTTATAAATGCGGTTGGGCGGATATTGCCAATTTTTTCTTCTTTAAATGCAAAATTTTAAGTTTATCACTTTTTTTAATTGGTTTTGTATAATTATAATTTTATTTTTTATATTTTTTTAATTATTTTAATTTTCTTTTATTAATTTTTAGTTTTTATTATATATAAATTTATGTACATTTATGTATATGTTAGGTTTATTATTATTTTTTTTTTGTTAATTTTTAATTTTAAATTTTTTAATGTTTTTTGTTTTTATAATTTTAATTATAAATAATTTAAAATATTTTTATGTTGCGTTAGTAAAATTGGTTTTATTTTGTTGCAAGCATTTTTTTTTATATATTTATTTTATTTATATATTATATTGTTATTATTATATATACATGTTTATTATGTAATTATATAAAAAAATATTTATATTTTTTTTAAAACTAATTTCCATTTTATGGATTTTTTTTTATATTTAAAATTTATATTGAAATTTCCGTAGGTTATGCAAACCGGTTGAATGTTTTTTTATTCTTCAATTAAATTTATATTATATTTTTTTTTTAATACTTTGGATTTAAGAGTAGCCTTCATCTCAAACCTTTTGTTTTTTTATTTATATTATATAATTATCACAAACATAAATATATATGGATGTGTGTATGTGTATGTGTTAAACATATGTTTGTCTCTATAATTTTCCCCCTTAATTGCTAATAAAATATCTTTAATAAAAATCAAATTCTATATATGTATAGTATAAGTAATTGAAAATTGTAATGTAATTACAAAATTACGAAATACAGAGAAATATGTGAGGTTAAGGTTCATTATTATTTTTCCATCAAACCAACAACAACAAAAAAGAACGTATAACATTAAAAATATGTTCAGTGTTTTTTTTTTTTTTGTATGTTTATTATTTAAACTTTTTTTCATATATTTTTACCTGAATAATAAAACATCATAATATATATATGTATATACATATGCATGTACTTTATAGTAATAAATCAAAATATTATATATATGTATAAATAAATAGTTGTAACCAATAATACAATAATTATACCTTTTAAGAAAAATATTATTTTAACATATACATATATGTATATATATATATATATGCATATATGCATATTTTAAATAATAAAAGTTAAAGTCTACAAAATAGTTCTTTTTTTTTATACACTTTAAAAAAAAAAAAAAAAAATTTTTTTAATGACAAACATACAAACAGTAAAATTGATTCTTGATTCAAATTTTTAAAATATATAAGAGTAGATATTATCATATATAAATTTTGTGTATATTTTCAAAACGGGATGCAGGAAGCAGCACTCCAACGAAGTTCCATATTATAACTCTGTTGATTTAATTGCTGTGATTGAACAAGAAAATAATAGAGGACATAAATATCCATGCAACATTATGAAAGATAAATAAATGTGTGTGAATGGGAGAGCAAATATTATAAAATTTTTTTGTTTTTTTTTTTATTTTATTGTTAATGATATAATAATTAAATGATATAAAAAAAAAAGAGTAAATTAAGTAAATAAATTAATAATATAGTAATTCATTAATCATAGTTATTTATTATATGAGAAAAACATGGTTAATTGTGCGATAAATACATTTTTTTTCTAAAATTTTTTCGACAAAGACTACACATAAAATAAGAAATAATTAAACAGATTCACAAACATTACATATTTTTTTATGGTCGCTTTTATTTGCTTTTATTTTTTTTTTTTGTTTGTATATAAATATAAAAATTTTAAATATTTTATAATTCCTACAAAATATACTTTAAATAAAAAAATAAAGAGGCAATTTCGAAATTATATTTTATTAATTAATAAAACACACTCTGGACGATGAATGCAAAATATATTTTGTTCAGCAATTCAAAATTATGTAGCTGAATGAGATATAGAGCGTTTACCAAAATTTACAGATCTAACGTCAATTTGATTGATTCAGCAATTGAAATTTTATTACTGAATAAATTGAATTGAAGTTAAATTTATATTTTGGTAGATGCCCATATAGTTTAAAGTTAAATCCGCATTTTGGCAAAACGACCATAAAAACTTTGACATATAGAAATTGCAGCAGTACCTTGCAGCGTTATATTTATTTCAGACATTAAACAAATCATAAGCTGAATTGTGTATTAATACCGCATTGCTGCAATTACAATCTTCAAGTTAAGTTTAATTTTCAAAACAAAACAATAATTTTTAATTTATAAAAAAAAATTAACAATTATACTAATAGAATTTTTAAAAAAAATCGAAATTGCCTCTAATTCTTTATTTTTAGCAACAACATTAATAACAAAAAATGTAAATAAACAATTAGGTTAATATAAATAATTCAAAAATAAAATAAAAGTAACAATATGTTTGGGGTAAAAAGCTACATTTTTGTAGATTTAAAAAAAAAATGGTTTTCAGTTTTAAAGATTAAAGTTAAACTGTTGTTGTACCGTTATGTCCTAATATAAATTTATTAGTTATGATTTAAAATGCTTTTTTTTTGTTTTGATCACATTTTAATTTAATAATATTATAATTTTTTTTTCTTTGAAAAAAAAAAACACTAAATTATTTAAATTTATACTAATTGTATTGTAAAATATAGAAAAAAAATTAAATTTAAACATAATGCACCATTGCCCTCTGATTTCGGTGCAAGAATATCGATTTTTGTTTTTGTAAGTGCAATTGATTGAAATTTTGGAATAATTATTAGAATCTGGTAAGGTTGGCTATATAATTGTGATATGCGTATGTGTGAAGTTTTAAAACTTTCGAAATAACTTTATATTTTACAAATTATGTAGAAAATAATTGCAAGCTTTATTTTTCTTTACGTATACTTTTGAAAAACGATTTCGTTTATAATATAGTGTATAGAATATATAAAAAATGTCAATAATTTGAAATGTCAGAAATTTTGATGGTTGTAATCGATTAATGTTTTATATAAATCGATTAATTTTACAATTTTTAATTAGAATAATTTTGAATTATAATACGATATTTAATAATCCTGACAATGGTTGTAGCACTAGTCAGGCTATATTGACTTGAAGAAAATTGAATTATATTCAAAAATTGATGAACATTAAATTATCGCCGTATAAGCAATTCATTTTATATGAAGCCTATAGTTCATATTGACATTTTAATATCAAATTCTCTTGTCAGTTCAAATCTGAAAATATTTGTTTCAATTTCGTTTTTGATAACGCTAATAATTAACTTTCTTTTTTTTTTTGGATGAAATGTGGGTATCAAAATAATTGTTGTCTTTTGATGCAATAATAATTTTGTTTTATATAAACTTTAAAATTTTTGTATAATATGAATAAATATTTTCTTATAATTATATTATTTATTTATGATTATCTCTAATTATTTAATTATTTAGCATTATTTTTAAAATTCATTTATACATTTATGTTTTATGTAAATTATATTAAACATGCATAAATACATGTGTGCGTGTGCGTGTATACATTTATACGTATATAGTCTCATATTATTATTTGAATTGATTGATGAAACAAATAATTGTGTTGAATTGGTTATTTAATTTTCTTTTCCTTTCCAAAATATTTAAAAACAAAATGAGTATACAAAAAATACAATATAAAAAACTGCATTCAAAATAACAAATCTGAAGTACATAAATTTCGTAATTAAAATTTTATAAATGAAATCACTAATAAAAAAAAATGTTTTTTTTTATATACCATAATAGCAATAAACATCGGCGTCAGCATCGCATGTGTCAAATTTAAAATTACACATATTCGCATTTCTTTCACTTTGCTTGAGCTTTAAGTGTCTTGTATTTTTTCTCTTTTTTTACGTTGCATTTTACAATATTTCAGTATTTGTTAATTTTTTTATTAAGTTTTTCATTTTCAGCTACCTTATAATACTTAAGCTCGAAAAAAAAATCCTAATAAAACTTTGTTTTTCACAAAAAGCTAGAAAAATATAATATTTTATAGTTGGTTTGCAATAACAGAACGGAAATTTCATATATAAATAGTATGATTATTTAAGATTTTTCGTTTTAAAATAAACATTTTATTTTTAACTAAATACATAAAATTAAAAAAAGTCTTTATTTCATTTCATTTGATTTATTTCATTTTTATCATCGCCTTTATTTAAATTCATTTTTAACTTTTTAGTACAAAGTTGCTTTGAAATACAACTGTAATGAACATTAACAAAATTTGACAAGTACCTACAATGCAGATCTAATGTCAATTTGACTTACATATTTAACAATTTATCATAAAACTGTATTGTTGAATAAGTCAAGTTGACGTTAAATTCACATTTAGGTAGACACTGCCCTGTTTTTGTTTTTTTTTAATTTAAGTTTAGCATACTCAAAAAACCCTTATTCTTTTTCGAAATCCATTTTATATTATACATTGTTTAAAAATTTTAAACATAAAATAATTAAAGTTCTGTCAAAAAAGTTAAAAATTGAACTTAAAAAAAATTTCTGCGAATAATATTTGTGAATCAGTGTCAGTATATAATAAAATACTTAAAAATTATTGTTATATATTAAATATTATTTAAATATATATTATATTTTTTTTAATTTATTAAAAAAAGTATTTTAATAATCACATATATTATGAAAAATTTAGCTAGAAATTTAGAAGAATAAGTCAAAAAAAAGAGAAAAGAAAAGAGAAAAAATATAAAAACAAAAAAAAAAAATACTTACTCTCTTTGTAAATGGGCACCTGAGTCCATTGAAAGACAACCCGCTCCACCACCGAAACCATAGCCTTTTGGTCCGTATTTACGGCCATGGCAATTTTTGCAGAATAATTGTTTTTCATGTTCTGTGCAGTTAGTGGAATCTAAAGCTTTGTTGCACATTTCTTAAAAAAAAACAAAAGAAATAAAAATATAATAATTGAAAATTTGTATATGTAGTATAAATATATAAAAATATGTGCTTTATCCTTCTATTCATGGATAAATGAATACTTACCACATTTGAAACAAGTTTTGTGGAACTTATAACCTCCAGCAACCCGTTCTTCAGCAGCATAAACTGATTTGCCACATTTTGGGCATTTTGGTGTTTCTTGTGGTGTGAAAGGCATATTTATTTAGCTGTTAAAAAAAAAAAAACATAATTAATTCATAAGAACCTATAAAAAATATTTAAGAAAAAACCCTTAAAATTTTTATGTTTTTAATTTAGATTCTATCATAAACTTAATAAACTAACAATTACTATAGTTATATGAGCTTTCTTTAAAACCTTACTTTAAGCTTTAAGCTGAATTTACTCCTTCCTCATATAATTTAAATCAAACTAAAAAAATTTTATAATGAAATTTAACTTTCTACAAAATGAAGAAGCAGAATGTCAAATTTTTGCATTTTTAGTGTTCGATTTGAATTTGACAGACAGCAGCAGTGAATTCAACTTTCAAATTTGTATCGTTTAATCAATTGTTAAAAATCGATTTTAGATGCTCTGTTAAAACACCAAATTTTCTACTACAAAAAAAAATAATTTCTTTTTTGCATTTGTACAATTTATGAAATGTTTATTTAACATACATGTAAAATATATGTGCATATATATGTATTTATCGCATGTATATATATGCAATTATATCCGGAATTTATTTTTCCTTTTTTTGTGAAAATATTAAAATACCCTATATATTTATTTGAAATAAAACTGGGTTATTTGACTAAAATATCTTTTGTGATGGAAACAAAAAAAGTATTTTATTTCATAAAAAGCAAAAAAAAAATTCTATCATTTCTATATGTTTTCCCCTTAAATTTATTTCAAAATATATATGAGATAATATTGTGTACCAAAAATTGTTGGAAGTATATTTATAAATAGTATTTTAGAAAATTATACAGTCATCTAAAGTTTATATTCAAAAATATATATTATTTTTTTAATGGTGCTCTATAAATAGATGTTTAAGATTGAAAAAAATAAAAAAAAAAAAATTATTCAATTTTTCTTTACAGATCGTTTACTTACATTTATACATATGTATGTCATGTATAAATGTATACATATAATTCCACATAATTTACATATACATAACATATATATGGTACATATATATAAATACATGTGCTTATATATATATATTATTATATAAAATATACATTGATACCCGTATATTTCTTTTCAAATTTCCAAAAATATTATGAAAAAATATTAATCGTATTCCATAACACTCGCTTATATATATATATATAAGCGAGTATTATATATATTTATATATAAGCCTATATATATATATATATATATATAATATATATATATATATAGGCTTTTTTAAAATATATCAAAGAGATTTTATCACAATTTTCTTGAATTTCTTCTAAAAAATCAAGAATTTTCGCTCAATTTGTGATAGAAATGAAAAAATATATTTTATGTATAAAAAAATAATTTTTTTCGATTTTTCATTTCGACATTGTTATATATATATATAAATGTATATATACATTATTATATAATAATTTCATATTTTAAAGAAAACTCTAACTGTATTTTAATTTATATATATATATATATGTAAAATTAAAAATTCGGCAAAATTTTGTGCGAAAAATATTCGGGGAAATTTTTTTGAAAAATTCAAAAAAAAACTTTAAAATTATTTCCTCTTCTTATTTTTTTTTAAATTGTAAAATTAGTAATTTTCCAAGATTTTCAAATTTTTTATAATTAGTTTTTCATTATTTTATTTTTTTTTTCTCTTCATAATTAAATAACGAAATTTTTTTTAATTATTCTTAATATTTTTTTTTAATTTTTTAATATTACACTTTAATCTTTAATAAATTTGCAATTTTTTTTCTTGGGCAATTAAAAATATTTAATTATTTTTTCTTTAAATACGAACACAGGAATTTTTATCTATCGTACCTTTATTTTTTTTGAAAATTTTACACAAAGAGAAAATACAGATTATTTTATTTCAAACTTTTCAGAGTGAGCTGCGCTTCTCGACAAAACTCGTTTTCGAATGAACTAGAGGGTGTCAGTGATCAGGTAGTCTATACGCAAATTTATTTACCAGAAATCTATATTTGTGTGAGAGAGTAAAGAGAAATAAAATTATAAATTTTGTCGTGGGATTGAATTTTGTTTTTCTCTGTATTTTTTTCCTTTTTTTTTCTAATTCTCTTAAATATATTCTTCAGTTATTATTATAAATTGTACACACATAATTTATTTATGTATATGTGTACTACTCAAGTTGAAATAAAACAAATGGAAAACCCACAAGCAAATAGAAAATAGAAAAAAACGAAACGAAAAATTAAAGAAAAAAAGGAAAATCAAAAATGAAAAATTAAAGAAAATTTTGTGTGGAAACTGACAAAAAAAAAATCATATAAAATTTAAATTTTCATACACATACACTTTCGCATCAAAAAACGTTCTTAACGGTAATGTAAATTTGTGTTCTTTTCGTAAACACAAACAAAACTCTTAAAATTATGTATAGATATATATATGTATATAGAGTATATTATCGTGTATTTGAATATAATATGTATTATGCATATATATGCATATGCATGTATGTATATTTATTATAAATTTATGAAAGTTACAGCATATATAGTTTTTACTACAGATTATCAAAAAGGAAGAAGAGAGATAGGCAGGTGGAAATTTTGTAAGCAATTTTTACTATATGGAAAGGCTTTAAATTTGCTATTTTAATGAAATTGCTTTCATTTTATTTTCCTTTTATATATGTACATAATATATAATACAAATATTATTTATGATAACTTATAATAACTTGGAATACCTATACATATGCATGATTACATACACACAAAAGGCATAACTTTAATTTTTTTTTCTATTTCAAAGAAATTTTTTTTTTTATATTTGATAGATGTTTGAGTATTAATTTATGTTTATACATATAAATGTGTACATATACATATATATTTGGAAAAATTAAAGTTATTAAAGTTTTTCATCTGTATTCAAATATCCTATTTTGTATGATATATATACATATTTGCTTATACTCGTATATGCATGATTACCTGTCCGTACATGTATATACAATGAATTGTATATACATGTCATGTATATACAATGAGATTAGTGTAGGAAATAATGTTAAGAGTTAAAAGCATGCGTGAACAAAATATTGGAGAAATTATTAAATTATTAGAGAAACTTTCTTATCATATTACAAAAAAATTTTTTGATATATAGTACAAAATGTAAAATACATGTGTAAGTATAAGTATATATCACAACATTAAATTAAAAATTACTTTAATATTTTAAAACATAGTTTTATTGCTAATTCTAAAATCGTTATGCAAGTGATATATAAAAATTTTGTAATAAAAATATATAACATTAATTTGATAATAATAATAAATAATGTAAAAATAATAATATATTATAAATTCCTCTTTAATTTCAGGTAAATTTGTAAATTATTGTTTTATTTTTCAGGAAATGAAATTTTAATATTTGTACAAACATATTTTATTTAATATTCAACCTACATATAACAGTTTTCCATATAAAAAAAAAACAACAACTTTATGACATTGCATATATTACAATATGTGTATGTATGTATAACATTTTACGGTAAAAAAATTTATTTACTTAATTATAAAATGCTTAAAATAGAATTAAAAATAATTTTAAATGAAATGCACATTTTGTATAACAATAATGAGTTGCTCATATTATTATATGCATATATATATATGCAATTAAAACCACATTTAGAACAAATGAATTTATATTTGAACAAATTAATATTTTTGATGACATACCGTATTATATATGAGTGTTATTATATACCGTATCTTATAATACATATACGTGCATGTATGTATATATACAGGGTCGCCTACAGAAATTTTCATATACTATACAATGCAATGCAAATTACATTTTTATATTTTTGTTTAGGCTACACTCTGAATTTTTTTTTTTTGGACTTTAATTATACATTGGTGTATAGTTTTTACATATTGAAAAATCTATTTTTCATATTTAAAATTAAAAATTTTGTAAATATAATATGTATGTAGAGTTGTAGCAAAATTGAATCAAAAATATAATTAAAATTTCTTTTCTTTATTATTCCAATTAAATTTAGACATTTCACATAAATAAAATGATTATTCCTGCCTCCATATATATGTGGCTTTGTATGTATATCTTCCATTTAATTAAAAAAAATTTTTTTTTTGGTTCAAATATGAAAATGAAATTCTTTTAGTGACAGTTTAAATGTTAGTAAAATCTAATCAAATTAAAAATTTAGATTTAAATTTAGATCAAATCTGCTTCTTAATCAAATCTCTTCTCTCCCGCTTCTTTTCCAAATTATCGCTAACCAAAGTTCCTATAAAAACAAAGTAGTAACGGTAAATATTTTATCAGAGGCAATACAATAATATATTTCAAATTAAATCCGAATCTAAATTTAAACCCCTTCGATTTACAACTTTTTCTTTTACTACCCATCATATTAATTTCCCCTCATTTTTCTTCATTGTATAAATTGACAAAATGATACAACCATTTTGTCGATTTACACAATACTTTTTCCGACAAATCTTTTTTTTTAATAAATAACTGATTTCTACTCACAATGGCTTTTAAATTGTGATTTACAACGAATGAAAGTTAGTTTCGTTAACAAGCAGAACTCAAATATCAAATTTCAAGAAATTCCATCAATCCGTTCCGTTCCGTAAGTTAAAATTTGAAATCGGCCCCCAGTTCAGTTTTCGAGACCTGATCTTTCAAAAACTTCGAGACCTGATCTTTCAAAAACTTACAGATCTGTTGTTTTAATACCCAAAATTTAAATATTAAATTTCAAGGAAATCGGTTGATAAATTCTCTTTATATATATGCAAAAATTTAAAATTAGGGAATCAAATTCCCGCAAAGGGAATCCAATTCCCGAGATCAGATATATCCAAAAGTTGATTAATCCGTGCCATTGCAAAAATAAACTTACATATGAAATATCATCAAAATCGGTTCTGTTCTGTTATTTACGCTTCCCTACTCCGAAATTTCCCACGACTCCGAAATTTGATACCATCACATAACCTCCCTTATTGTATGCAATGCGGTCAGTGCCATCACATAACCTCCTTTATTATATGCAATGCGGTGGGTAAAAATGTTGATACAAAAGTTCCTACTTCAAACATTGCAGTTTATGCAAAAGTAAATTATTATTGTAATTTTTGAATTTCTTTGTTTCGAGTTAAGTTTTATTTTTTTTATAATTTTAAATTATATTACCTTCAAATACATAAAATGCTAAGCAGCACCGCCAATACGAATGTTGCCCTAACACTAGTTTGGTAAATGAAATACATGGACACTATACAAAAACATCAAAGCTACTATTAACAAATAGGGTTATAAGGAATATAACAACCGTCCAGAATATTTATGAATCCAGAATATTATATTAATTTTCTTAATGAATTATGAATTCATCGTTCTTCTTTTATTTCTTGTTCATCAAGTAATCTTTAATAATAAAATATTTGCTGATACTAAAACGATAATTTAAATAGAAAATTGCATTTTTTCAAGTACATATAATTTGTATGTAAGTGCTTCCATTAATTTAACTGGAATTTACTTCATACTAAAAATTCATAATTGTAATTTAACTATTTATTTGCAGTTTAGCAACTTGTACAATTGTAATAAAAATATTTACTTTTTTTCATTTTCACCTCATTTTATTCTCTTTCAATTCGTGGGTTATGATAGTGCCACATTATTTTTAGTGATTAAAAATATTTAAATACAATTTAAATAGTTTAAATTGAAGAATGTGATAAAATTAGAGAAACACCTTAATTCCAGATCTAAATGTCAGATTGACTTATTCATTAATTAAAATTATATTGATGAATAAGTCAAGTTGACATTAGATTTTAATATAGACTAATCATTACTTCATACAAGTTTGTATGCATATTTATCTTGATAAACATTAAAATATATTCACAATCAATTTATTCTATATAGCTTAACATAATATTCTTAAACGTATTCATTGACGTATACAAACGCCCCACATAATTTGAGTTATTCTATATACACAAATCTCAAGAAAGAAAAATTATTTTGGAACTAACTTTTGTTTTTACCACTACAAGTATATAAAAAAAATAAATAAAACAACAACAAAATTAATAAAACATTTTCAATATGAATCACTAACCAAGATGCAATCATATGAAAATGAGAAAATAGAATAATAAATTATAAAAAATATTTATATACACTGAAATCGTTGGAGTTACTCATTTTTCAATTATTTAAATAAATTTTTTTTGAATATTACACATAGAGGTTATGTTACAAATTCGAATATTTTTAATTATAAATTTATTTTTTCATAATTTATAAAATATTCAAATTAAACTACAGTGAACTGTACAATTGTTTAGAGGTCATTTTACTGACATGAATCAATATTTCAGTGATCATGCTCTCATATACACTTTTACACAAGTGCACGTGTTTTAAAATGCAAATACATTTCAAATATGGAGTACAATTTATCACGTTTTCCTGAGAATTAATTATAATTTGAATTATACAATTTACGAAAGTTATAAACTGATATAAGATTATTAAAATTATTGCGTTAAGAAGTGGAAATTATAGCACAGACATAAATTTATATTCTCAATCGGAAATAAAGTCTAATTTTAAATACAGCCGGCTGTAGTTTTAGTCTATAGTGTTCAGTATAATCTGCAGGTTTTTCAAGTAACATTTATTATTGGTTATTTTTTTTGTATACATGTGTTAAAAATTATCGGCAGTCAAAAATAGTAGGACCAAAAATGTTTTCACACCTATCAATAACGATCTTAAAACTCAACCTAAAACACACTTGCTGTGGTCATAACTTTCTAAACCACTCAAATTTACTAACATTAGATTTGGTTTATTGTAGTTTTGTAGCTATACTCCGTAAAGGAAGCCACGGAAGTTCTGTCTTTAGGCTAAATCGAAAGGTCTCGTTCGCTTCAGTCTATAAGTCGAGAGGCCTTAATATTTACATGCTGCTCGAAACCGGCATAACTGTATAATATATATAATTGTTATACCTAAAACTTATAAATTTACAATGGTATATAATGATAACATATAATGACAGTATTGTTCATTAAAATTTTTTATTTATTATAAAGTTGGAACATCATAATAAAAATAATTATAAAATATTTAAAATATCAAGAATGAATAATCAAATCACAAAAAATTTGAAAAAAAAAACTAAAAATATTAATTTTTAAAATATTTTTAATAGAGGAAAAATTGTTTTTGTTTGCCAAAAATAAAAATAACTAAAATAATAATTACGAGTCAACAGCCCTCTATAATTCTTAATTTATTAAATCTATATAATATTTTATTACACATTTCTCTATTACTTACATACATACGTAATGCATAGATATTTAATGAAAATGTATCAAAGTAAAAATAGGTTTTGCAAAATTCTTGATCCCACAAAGTTTATATTACAAAAGTCTGTCTTATATATTAAGTCCAGGTTTTTAATTACATATTACGTTCTTGAAGTCTTCTATGCCTTCTAAAACAGCATTCTTACAATATTATTTGCCTATACATATTTAAAATCAGTTTTTACATTTTGAAAAAAATCTCAAAACTATGAATGCAATTTTTATGTGCAAAGCTTTGAATGCCTAATCCTGAAACACAACACGCATTGTTCATGTTAATAAAACATAGTATCCTAAACTCCATAATTTGAAATAATTTGAAAATTTGACATTTTTATGCATTTCAGAAATTATACAAATATTCAGTTCGAGAAAATACCAAAAATTCCTAATGATAATTTTGATCAGCTTTAGATTTTTCATTTAATATGTAAATAATGAAATTAATAAAAGTAATTGAGATTAAAGAAATATTTGCCATTGTACAAGATTATTAGGTCATAACTGATTATTTTCTTATAAATTTTCAATAACAGTGCTGTCAAGTATACGAAATTACATGCAGATGTATTACGAATGTTTGTATATTTACAATATAAGTACATACATATGATAATTTAGAACAATATTATAAACAGTTCAATCATAGAAGAAAATCTTGTTTCAGTGTTCTGCAATACATTTCATTCAAGTTCCACAAAAATTTTAACTTTTTAAATAATTGTATAACATAATAAATTCAAATTAAACCGCAATGGTTCATATAGTAGTATAGTATTACTTTCTAAAATAAGTGAAAAACGTCTTCTCTTAATGAAATCTCTTATTGCATACTTTTAGGGGAACTACAAATATCTTTCTTATAAGTATTTTCTTAAATGGACACACACTGGTGGATAAACTGCCTTTTTTCACCAGTGCGTCTATTCTATATTTCCTTTTTTAAAATTTTTTTTAGAAATGTGCTAAAAAGGAGTACAAAAAGTTTATAAACACACAGCTATGCATAGTCATGTGCATAAACAAATATATTTAAGAACATAAGCAAATTGTTAAAAATATCAAAGAAATTTTTAAGCTAAAGAATTCATTAAAAGTATGCTGAAAGTTCCAAAAACACTTGTTTAATATTATAAATTTTAAATAAGTACGATTATTTTTCTAATTTTCTTGTTAAATTTTCATTTGTATATGGTTATTGTTCAAAAATCACTGGAAATTATTCACACTCTTTACAATTATTATAAACAAAATTTGATTTCAGTGCAGGAAATAAGTGAAATGAGCATCAGCAACTACTATTATAAAAAATTAGTTTGTATTTATTTCGTTTTTCAAAGTTCTTAATTTCTTTTGGGAATTTAATTGAAAAAATAAGTCCGATTATAACAGTAGTTCCAAGCCATTGTATAAAGTGATCTTTTCTGTTAACTATGCAAAAATATGAATAAAATTCCCTATACGTCTTTTAATTGATTAATTTTTTAAGTAAACCCAGAATTGAAAGATTCTTTCCTACAACCATTTTAAATTATTAAATTAAATATTTGGCATTCTTGTTCGATATTTAGCAGCTAGAAAAAACTTTGCCACATATTAATAATTTTTTTTTCTAAACAAAATTTTTTGAACGTAATTATTTTCCGTTTGAAAGCTTTTCCATTTGCAAAATTAGAAAAAAAAAAATTCATTGGTAATTTTTAACGGATGATGTCAAAAAAATTGTTTTTTTTTTTTTCTTTTATTTAAGCATTGCGTCTTTGTTTATTTTTAAATTCCAAAATAATTACAAGATAAAATAATTTCAACTGTAAAACAAAACTGCATATAATGCAGAGGTGTAAAAATACCAAATTGTTTTGAAAATTATGGCTCGGAAATATGGAATATTGATTTTCCCTCTGCCAAATTTCGTATTTGGATTTTTTTGTCAAATTAAAAGCCGAATTCTTTTACTTCAAGAGTAAAATTCTCGAAAGAATAAAAACATACAATCTAACAAAGATTATTTGAGAAAGACGGAAGAAATTCCAAAATCAAGCTGCTTAAATCAAAAATTATAATGAGTTGTACATTAATAAAACAATTGTTATTATAATTAGAATGGGTACAGTATCCGGGTCTCACAGGATGCTCTAGAGTATGTCTCGAGCGGTTATGCTGTATTATATGCCTCACACTCAGAGAGAGAGCACAATAGATCCTTATACTCGATTGCGGTGCACTGTTACCCCGGTTGTACAAATCTACAACCAGGTATATGTAGTAGTATGTATGCATATATTTAATAGTAGTTTAAGTACATAGCCGTCACAGATTATTTTTAACGACAGTCTATAATTTCAAAATTCACGTACATTATTGTACACATGATCTTTGATTCCAAATACTTAAATGACTTTTTCTATTGGTCAAACATTTGCGGTTCGCCAATTTAGAAGGTTTTTATAGAATATTTGTTTTTTTTTGATGTTTTACAAAAATAAAATTATTTCTAAAGATACGCATAGAAGTTATAAGAAAAGTATTTGTAAAAGAAAAAAAAAAAAACAAAAAAAGTTTTCTGTATAAATAAAGTAAATAAAATTCAAAAAAAATTTTTTTTTGCGCAAGACTCTTTATTATTAATATTTATTTGAAAAATTAAGAAAAAAGTGGGGCGATAAGAATTTGTTTATGATTTTTATTGGAAAACTCAAATGAATTTACAGAAGATCGAGTTTCGATAAAAAATAACTTTAATTCTTCTTTAATAAAAAATATTTAATTAACTATAATTGCTAAGAATAATTTAAATTAGAGTAAGTAGTAGGGATTGACTGCTAACGAAATTGTCGCCGCTTTCGAAAATATAAAACTCTTGTCAATTTACTTTATTCAGCAATCGAATGATCACTTTTGATTGAATGGTCACAACGATTGATGAAAATTTTATCACTTCTTAGGTCTTTAATTTGCGTGCAATATTTGTCTTAACAGCATAAAAGTATTTTTTTTTTCTCTTAAAGGAAATTTTTGAATTTTTTTTTCGTAAATTTTTCTCTTTCTTTTTTGAAATTATTTTGTGTCCATATAAGGAATCAATATTTTTTCTTGAGCATTTTCGTGAATACAAATTATGCGCATATTTGTGAAAACACGATTTTGCTCATTTTTTTTTTTTGATGGTCAATAATTTTTGCCATTGTCTTGTTTTTATATTGTTTGTTGGTGTTGTGTTTGTGTTGCAAAAATGAATAAAAAATCAAATTTGAAGTTGGTTTTGTTTTTTAATTTTTTTTGCCAATACCAAAAATTGTTGATCTTTAAAACTAGTTTTGTATCAAAAATTATATTTAAAAATTATTTTTAATATTAAGTAATAATAATAATAGTAATATATTACATTAAATTGTTTGTTTTTTTTTACATTTAAGAAATATATATAAATAAAATTGTAATAATAGAAAAAAAATTATTTTCCAAGCAAAATTTTACGGCCAGCGCCAATATTTTGACCAGCTTGTGTTGCACCTTTATTTTGGCCAGCTTGAAGACCAATAACTGTTTGACCTGCTTTAAGTTGTTCTTCAGTAAAATCACGTTTGCATTCATCAGCTGGTTTTGGTCCAAGATTTGGTCCAGTCCATTCTGGATGTTTATATGTTTGACGTCCAAGAGCAAAAAGTGTATTAGTTACAGTTGCAATATCTTTCTTTTCCCATAAATCAACTGTTTGGAATACATCAACATCAGCTACACCATAATCCTTAATTGCTTTTTGGAAATTATTAATATTTTCCATCATTTTGAATTGACCACCGGATTCGTTAATTTTTGGAATGGATCCTGGTGCCAATTTGTTCATTAGTTTGCATAAGACTTGTCCGTCTTTTAAGACTTCTTCATATTCTTGACCAGCTGGAAATTTCCATTCAAGGATATTTTCAACCCAGGTTTGAGCTTCTTTGTCCATAGCTAAATCACGCTTTGAAGCGATCTACATAGTTTTGGAAATAGAAAAATTCCAAAAAAAAAAAAAATTTTATTTTTTTTGTCCTCAATTGCATTTAAATTTTTTTTTTAATTTTAATTAAAAAACAAAAAAAAATTTTAAATAATTTCAATTTAAATTTTTTTCTTACTTTTGCTCTAACTGCACGTTCTAAAGACATTTTTGCTTATTTTTTCTAATTTCAAGTATGCTCTCTTAGAATATTAATGCAAAACTAATGGCAAGATAGGAGAATTGTGGAGCTTTTAAATATTTTTTTTCATAAATTTTTCAACTTTCCCGAATTTTCTTTCTTAAAAGTAACGATGATGTGGGAAATGGTTTTAGGTGGGTGGAGTACCAAAAAACGTATTCTTTTTTTTTTTTTTTTGTTACTTTTTCTATATTAAATATTTTTTCTTTTAAAAATATGCGAAAAAAACATTACGTAATAGAAAATTTTGTATACACTTTATTTAATCACAACATATGTATATAAATAGACCAGAATGTAAATGTACAAATCTTAGAGATTTTGGAGAACATTATAATTTTGTATATACGCGCGTATAAACAAACCCACCCTTGATCTGAATACAATGAGTCATAAAATGAGTCGAATCATATTAAAATACGTTTCGTGAGTAGTTTAAAGATTTGTCAAATAATTAGTGCACGCAATATATGAAAAAAAAAAAAACATGTTACACAAACTAGACCAATATTTTGCCAAAAACTCTGGTTATGTTTTTTGTTAAAAAAAAAAAAATCAAAATTAAAATAAAAAAAATTTAAAAACATTGGAAATTTTTCTACGTCAACGAAAGATTTTAGTTATCAGGAGTAGTACTTATTTTTAATGCGCAATAAGCATGTGCTTTTAATTGTTGATATAACAAGTCGTTCAATTAATAAATTACATCAATACATTAAAATTTACGCCAGTATTAAAACACACAAGAACCGCGTATATGACAATGATAAATCAGATGCACAAAATTTAAAAAAACAAGTTGAAATTTGGAAAATCTTTAAGAAAAATTGGTTTCAAATGAATGAAAGTATTAACGCAGTGCATGAGCTTAACCATCATCACAACAGTCTATAAAAAAATATTTATGTTTGTAGTGTAAAGTTTAAAATTTTTTGTTGTGATATAGAAGTGCGTTATTCAATATCCTGTTATAGAATCAAAGTAACTCTACTCATATGGTATCGAATATAGAGAATAAATAATGGTGATAAAATTGTATAATGACGTGCATGTATCTTGGGACTGTTCCATTACTCAGTCGAATATTTTCTGTCCACTTTGTAAAAAGTAAAGTTAATTATATACCTAAATAATTTTTAGTCTTGTTCGACACTAATTTTTCAGTTTTCCTTAAAAAAATAGAGTTAATCATTTACTTACTAGAAACATATACATAGTTTCTTATCTGTAGTTCGTGTTAAGTTAAAAAAAAATGTTCAAAGTAAATTTCTATGATTTTGTTGGACTTCGAAAGGTCGAAAAATCAATCAATTTTTCCTTGAAAATTTGAAAAAAGAAAAAAATTTGCAAATATTGTGTTTCACTAAAAGTAAAAGCAGAAATGTTTGTTGCAATAGCGCCCTAGTCCTATTTGAATATTAAGATTTATCATACATATGTATGTCTTCTTTTTCTATATATTCTGTCCGGGAAACTCCGTATTATTCAAATTTTTTGATTTATTTTAAACCCAAGTATGTATATCGCAATATTTCAATTGTAATAAAAGGAAACTTATCTCATTTTCAAAATAAATAACCTGTATATAAAAGAAATTTCCACATATAGACGTACTTGTATTTTTACTTTGTTAATTAAAATCCCATACCTCACCAAAATCATTCTCGTGATTTGCATTATTTGCTTGTATCCCTGACTTCAAAATTGCAGTATAATACATGGTATATAAAATTCAGAATTAAATTTTAAATTGAAATATCTGAAAGCAGTACATTACAATATTACTGTAATAACTAAGCCATACTTAACTTTGTACGTCATACCTAATTTTAATATTGCAGTAATTAGGAATAAGTGACAGAAAAATTTTGTTAACTTAAACTTCAGTTGTGCCTATTTTTTTTTCAATATAATTTTTAGTTATTAAAATTCAATTAGAAATATTTCTGGTACAAAAATTTTCAAATAAAATTTTTTGTTAATTTTTAAGAATTCTGAAATCATTTACCTACATACATACATATATGCATATGCATATATGTACATATTATGAATTTTATTAATGTTCTATATTTCCAAAAAAAAAAGCGAGTTTAAGTAAAATTCAGGCATGACTTTTATAATTTTGCCATATTTTATGAAATATCTACTACGTATGTACATACAATAATATTAATATATTTCTATATGAAAATAGCTATAATGTATTTATTTTTTTTTTAATATTGTACGAAATAAATTTGCTATTGAAAATTTCAAATGAAAAAAAAAAAAAAAGAAAAATAACTTAAAATTTTATTTAACGTATTTAGGGGGCAATATGAAAATTTTTTTTAGAGCAAATTAATTTTTAAGAAATTTTTATAAAAGAATCAGAGTCTATATTTGAAATTATATTAAAAATATAAAAGAAAATTAGACGTTAATTCGTCTCATTCTTAATTTCTGTTTATTTTCAACGTGTTGAAAATTTTAACAGGTAAAAGGAAAATTTATAAATATAATTGTAAACTCATTCTACTACCCACGATATTTTCTTTTTCTTATTATTAAAAATACGATCATCAACTTTTTGGTGCTAAAATACCAAATGTTCTGAATACATAAAATTTTTAATAAAATTTTGATGTCTGGCTTTATTTTATTTTTTTTTTTTCGTTTTTTCGTACTAATTTGAAAATTTTTTATTTAATTATTTGGTCTGTCAGTTTTTTTACGATAAGGCATATACAGCACTCAATTACATATATATTAAATTTGTTATTAAAAAATTATTTAGAAAAATTATATACAGAAAATTCTTTAGAAACTATTTTATGAAATATTTTTTGTTTAGAAATTTTTTCTATTCAACAAATCCTTCCATAAATATTAAAATATTCTTAATAATTTAAAAAATATTTAGTATCATAAAGTTTTCTGATTTTTAACTTGCTAACTATGCCTGTTGACATTTTCTTCATTGACATTATACAGTAAGAGACAACCCTTCATATTTATTGTTTCAGTTATTTGCGATACGTGAAAATTTTATAAAAAAAAGTTTTAATATTACTCAGAAAATGATTTTCATTTTGATTCTATTTTTATTTGTAAAAATTCGCAAATGACAAAAGTTAAAAAAACCATTTCTAAAAATTTATTTTAAAGTGATAAAATATTCATAGTACGAGTAGTCGCCTACATTTTCAGAAAAACTCTCTGTTTAATGACAAATCTTCTTAAATTTTTGTAAAAGTAGGCTATTCGCATCACGTTTTTATAATTTTTATTATAATTTTAATTTTATCTTTTTGGAAAGTCTTTTTACTTTTTTAAAACCGAAACAAATAATTCGTTGCTTATTTTTTTCTTTGTTCAATAATGAAAAAAATTTAAGAAAATTTATTGCAAAATAAGAAAAAAAAATAGAAATAATCTCATATCTATATTTACCTCAGCTGATTAATTTGTTTAGAATCAGTAGGTAGGTACACATGTATGTATGTATAACATGTAAGAAAGCTATAAAATCAGTTTTGACTTTTATGGATCTGTTTTATGGAAAGATAAAATTTTTCTATTAATAGATTGCAATAATAATGATTATTAAATGTTACGTGTTAAAGAATAAATAAATTTTACGAATATTTTATTAAACAACCTGTCCTTATTATGTACTGTAAGATTTAATTAAGTAGTATTATAGTGTATAGAGAGATTTAGTTTTGAATTTGTGCGTACATTAAACGATAACGATTTAAAAAAATAAAATTTCTGAAAGAAATGATTTTAAAAAATTTTGTTGAAGAATTTTATTTGGAAAATTTCTTTAAAAGCAAAACTCTGCAAATTTTTGGTTTACAAATAACCAAAGAAAAAAAAAAATGGTGAAAAATAATTATGAGGTAAATTTAAAGTAAATATTGTTTGCAGGACTTCAAAAAAGATAGAAGCTAGAGCATTGCAAAATTATAAAAGGATAAGCACATTCTAATATAAATTTTAGTATTGAAGGATCATAAAAATATTGAAATTTATTTTCCATCATTATTAGAGTTGATTTAAAAATTTACAGCTTAAAGTCGAAATGTTCCTTAATTTGCTTTTGCTTCATTTTGTTTAGGCGAACAATTAAAACAACTTGCCCAGATGGTTATAAACATTAATTGAAATTTCATTTTATAAGATACGAAAGCTGTTAATTATAAGCAGTAAAAATCATGTCTCCGAGTTTTAGTTATTTTAAAAAAATTTTAAATAAAATTATTGCGGTGTCATATAATTGATTCGCACTAATAGTCTGTTGATTAGTTAAAGTAAGGAGTAAACTCTGTATGAGCTAGCAAATACCGCAAGTCATCTTGAGAATTTTTAGCAATAAATAACAAAATAACATTTGTTTTGAATTAATTTAAAATTTTTTGTAATAATATAATATATAAGGATATAAGTACATATTTGCATACATAATAAGGTCTGTGTAAGAGGCAAATTCTTGGGGAAAAATAAAACGATGTAAATTTTCTTATTTTTGAGTAGTAAGTACACATGCGAATGTGAATTTTTACTTGTTGAAATAGTTGTTCAAATTTTCCTATTTTTTTAAGTCGAACTCTATTTTTTAAACATTTTTGTGTTTTCTACTTTCAATGTCCATTTTTTATCAATACAAGTTTTTCTCCAAAAAATACAATTAACTAAAATATTTTTTTTTCTTCGTAACTGACCTCATGATTTTATATTTCGAACTTTTAAAATTGGTTCCATTCATTTTCTATTTCGTTATAGCAAATACATTCAAGTAGTTTCATTTTATAAATATGTATTCAATTCTGTGAAAATCTTAATCTGATTTTTAAATAATAGAATATTTTAAAATTACTATAATATTTTTTTAATTTGTAAATATATGTATGTACTTTTTATATTTTCTGCAAACACTATATTATGTGATTTACCTTTCTATTTAATTACCAAAAATGTATGTTTTATTATTGCCAAATTTTTATTACTTGTCGCTAAGGTTGTTATTTTATTTATAATATTTGCATACGTTTGTCTCATTAATTTTATTGCTATGAATTTTATTACTAATTATTTAAAGATTTTGGGAAATTAATGAGTTTTTTTTTGAACAATTTTTTAACAATGAATTGAATGTCGTACTTATATACATAATATAAAAATTTTTAAATTTATCTTTCAGAACAATTGGTTGACGGTACCTAAAGATTGATTTTTTTTATTTGTGTACGAACATTGTAATTTTATAAAAAAAGATAATTATTTAAAATAAATAAATATTTACCGAAAGCCTTGACAATGAATTTTTTTATAGCAAGTCTTTACTCTTATGTGTATAAAATATTTATTATTGAACGCGAATTATTTCAGCAAAAAAATAATTATAAAAAATTTAACCCTCTCAAAAGAAGATCAGTTTCCTTTACGATTTAATAATGTGATCAGTATATATAAGTACTGCGTATATATATATTTAGAAGTCAGTATTGAGAATATCAAAAATGCATTTAATATTAAAATAAATCTTTCTATGTCTTGTGATGATAAAATATAAATACAGTTTCGAGGACAACGACGACAGTGTACTAAATACTCGTCCTATTGATATGTAATTTTTCTCGAACAATTCGTACCTTAACTAATACTTCACTTACATACAAGATGCTATAATAATTTTATCTAACGCACTATGAATAATGAAAATAATGTTATGGTTAATCTTATGTTATGACAGTAAAATTTACAAAATATGATTTTTTCATACATAGTTTTATTTGAAATATACAAACTTCCATGTTACAATATTCAAATATTTTTTTTTTGTTTGAATTAAAAGTTTCAGCAAAAACGCTTTTTTTACTACAATATTTTTTTTCTTGATAATATAATTTTTTGTTTCTAAAAAATTGTTGCATGATATGTTTTAAAATTGATATGTATGTATTTTTTTTCAATTCGATTTTGATTGATATTACATAATAAATACTTGATTTTGTTTTTCTTTTTTATCATTATTATAAATCTAATTCATGTGGAGAAAATTTTCCCAATCACAAAATACTAAAAAATTACAATTGATACTAAATAGTTTGTATCTTAATAGTTAACACATTAATTAAAACTTAATTTAGTAACATTAAATAAATTTAAGAAACAACATAAGTATAAACATAAAGTTCACATCTTATAATATACCTTTGAATGTACGTTTGTTAAATGTATAAATGCATGTACATCTTTAAAAATTAAAATATCTTAACAAAAATTCTAATACATACAAGTTAAAAGGACTGGAATGATGGTACATATGCATCTAGATTTTATAAGTTTTCTAAATTGAGTATGTTGATATCAAAAATTTTTAAATATAATGGTTCTGTTTAAATACTTTTGTGTGAATTTTGAAATTTTCATTATAGATTTTATAAACAGCATTAGCGTTTCAGACTGCAGTTAAATCTACAACAAAAATTTCAGTTTATACATTATTAAATACAAATTTTAATTGACATAAAATAATTTCTACTAAAATGGTGAGATGTACAACAAATATTACATTAATTTCATAAAATAATCAACTAAAAGTATTTAATAACTAGTAAAGAAAAAATTTTTTCTTAAAATATTCTAATGTTATCAAATCCTCACTCTTTATTATTAGCTTTTATTTTAAATTAAAAAAAAAGATTATTTCATAAAATATTTGAAGCTGTTCCTTAAGTTCTAAAATGAGTTGCTTTGCAATGGTTATTTCTAATATACTCGTAATTATTAAAAAAACTATGTAACTTTATTCTAATGCGAGCAAATGAAAATTTTCTAAAATATTCCGGTTTTATTTTCGATTTTAATATAAAAGGGCAAACCAGCTTTAAATTTAAAATGCTGTTTTATACATAGGTATGTAAAAATAAGAAATAAAGAATTATTTTAACTGCAGCATATAAAAACATAGAAGAGTTTTAATTTTGGCGTAATATAATTTAAAGGCTAACATTCGAGTATTTTCAACAAAATTATCACCAATATTATCAATTGCAGAGATTGTGAAACCGGCACAATACCTCATATTTCATTCTAAGAGTAAAAAAAACTACATAATATTTCCAAAATTTTTAAAAAAATCTGACTTCAAACATTTTTTTTTTTAAATACAAAACTAAAATTAATAAAAATTTCTTTTGCACAATAAACAAGCTTCTACCCCGCAGGAACATTAAGCTTATTTTTTGCTATTATTTTTGGTATCAGGTATAATACTTAATATTAATTTAGATTGTCCTTAAATTCTAAACTTTACTTATAATTTTCTACAAAAATGTACTATTTTTCAAGCTATTTTTTCGTATTTTTTTGAAAAAGTACACAACATTTAAATATTTTTTTTATTTAAATTTCTTATATAAAAAAAGCGAGAAAATTTGAAAAAAATTTATAAAAATTTTTAAATTCTTCCATAAAAATTTAAAATATTTCTAAAAACTAAATAAGCTGGGTATAGAAAAATTGGTTGCTTATAAAAAATATAAATTTGCGTAATTTGCATATTTCCTTTACTGAAAGCTGCACGTCCTAAATTTTTACCGAAACAATCCATTCTTTCTTCTGGCATCATTTGTACATAATATTCGCGGCCTTCATTAACCATCGTACACATTGGTTTCTTTTTTTGTTGCATCTCGTCATCACGATCTTTAAGATCTTCTAATAATTGTCTGAACCAAGTTAAATCACAAGAGCATATTAGGGGATTATCTAAAAAGTTCAAAATAAAGACAATTGTTTATTATAACATATTATAATATAAATAAATACATATGTATGCGTTATAAACACAAAAGGTTATCACATTGTAATAAAGGTTACAATATTTAATTTATAAGCTAATATAAATGTTGTACCAGTATGTTTTGTAAATTTAAATATACAATTTTAACTTACCAGTAATATCAACTATTTTTAACGTATCTAACAAGGGTTCCACAATATCTTCAGGAATTCGATCCAATTTGTTATTTTGAAGGTTCAGAGATTCCAAAGAATTCAAATTTTCAAAAATCAAACCAGGCAACACTTTTATTCTAAGAATTAAAAAGTTAAATTTTAGAAAGAAAAAATTATATAAATTTGCATAGAAACATTACTCATTTTTTTGTAAATTTAAAAATGTCAAAGAATCTCCATAACCACTAAATGCATCCTCACTTATTGAAGTAATATTATTAGCACGAAGATCAAGATGACGAAGGCGATGTAACGGTCTAAGAGCTTCACTTGGGATTGCATGAATATTATTATCACCCAGACGAAGGTATTGCAAATTTTCTAAGGACAGCAAAATTTAAAATAAAAAATTTAAAAAAAAAAAATTTGTAATTTTTTCAATTTGTAGTACCTTCCAAACCAAAAAATGCTTCTGGATCAATATATACAATTTGATTTCCTTCTAATTCTAAAGAATTCAATTGACTCAAGTGATTAAACACTTTTGATGGAATCCTAGATAAACGATTATGTGCCAATATCAATGAATCCAAATGCTTTAAACCTAAAAATAAAATTTAATATAATCAATTAAGTTAAAAAAATTTTATTCATCAGTAAAACAAATTGTGTACCCTCAAAATCTCCAGATGAAATTTCTGTAATTTTATTTTCCTGTATTTCCAGCTTTTTTAATGTTTCTAAAATACATAAAGCATTTCTGGGAATTGATGTTAAATCATTTCCGCCGATATTCAGTCTCTTCAGCTTTCTGAATTCAATATTATGAAATTTAATTAGCATTTTTGTTTCATTATTTAAAATATTTATTTTATTACTTCTCTAATCCTCGAAATGCTTCATCCTCTATCAAATTGATTTTGTTTTCATATAGAGTTAAAATTTCTAATGATTCAAGTCCTTCAAAAGCTTTTTTATGAATTTGACCTATTTTATTATGATTTAAATTTAATATTAACAACTGGTATAAGTGTTTAATGGCAATTGTTGGAACTTTACTCAGTTGATTTTGAGAAATGTCAAGCTGTGTAAGCCCTTTTCCTAAAATTTTAATGAAATTATAAATAATCAAAAATATTGTAATATTTATTCAGCAATATAATTTTTCAAAATATACCTAATGAACTTAGAGCTGTTTCTTCTATTGCTGCTAAACTGCTGTTATGAATAGTTAAATGTCTTATATCGAGTGCTAAAAACACGAAACCTTGTAATTTTGGGAGATTATTATGACGAAGTTTTAAATAAAATATTATTGGGCTTCGGCCTTTCAAAACACTCATAGCACTACTAATATGTTGCAAATCTGTAGCTTCGCATAGTATATCTAATCCATTTTTTTTTACAGTGCACACACATGGTGCTATTTCATTACCTTGCGGACAAACTTGCTGTTGTGTTTGCTGTGTTAATACAAATATGTTTATTACACTACTAAAAACAATTATCGTTCTCCAGATAAAAGAGTACATCTTCAAAACTTCCATCGCATTCGAATTTGCACACTACACAACTTGCCTTAAATTTTCTGTATTAAATTTTCGCCAATAATTGCTTAGCTAATTTTTTGTTAGTTTAACTTTAATCCATCATTGTTGTATTATTATGAACCTAGACGTGAAAGAAAATTTATTATGTACATACATATGTATACGAATTTTTCATTTTAAAATAAAATAATGTATGTAAATGATATTTAAAATTAAATATTAAAAAAATGGTTTAAATAATCGAAGTAATTTTATATTAATTCAACAATTTGAATTATTATTGACATATGTATATATTTTGCTATTTGAAAAAATTTTAAATCTGTAAATATAAATCTTTTCTTTTTTAGAAGAATCAAAACGTAGCCAATAAGGTGTGAATGGGCCAACAGCGTATAAGCGATGGTTAAAATTGTTTATTGAAGATTATTTAAGAATAACAAGGGAGTAAAAAATTGCCATAAAGAGAACAGCAAATGTGAAACTCTTTCAAGAATTATCTGTCAAGGATTACCATCACTTTTACGTTAAGAATTGATTAAGCTTCCAAGTGAAAACAAACATTAATAACATATTATTTAATACCTTGAATAATCTTGCACTATTTGATTTAAAAGGGTATTATATAATATTTTTTAATATTAACTTTATTTATTTAAATAGTTATGGTAACTGAACAGGGTATGAATATGAACTGAATATGATCTGTAGGCAAAAAATTTATCCACTTAAGGTGTTTCGATTTTTCCAAACTTAATTTTCTAATTCGTTAAAAATTTTAAGCAAATCCCGAATCTGAGGAATACTAATGTTGATAAAAGGATTTATGCAAGCGTTTTTGAATAAATTTCTACTGTAATTGAATAAATTTTTTCGTTTGATCACAATTATTTTGTATTCTAAATCAATATATATGCATTTAGCTGCAAATTAGTTCCCTGAATTCAACTCTAAAAAAGCTTTAATTTAGCTTGTGTAATGTACTTGTTCAATTGAACTTTAACACTCTATTATTGCTATTTTAAAGCCACCGTATTGATATCAAAAGATTCATTTGGAAAGAAAAGAACTTACGGCCTCGCCTTATTTTAAGTGCAGGGCTAATAACAATACATATAATATTTGATTTACAAATTCTTTGGTAACACCATATTGTATATGTAGTTTATAGTGGTATACGGAAGACAGTTTTTGTAATTACACAAAAGAACTTGTTTTTGAGTGACGTTGAAATTTTAATTAAATTAAAAAAACTTAATTCTCACTAGCGGCCCTCAAAAAAGTAATTTGTTATGTAATTACAAAAATTATCTTCTGCATAGCACTGTAAACTATATACACAATGGTACAACTGAGTAACCAAAAACGAAACATACATCGTACTTCATACATATATATATTCTATAAGATGTTTAGAAATTAAATTATGACTTAATTTTCTACTTATCTTTTAATTATTTTAAATGAAAGTTTTTTTTAATTACAAATTTTTTTAAGAGTTTACAATTCAGAACATTATTTTTTTTTCTTTTACTACAACAACACTTCAATCAGAACAATTAAACAACAAATTTATTATAATTAAAAATTTCATATTTAATTTTCTAAATAAATGAAAACTTTAAATTTATTAGATTTATTTATTATTTTATGAATAAATAAATGAAATCACCGAAATTTAAAATAAAATATTTTCTCCATACATATTTATTAATGTATGTATGTGTAGCTTAATAAAATATTTTGCATTGAATAAACGAGTCACAAAAATTTACAAATCATTTCAATTGAAGAGTAAAGCAAAGCGATTATGGAAATACGCATATGAATTTGATAAATTTAATAAAATAAATTTAATTCTATATTATTTAAATGCATATGTGTGTGTATTAATTTTTAATACATTGGTTTTGCACAGTTCATTCGCGATAACACGAAATATTTTAAATATTGTGCATAAGTGGATAAATTCAAACATGCACCAAAACTAATATGGTAAGCAATTCAACTTAAATGACTACTTAATATGAATTTGCCCATTGTGTTATCACAAGATGCAATTATTTTGTTTGTTTTAATGAATACGGTTGAAGCAATCCGACAGTTCTTATTAGAAAATACTTTGGATATAAAATTTGAAATATGTAAATCGTTGCATTTGATGTGAATTGCATATTTTATTTTAAAATATGCATTTCACATCAAATACAAAGTTCTATTTATTATGTCCTCACTATATATTTTTTCCCCAAAACTTTTATTACATTCCTCTTATGATTATAATCAATATTCACTATTATGTATTCTTAAATAAAACTGGGAAAAAAATGTGCAATAAAAATCAGGCAAATTCTGGGGTTTTGGAATACTTTTTAATACGTCAAAGAAAAGAAAAATAACAATTAAAATGAATTAAATCGCAAAAAAATAACTTCTATTTCTTCATTTAATATAATTTTCAAAAATTTCTCCCATTTTTGTGAGTGTCGAATACGGCTTTTATCGCGATGTTAAGTTCTTCACAAGAGAACCGAAACTTTATATGATTCCATTAACCGTTTTTTAAATTTCACTCGGATTTTTAATAATACAATTATAAGTGAGTCTTGAATCTGCAAAGCGTTTCACATTGAATTGTAAAATTTGACAGAAAAATATGTGTATATGCCTGGCTACCTGTTGAAAATACAAATGTGATTTCTGTTTGATTAAAATCTATATACATACATACTTTACGCATTCTAAAAATGCATAAGGGCGAAATTAATTCCCAAACGGGTAGACAATTATTTTTATCTGTGTAAATTGCACATATTTTAGGTAAAATATTATTATAACTGTGCGTTCATAACCCATGAAAAATCGTGCTAACTTTAGAATTAATACTGTTTCAGTTGTAACTATGTGTAGACATGTTTGGGTTTATAAATTTATAAATTACTAAGTACCTACATATGTATATACGTAAAAAACTCCAACTGACTTATAAGTAGGTATGTAAGTATATTGCATTTGTGAAACTATTTAAGCGTTTAGCAAATAAATTAAATTGATTTTCTCAGTATTTCAAAGAATGTATGTACATACATTATTATTTTGTGTATATATCATTGTACGTACATTAATGCATATTCATAAAGTAGCACTTATCGAATTACATTATTTTTGTATTCTATACGAAACATACTAGATCATATGTACCAGCTACATAATTTTAATGTTAATGCAAAAGATTGAAATCAAACCTGATTGAAATTGGCTTATTTTCGTGCTCAAAAGATTTTAGGAGTAGAGATGACCACGTTTGTAGTATTATAATATGTATTTATTAGATAATTATATTTAATCAAGCGAGAATGGGTAATAGTTTTAGACTTTTGACTGAATATTACACATACATATTGTTATGACATGCTAAAAATTTCATGTGCCGATTGAAATTGTTAAAAAATTAAATGAGATATTTACATATGTACATATATTACGTAGATTCAAATGTTAAAAAATGAATTTAGTTCAACACAGAATAAATTTAAGATATTTAAACATACAAGAACAATATCCCCAAGAGAAAATCCTGTTAATGGAAAAAATAATGAAGTTAACGTAAATATGACCATACCATAGATGACCAAAGGATTACATTTTTAACAATTGAAGAGGTAAGTGGACAAAGGGGTTAACTAGCGTTTTAACGAAAATTGAGCTGCTCGGTTAGAACATCATAAAATTTCATATATTTTCAACTGTGATTACTCTTATAGCTAGAAATTAAAGAGGAGTTAAGTAACAAAAAAATTAATATTTTTACAATTTGTTAATGAAGAAAAGTGCCAGGAAGCAAATGTAAGTTAGCTCCTTTGTCCACTTATCGATTCAATTGATTGATTACAAAATGTGGTTGTCACAATTGTAAGTTAATATTTATTTAATTTTTTAATATTTTACAATAAAAAAACTTCCTTTAATTTGATAAAACACTTTATTGGTACTTATACTCGTATGTAATTAAAGCCATATTTTGTACACTTTTTTCATACTCTATAAAAAGGCTTCCTGCAGAGTATGTTATTTATTTTTGGAATTCATTTTGTAGGTTTTTTCGATTACCTATATTTAATTATTTTTTATTTGAATTTAAGGTAAAAAAAGTGGAGAACATTTATGTATATACATAATATATTCAATAAAATTTTCCAGCTAATATTAAAATTCTTAGATAATTACATATTATTGTATGTAGTAAAAGAAGAACGTAGGTACCTGTTAGAAGTTTAATTTGAAGCAATTCCATACACATATATGCTGGTAGGAACATACATTTATTACATTACAGATGAATTTTTTCCTACTTTTTGGATGCGGCTTAATTCAGATATTGGCTCTTTTACTTTTGTATTAATAAATATATAATTCTAAAATAAAAATTTTATTTCAACATTTATACTATAAAAGATTTTTAATTTTTTAAAATATGCTTACTATTTCAAGTTTCCTTTTCAAGCCAAGTCTTACTATTTCACCTTAAATTTTTTCTTGTTGTACGTTTATTTACTTTTCGCCTTCATCAAATGTCATAGCAGAATACTGCATTTCCATACCAGTTGTCTATTCAATTCATATTACCCATGTATTGCTTTTATCTTTCCAGAACATGAAATACTTTTTAATATATCCCAATTTATTATTATTATATCTTGAACTTTCACTATAAATACATTCCAAAACTCATTCCACTGTATGGAACTACATGATTATCTTAATTCATTTAGTTTTTGGTATTGATAATTTATAAATACATGTATATCAATATAATACAGTTTTTTTAACCAGAATTTAGGCTTTCCGCACATTAAATAATACTAGCAAACCAAACTAAGTAAACAATCTAAAATTATTACTTACCTACCTTATCATTTTATCAATAAAACTATACACATACGAGACACAAACATGCATTGCATGTCAACCAATGCCAACCAAAATATTGGATGGTGTCATGGTGATACTATACAAAAAAAAAGCGGCTGAAATAAAAATAACGTAAAATTTACGAGTTAGACTGCGATACATATTTTTTCAAATCTACTAAACGATTATTGATGAAAAATAAATTCGATAAATTCAATTGATTATGATAAGATTTATGCAATTTCAATGAAATTAAAATTTCATAAATTGCATAAATCTTATAAACAACCGTATTAACACTTGAGGAAAAAAGGAATATTGTACCGAAATAGAAAAGATTTTACGAACACACACAAAATTACATACTATAGTACTAAAGGTGAATTCACTGTTTGGTCATATTAAAGCCGAACTCAAAATTTTATTAAGAGTTCTGCGAACTAGCAGCTGCAAAAAATGTTGGTAATAAGGCTTCATTACAAAAATTTTGCGCTCATTGTGTTGGTAGGTACAAAAGCGATTTAGCAAAATCCAAATTGTTTGTTTTAGCTAGCTTAACTCATACCCAAGCCAGTCGTTTTCTTTCATTTTTGATAATAATTATGCCTGGTTAAACGACGACTTTTGCATAAATAATAAGTATACGTTTTATTCCGCTTGACCAAAAAAACTTGTCCCGGAAGAGAATGTCAACCATTCATGCAAAAATCGTCGTGTGAACACAAGTTTTCTTGATTAAGTTTTTATACGTTATACTGTCGCAGTAAATAACAAAGCATTTTAATATTGTTGACAACACTTGTGTACCCGTAACTGTTAATTATTATTACACATTTTCTTTATTGTAATTATTTTTTATAGCATTTTAAATTCGGCACTGACTTTACTGTAAAATCAGCTCTTATTTTAGACAGTTTAATATAATTATTAAATACAATAATGTTTTCACGATAGCTTTACGTCGTTTCACACCTTTTTAGTTTTTTTTTTTCGATTAATTCAGAGAGAAAAAATTCAAAGAGGGATGTTTCAGCACGTTGAATAGTATAAACGAAATGAGCAACAAATAAGCATAATTAAGTACATACATACATAATATATGTATGTATGTATATGTATAAAACGATTCATAATCATGACCAAATTTTGTATGATATTGTATGACATTCTTTATAAAAAAATAATGGAAAATATTAAAATTTGAACATTTTGTAAATCTTTAACAAATTGTTATTTATAAATATTTTATAATCTCACATCATTGCATTTTTTATTTTAAAATAAAATAAACGGTGGAAGTTTTAGACACTGCAAATTCTTTCTCTCATTTTATTGATTTAACTTTTTTTTCAATTTAAAATATACTAAAGACACTTTTTTTCTTTTGTATTGAATTTGACTTATTTCATTTAACAAACATTTCTGCAAATCTTTAAGTTAAGTCTACTAAGCTTCCATAATTTTTTATGTTGCAATTTAGACAAATAAAAAAAACTTAACTATTATTTATAACCAACTAGTTCCGTAAATTGCCAAAATCAAAAAAAAAATTATTTATCTGACGCATGCTTAGAAATCGAAAAGTAATCAAAGGTGTCCTTTACATATTTATCATAAAGAGAAAACTTAGGGCTCCAAAAAAAAATGTTCACGTCATTGCCAAAAATGAATATTTTTTTGTAGAAAACCCATCAAAAATATATGTACCGACATAGATCATTACGCAAAAAGTAGCAATCGATTGCGACAACTTGAATAGTGAATACATACACCAAATGTACAAAACTTGTTGAGTGGAAATGAAAATTAACCAAAAAAATTACTTTGATTTGTTCAAAATACATAATATTATTTATAAAAAATAAAAAAATCAATCCATCATATGTCAGAAAAGTGCTTAAAATGGCAAAAGAATTTAGCAACTTTTATATTTACAAAAAACCGTAATTTGATAGCGTAAGGAATAATACGCTTGGATTTTCACTTTTAAAAAACTAATCTAACTAATAATATAATAACCAAACTAACTAATAACATAATGCAAAAATTTACATTCTAGCACAAGTTTTAAAGTCGATCAATACAACAAAAATTGAACGACGCATATCTACATAATAACATCACATTTGTGCACAAATTCCACAACCCTTCAAAGCAATTTTTTTTGCATTCAATATTCTTTCATGAGAAATAGCGTAACTACATATTTACCTTCAGTGCCACATGGCTCTTTATATAAACATTATTATAATATGGCTCATTGAATAGACAAACATACTTATTTTTATACTCCGAGAATAGTGAGAAAATAATGATGCAAATACAATTCTCAATTTACATTTGTTGTGTTCACGGGCATGATACTCAATAAAATATCTTCTTTAACATTTTCACAATTTTTTTTAAAAAGTTTGCATATTTCTAGTTTACGTTTTTTGATATAAATAATGTAGCACAATGGCAACGCCTGACATTTTCTGGTTGGCAGTACTGGTTTTCAGTTTTGAAATACTGTTGGTGATATTTCATAAGAAAAAAAATGAAGTCACTAAGTGTCAAACGCAAAACCTAATAAGTACTAACTATTGCAATTGTATATGATATACGCGCTACTCCCGCCATTGGAGTGCATTTTTTTATTCAAAATTTTATAGAAAAATCGGGAAATATCTATCTGATAAAGTATAATCGCGCCGTCATTTGTGAATCAGAACGCTAAACAATTGTGATAAATTTGTATTCTCGCAATATTTAATTTTTAAAATATTGGTTGAAGTAATAAAATTTTAAGAGGAATAAAAAAATGGCACAAGAAGCAGATATTCCAACATTCAAGTGTGTTTTAGTCGGTGATGGAGGTACTGGTAAAACAACGTTTGTTAAAAGACATATGACCGGTGAATTTGAAAAGAAGTATGTAGCTACTTTGGGCGTTGAAGTACATCCTTTAGTTTTCCATACTAACAGAGGAGCGATCAGATTTAATGTTTGGGATACTGCTGGTCAAGAGAAATTCGGTGGACTGCGTGATGGTTATTACATTCAAGGACAATGCGCAATTATAATGTTTGATGTTACATCAAGGGTAACATACAAAAACGTACCGAATTGGCACAGAGATTTAGTGCGTGTTTGCGAGAGTATTCCAATTGTTTTATGCGGCAACAAAGTTGATATTAAAGATAGAAAAGTTAAAGCTAAAAGTATTGTATTTCACAGAAAAAAGAATTTGCAAGTATGTAGTTTTAAATTTTGTGTTATTTACTTGTTTTAATATGATTCATGTTTTAGTATTACGATATATCAGCAAAATCAAATTACAATTTCGAAAAACCATTTTTATGGTTGGCAAGAAAATTAGTTGGAGATCCTAATTTAGAGTTTGTGGCAATGCCAGCCCTCCTGCCACCAGAAGTCAAAATGGATAAAGAATGGCAAATTCAAATTGAAAAAGATTTGCAGGAAGCCCAAGAAACCGCTTTGCCCGAGGAAGATGAAGATTTGTAAACTTTTTGAGTATATAAGTGTGTTTGTACTTTTAAATAATAAAAGTGTCTCCACAAATATTGCTCTAAAAACAAGTTTATGTGAAGTTAATTTTAAGTTAATTTAATCTGTAGGATATGTTAGAATTAACCATTGTTTGGCAAAATTAATCATTTTGGTAATTAAAATGTTGAAACAATTCTACATCTGATAAAAAAAATTAAGAATTGTGTTTTCAAATTAGAAAAAAGCAAACTCAAGAATAATTAAGGGAAAAAGGATAAAAAGCTTTAAAACAGAAGTGATCGCCATATTTATTACATAGATACCTAGTTTTTTAATTTTTGTGAACAGCTGTTCGATTCTTGTAAGCAGCTAGTGTTGTGGAAATAAAAAGCGGGTATTGAAAAAATTTCAAAATTACAAATTCAACTTACTTAATCCAATTTCACTATAATGAAAAATAACAAAAATCGGGAAATTGTTTTCTTTTTTGGTTTGGAAAAAAACTATCTTATAAATATGAAAACATTTTTATTTAACTTAATTTTGTTATTCTTTTTAAAATACATATTTTAAGAAAATTATAATAAATTCACTTCACATACAAGAATTTTTTAATCTAAGAATTAAAAAAACAAAAATACATTTTTTTTAATATTTTGGTTGAAATAAAATTATTTCATAATGATTAATACTTAGAAAATAAAAGCTAACCTTATCTTTCCCTGTACCATCTTCCGCGAGGTTTTCGCAACACTCTCGAAGACGGAGGCGAAATACTATTTGAATTAACTTTTGCGGTAGTAGCTATTGTCGGTGATTTTATATGTGTTCGTGATTTGGTCTCATTAATTGGTAAAACTGAACTAGGAACACTCGCTGCTGTTAATAATGCAGATTGCTCGTTAGAATTATAACAAAGGAAAGTTTCTTGTACATCGGATTTGCTTCTAGGCGTTTCTTTACGATCACTTTTCTCCAATTTATTACTGCAATTTTCATTCACTAAGTCGCTTGTCACAGAAGGTATATTATTAAATGTAGTATTACTATCTAAAGCATCATTAAAGTCTTGGTTTATGGTTTCTTCATTAGCAGGTATATTACTAATAATAGACCAAGGACTAGATTTTTTAACCAAAACTCCTTTGTGATGATGAAAACCAGTTAAACAACCTTTTTGTCGTCTAGTCAAAAGTTTTTTCTTACATGGCCAACCAGTTTTATTGATAGGACGCTTCTTCTGGTTTAAACCAATTCTGAGGCCATCACTTAATAACAGTGGGCGATTATAAGAAAGTTCTTCTTTCATTGAACGATCTAAAATGTCATTGAAATTGACATCACTCAAAAATTTTTCTTTTTCTCCACCATCAGAATCGCTCTCATTGTGTTCAATACTATTGCTAAACCTATACGATAATGGATTATTAAAATCTAAACAGTCTGAATATGATTTCTTGAGAAAGTAATCAATTTCCTTTTCAAGAGCTGTAGAGCTCATTTTTTGTATTCTTTCGTTATAAAAGGATTTAGATTTACGTTTTAGATATTTGTTTAATTTGTTATCGGTTTCTTTTCGACTTTGAATTTCCTTACATTCGAGTTTACTATCATTTTCATTTTCAATCAATGAAGTTGAATTTGCTCTTATATTCAATAGAGGTTCTGGTGTTGGTTCTTTGCTATCATTGTTTACAGAATTTTGGCAACTACTACTTTTCTTAACGAGACAGCTTAGCATAGCTAGCGTTGAAGCGTGTTCCCTTGGAGATTTTCTAGGCATATCTAAGTTCATTAAATAAAATTTTTTAAAAGGTTTAGTTATTGTTGCTTGTTGCAAAGTAATTTCTTGTGACTGTTGCTGTAAGTCGAGATGTGGTTCTAAATTATTTTGTATGTTGTTATTTGTATGATATTTACAACTAGCACTATTTTTCTGATTGTTAGCGTATTTTTCTTTGACATTTGCATTTTCGTTTTCCAGCTTTATTCGAATTCCACCTTGATTTTCGTCAAATTTTTCCGAAATATTTGTTTCAACTTTATTTTTGCAAAGCATACAGAAGTTTTTGTACAATTTTCCTTGTGTCAAAGGAATGTGCCCCATTTCATATGGCAATTTCCTGTAGCCTGAAATATTTGAAAAAATAATTCTAATGAAAAAGGTAAATTTCGAATTATGAAAAAAGAAAAGTATGTTTTGAAGTTGTTTTTAAAATAAAATTAAAATAATTCAATATTCTAAATACTCCTCTCTATGTTGGATTCACAAATACATTATATAAAAATTTAATAATCTGGTTAAAAATTTGTGTTCCTCAAAATTAATGAAAATCAAAATAAAATCATTACCTAAATGTAAACGAGTTTGAAATAAATTTACTCACCTGTACCTCCGAAGAATTCAAAAATATGCTCTTTGCCAGTGTCTTGTCTACGAAAAACATTGTACCAAGGTTCAGTGCTAGGAATAGTTTCAAATGAATAGTTCAGATTTTTAAAATTATGTAAATAATCATCAGTTTTATTTCCACCTTTCAGTTTATTTTCTGTTATTTGCGATCCTCGTTTTTTTGTTTCAGAATTGTTCTTTATTTTTTCTTCACTTTTTTCTTCTGGGGCATGTGTACTAGAATACTTTCTTTTATTAGGTTTTTGTTCATTATTTTCTTTTTTATCAATCTCTGATTTCGTCTTCGGAAACATAAAATTTTCCGCTTCCCCATTTAATATGGATAGTTCAGATTGTCTAATTTTTCTAAATTTAACTATAATTGCCGGTTTGGTAATATCCTTGTCATTTATTTTATTATTGAAGTTTTCCTCAGGGTCACATTGAGATTTAATAACCTTATAATACAATGATGAATTGTCTTTTGTATAACTCTCTGAATCTTTATCAGACTTTCGAACTTCGCTTACATAATTTAAATTACTTTTTAAATTTACATGTACATTTGATGATATTTTATTACTTTTTGTAACTTCGTTTTTTCTTCTTTTACAACCGTTTGTGTTATGTTCTATATTAACTCCTTGGCGTGTAACCCTATTTATTTTACTTTGAACGCAGAGTGCCTGCAAAACATTAAACTGCTAAATAATTTATGTTAATATTAGAATATATTTAATTTTAAGTGGAGGTAACACAAAAACAGTTCGTAATCAATCTTTAAACCTGAAAGCAAACATTTTTCTTGCATTTATATACCAATATAATTTTTACATACCTTTTCGTTTTCTGTAACTGATCTCGAAAAATAATCGTGGTACTGTAATTTTGTCATACTTTTATTAGTTTCTTTTTTTTTATTTTTTATTTTAGAAAGGTTTTCTTCAAAGAAACATTTATGTTGAACCTTTTCATAAATGAGATTATCTAAATCTTCATAATTTTTCTGATCGCGTGCAAAGATAAAATGTTGTTTTGTTTCTAAGTGAACACTTAATTTATCATATTCGCATTTACAAAGTTCACAATATCCAAATCTATCAACTATATTATCCGTTTCATTAAAACAAACATTTACTTTATTGTGATTAACTACGTCTTGATTTGAGGTTTTAGTATTATTTAAATCACAATTGAATAAATTTATAAAGGGCCATTTGCTTTTTAATATTTGATAATATGGCCTATATTTATTTGAAATGTCTTCAATTTTTATAAATGGTTCAGTTAAATGTACGCTATTAACGACACCTTTTTTTTTATTATTTTTATATAACCTTAATTTTTTAATTGTTTTGTTTAAAAATATATTTGCGTAATTATAGTCCCATATACGTATATTTTTAAGTAATGCAACATCTAATAATCTTGACTGTGATAGGTTCGTTTCAAGACGTGCTCTATGGATCATTTCATCAACACGACTTCTTGTTCTTGAAGAATTTATCTGAAAAATATTTACGAAATTTAAAAAATGTAATTTGCTTTTTCATTAGATAATTTTACTTTATGTGCATTAAGATCTGTTGGTGTTGATTTATTATCTGTTGGTGTATCTTTTCCATTTAAAATTTTAGGATCTTTTGATTTATCAGTAATAAAATGTGTTACATCGTCGGTTAAGAACAGATTTATTGTCTGAACATAAAAAAAAAAAATCTTTTAATATACATACACTACATACATATATTTTGAACACTATTGTAATATTGATGTATTATCTGAACAGATGCTCAATATATACATAGGTACATATGTGAATATTAAAATATCTTACCCCTCCAACCGTTTTAATTTTATCTTCAAGCTTAGCATATTCACATTTTTTTTCAACGTCAATAAAAAATATTAAATTTGTAATTGAAGAAAGTGCTTTTGTTTGCTGTGTTGAATCTAAAATGAAAATGTTCTTAGTATAGATATATTCAGTGATATGTAAGTATACACTTATTTAAACAAATTTTTATTTTAAAATAAGAATCTTCGCTTTATTACATGATAAACAGCTTGAAATGCATTTTTAGTGCTGTCAAAATCAATTTTTTAATTTTTTTTAGTAAACAAATTATTGTAAGTTACTCAATTGTTGAAAAATTCCAATATGTACATGTATCACCCGAAGAGTATGTACATTTTAAAAAATATATCTTTTGATTTAATAATTTAGATTTGATTCTATATTTAGCGAAGCAGAAGATTTTTGTGCTTTTTATAAATATAATTCATACGCTATAATTTACTGATGTGCCTATAATCTCCATTTTGTATTATACTACCTGTATACATTTTATAAAAAAAAAACTTTATGCAAGCATCTACATACTTTGTGTAAACAACCTAGACTTTCTATTCAAAATGTCGCTACTATTATTTTTATATTAGCCCATTAAATATTTAAAATATTTAAAAGGAAAGAACAAGTAATTCTTAAGTAACACTGGGTTTGGCTTATTTATATCAATTATTGTTGAAACTTACCAATTTTGGTATTTATATTTCGGTCATTAGCAGATTTACTATTCTTTGTGTATGATTGCATTCCTAATATTTTGCATAAAATAAGTAAAACCTAAAAAAAAAATCTATAAAAATGTATTGAAACATAATGTAAAATATATTTTTACCCTTCATTTTACCCTACTCAAAATTTATTAAACAAATTTTGTTTTTTAAACTAACTTTTGATAATTTAATTTCTGAAAACTGATTTATATGCATCAATCTTTTTCATTTTAATGTCATTTAATTCAGTTCAATGCTCAGGTCTACTTTGTGTCAAAATGCAAACACGAAGTAAAAATTTGGTTGGTAGTACTGTGATTTCTAAAATTCATTTGATCCCATTGATTTTATAATTTCTATGTTGATTTTCTAGCACGACTGAACACTTAAAAGAACATTAATTTTTTATAATAAGCACTGGATAAATTAATACAAGAACTGATAGCAATTGAAAATCTTTATTGATTTTATTGAATTTGAATTGTTTTTGTAAGAACAAAAGAAATTCTAAACTCTTTTACATACTCCAAAACTCAAGTTACAGATTATCAATAATTATTAAAAGTCAAAACAACCATTGCTTGTAAGAGGCGTTTTCTGATGTTTATAGCATTTATGTAGTGGAAATATATATATGTATGTATATAATGTGATCTAAACATAAAGCATGCAAACAAAATGCACATATAGAACATAGTATATATTTTTATCACAAAGTTGGTAATATTGCGGTCAATGTCAAAATTTTAGGGTGGATCATTTTATATTAATATCAATGATTCCAACCACAACACTCGACATGACAAGAAATCGCATCAGTAAACATTCGAATATTTACAAAGGCAAATTATTAGGTATTTTGTTATTTAGCTTCTCGAAATTTCGAACTACTGGATATGAAAAAGTAGACCTTTAACCATGCTTATTTTTTAAAATATCGTTAAATATCACCTATAGGGCAGCTAGAGAGCAGTTTCTTTTACAGAAATTTGATTTTTTTTTGTTTAATATGTCAAATTGGTTAATATGTGTAGCAAAAGTGAATAACAGTTTGTCAAAAACATTTCAATTTTATAATTTATATTATAACTTATAGCAGGGGTTGACAACCTATTTCGGACGAAGGAATATACTCAAAATAAAATTTTATACAGGTAGGTCTCTCACTGTGCTTCTGTTAGAGCGAATTTTTGTCGCTAACCACATTTCGAAACTTTCACGTTTCATAAGTTTATTGATTTTTTTTAAAAATATTTTTGTTGTATGCCGTGCCGCGCCAAAAGTTCTAAAGGACAACAGTTTGCCGACCCCTTACCTATAGAAATTAGGAAATGAAATTTTTTAACATGAACAATCTCCAATAAAATCTATTTTTCTAAAGTTTCGATTTCTTATTAAAAAAAATCCGTCCCAGATTTTTTATTCATATTAAAAAATGCTAATAGCTTTGAAGTCGCCTATGCAAAGTAACCATTAGATACTTGTTTTAAAAATAATTGACAGATCTTGATTTTTGCTTTTATAATCAATTATATCTGTCCTGTCCTCGTAAAAAATTACGCAAAGTGAGAAATTTCGATTTTTTTTAAAAACACGAAATTTCTTGGAAATTTTCGTTATTATTTTTTCTTTTTCACTGCGCTATAAAGAGAAGTAAATACTCGTATCTTACCCAGCATTTACACGTACAAGTTACTTGCAAGAAAGTTGCAATACAAACAAAAATTTTACTAACACATTGAAATATTTCTACTTGCTTGTTTACTTGCAGTTCAACTTGCAAGAAAATTTTGCTGCCAGTAATTTGAGCAAGTAATTTGACATATTGAGAAATTCACAAAAAAAAATTTGTTGTTTTGATTTTTTTTTTTTTTTTAATTTAAAATTTTTGAATTTTGTTTTGAAAAAATTAAACTTAGCAAACTTATGGTTTCTAAAATTTATAAACAATTATATATATTGCTAGTTGTTTTCTTCTCAAAGACATTTTCAAAAATTAACTTGCTAAACGCCTACGTCATAATAGCAAGTAATTTGACATTTGGAAAAACTAATTGACAATTAATATTATACAAACTTGCTTGCAAGTAACTTGTATGTGTAAATGCTGGGTTACATACAATATTTTCTTCAGTTTGTCATATTTATTGGAAATGTTTAGAGAACTGTATTCAAAAATTAAAAGTACATACGTATATTAGGTATTGTAAAATTTGGCATTCTGAAAATTCGATAGTATAAATTGAAATTGCTGATTGTTATTATCAGAAATAAGTTTTAAATTAAAATTACAACCGCCAAAAGTATTTTAACGTCATTTAAAATTTAAAAGGACTTTTAAAAAAATATTAACTCCTCTTATTTTTCGAATACCCTTTCAATACATAATAATAAAGAGCAACTTCGTCATTGTTAGTATAATCCACATTTTAGAGAGAGCCTATCATTCATTTTTTAATGTTACATGAAATGTCAAAAGTAGTTGCCATTTTGCGTTGCAATTTTTTACGGAAAACAAAATGAATCATTCTCTAAATTTTTCTTTGATGGAAAGTAATTTTTGCCTTTCACTCATTTTTCCTTTCATTAATTTTTTTTGGGAGAATGATGACAGAGGCCAATGAGAGATGACTCTTCTAGTTTTGAAATATAGGTACGGTATGAATGAAACTCGATATCAACTACAATATTATGTAGTTATTAATCAGAGGATCAGTCGTTAACGGTATTGAAGATTTTAATGCAACAAATTTTTCTAATGAATATTTTTATTGATTTTAAAAATAAAATAAAAAAAATATTTAATAAATAATTTTATTTTCTATTTGAATTAATTTATTTCTTAAACATTGCTTTTTTTTTTTGGTTTATAAAGTAAAATATTTTCCTTTTTTCATTGCTTATCAAATTTAGGTAGGTAAATTTATTTTTTTTTCTGAATATGTTCAGTGGTTCCAAACAATTCGATTGTATTTTTGTTTTTTTTTTGTTATCAAAAACGACTTCTTAAATCATAAAAATATAATTGAAAAAGAAAAAAAAAATAATCAGACATAAAAAAAAAATAAAAAAAAAAATGTATATGCAAGTTTTCTTTTTATTCGGATAAACCTAAAATAATTTAAAATTGAAACGTATATAACATTTAATTACATTTTTTAAAATTTTTATTAATTTGTTCTTTTAAAATATATATTTAATGAATTAAACTTAACAAAGAATTTTATTTATCGTTGATAAGAATCAATAGTAAAAACTAATACTCTTACAGCTTTCTGATGAGAAGTTACAAGGAAGCTTGGCGATTTTACTTCCACTTATCAACCACAACATCGGGTACTATAAAATATATTTATTATATATGATTTATTATGTATATATATACATTAATGTATATAAAATATACATATATATATGTATGTATATAATTTTAATTTAAAATTATGATTTTTTTTTGTTTGAAGTATTTTTATGGTTAAATTTCATTTAAAAAACAAAAAAAAATTTCATTTTCAAATGATAGTTAAGCTTTAAATTGATTTTATTTCAATTTTTTTCTTTTTTTTCAAAGGAATATAAAATAAAATGGGTAAAGCAATTAAAAAACTTTTAATTGTAAATCATATTGTGATCAAAGTAATAATTATAATAATAATAAAAATAATAATAATAATCGTCAATCAACAACAATTATTAATTATATTATTAATATTATTATTGTTTTTTTTTAATTTACAAATAAAAATAATATTAAATTATATATAAAAAAAAAAAAACGCTACATTATTAATTTAAAAAGGTGGTGTTTGGAAATTAAAATTATTAGGCTTAAAAAAAATTAATAAATAAATACGGGTTTTGTAAGTAATTGTAAAATATGTATGTATTTCGCCAATGAATTCATTCCAGCTATTATTTTTTAATAGGATGCCTTTTTTTATTTTTTAATTATGATCATTTTAATTATATCATTGTATAAATTCATGGAACTGGGGTCTTCTGCTGTTTAATATATGGATGTTGGTATGCATCTTAATGGAAATTGGGGTTTACTGTTGTATATAATAAAATAAAAATGATTAGTAAGAATTATAATAAAATTTTTATATTTATTTTTAAATTCTAAGATATGCAGGTACTTACTTTTTGTATAAATTTTTTTTTTTTTGAAAAACAAACATGCAAACATTGTTAAATTCAATTTTTGAAAACATCAATTAATATTTTTTATACTTAACTCAAACATTTAGTACATACATTAATATTTAAAAACGAATAACACATGTTATCGCAGCGTTAATATTATATGTTATGTAATTTATACAAGAGAATTAGTATATAATTGGTTGGGAAATATGTAATGTTGAAAAAGTCAGTTTTTTTATTTTACATAATTGAATATGGAATGTACAAGATTCTGATTAATTTTAAACTATTTTTATTTTGGATTCTTTAAATCGCATTTAGTGGATTCATTCAATAAAAAGACATTTAGTATCAACTTGTATTTATTATCAAATTCAAAGAATGTTTTTTATGTATTCCTCTCGATATTTCACTCTACTTTTAAAAATTTTAACATATTTATATTCAGCAAAAATGAAAAAAATCCAAATGAAAAAAAAAAAACAATTTTATTGAATTCGGATTTGAGAATGACTAAAAAATTTAACACAAAAAATGAGACATTGAAGAAGAAATAAAAATGCAACAAACTTAATTTTAGTCATTCGAGTTATTCATAAATTAATTACAATTAATTTAAATTAAATGAAGTTATGATTAATAATCTAGCTGAAGTTATGTTTAATATTCTAATAATAGATTATTTAAAGGCCGCCTTTATCAAGTTTTTCAAAATTGATTTAGAAAAGTTACAACTTTTTTTTTAGCCAGGGAATAGCTGTTTAAAATAAATTTAACAAGCTAAATGTACTCAATTTAGTAAGACACATACTTTGTCTATGTTGTTAAGAAGAGCTTTCGAAACGTAAAAGTGGTTTTGAATCGAAAAAATTGAGAAATTCGGCAAATAGTTATAGAATTGTTTAAACTTTTATTGGGCTCTTGTATTGAAAATAATTGGACTTTCGTTGGTTTACTTTGCAAGTATGTAATATAAGAGTTTTAATAATTTTTAAAAATTTATATTGTACCGAAAATTAAGACATTCCATTTGTACGAGATCATTTCAGCTCACTTAATTGTCAATAGCAGTTATTTTTAGATTAATATTCAATTTTAAAGCATCTATTTTTAATAATTATTATAAATTTCGGTCCTTTATGATTATTGAAAATAATGCTCTTTTCATTTCTTCAGATTCTAAAATTATTTCCAAAAAATAAGCATCTCGGGCATGCTTATTTTTACAAAAAAAAAAAACAAGTAGAAAAAAAATTTTCCACAACATTTTATACATGATGCATTTAGTTAATTAGTAGGATACTTTATGAAATATGCCAAATTTTATTTTAATTTTATTTGAAATAAATGTCAAAATTCGGTTTTATATACAAACATTCATTTTTGATCAAAATATTTAATAAAAATAAATTTAAAACTAGTTTAAAAAAAACTAGTAACTAGTAAGTTAAAACTAAAATTTCATAATCAAATAATTTTTTTTTTCTTTGTTTTTTATTTTCCAAATTAACGAACATTTTTTTAAAAGTAAGTTTCAGAAACTATTTAAATGCATACACACAATTTTTATATAGATGGTACATACAAAAGAATTACCTATAATACGATAGTTAAAAAATGAACATATACGATAATAATATTAGAAATAAGAAATGATAAAATACATTCATTAAAATATTAAAAAACTTAAAACAGTAAAGTAACAACGTAAAATATGTCTTTGTATTTACTATTCTTATATTAATTTCGAGTTTAAAATTTATTTTTTCAGTTTTAACTTACAAATTCGAAGTTTATTTAATACGTTCGTACTATATGCAAGATGTATATTAATTAATATATTTAAGATCATTTAAGATATTTACAAAAAAAAAAAATAAATATTGTTAAATCTTATTTGAAGAACTCATAACTTTTTTCAATTTGGGAAATGTTTATAAATGCTAAAAACTAGGAAAATTTAAATACGTATTTAATGTTTAATATTTTTGTAAAAGTTTTAATATGTTATTTAAAAAGTATTAAGTATATTAGTAAAAAATCTGTATCAAATAATTGTATCAAATGCAATTTTAAAAAAAGCGGGCTTGTAATAAAGATTGTTCAACTTTAAAAAAATATGCTCTTATCACTTTATTAAATTAATAAGTACATTTTAAAGCCAAATCAAATATAAACAATACATGTTATATTTCGCTTTGTTCTTATTTAATTTACTTGGCTTTCATTTTTTAAATTAGTTAGAATTTTGGTTAATTCTTTAGTAATTTTTTCCACACTTGGTATAAAAACAACTTTTGCAAAAACAATTTATTATTTTTTTAAAGTAATTTAAATAATTCACTATACATAATATAATTGTTTACTTATAAAACAATTTGCTTTCGTAAAAATCTTTTTTAACATAAAAAGGAAGGGAATTCTAAAAACAAAAATAATTTAAAGCAATTGTAAATACAGGCATCCAAAAAACACTGCCCACATCAATACAATTCCATGAACAGAATAAATAGCATTCTCACCATCAGCAATTTTTCTTGCAGTGAATTTCAATGATTCATCAAGTAAAACAACAGGAATTGAAAACTTCATAACAGTAATCCATTCATCTGTACCCAAGGGTGTAACTTGAAATACGGTCTGAAATTAGAAGTTAATTATAATTTAAAATTGTGTTAATAAAAGTTTGATTAATTTGTTTAACAGCAGATAGTTTTATATTATTTAGAAAAAAACAAACGAATTTTATTTTAAAAAATTACTTACTGCGAGAACTTCAACATGAAGTATAACAAAATGTAATCCAAATGAAAGAGCCATAGACCCTACAAGCCACATGTTGGACCATGGAGGCATTGTTACAAGCGATTGATTTTCTGATAAACTGTATTAAACAAATATTTAGATAAAAAATTATTTCAAAAAGTTGTAAAAGAAGTTCAAAGACCTGTTCATGGCATTTAACATTTCAATTGTGACAAGTACTGAAAGAGCCATTGTCATTGGATGAGGGTCGTTGAAAATCTTGCAATCCATTCCTTTAAATTCTTCTCCTCCACCAAGACAAGCCAAGTGATGTGTCAAATGCCAGTAGCTCATTTGTGGACCATCATCAGCATACATAAACCACCAAGCAGCAGCTCCAACAGTGGCAGCACCTACATAACCGCCAATAGCCAAATATCTATTGCAATGAGAAATTTTTTTTATGTCAAAAACGAAGTTTAATATAAAACACTGATAACATTAAAAAAAATAAATCTAATATACCTGAAGAACAACCATCCTGAAATTAAACCTTCATCAGCTTTACGTGGGGGTTTGCTCATAATGTCTAAATCGGGTGGATTGAAACCTAAGGCTGTAGCTGGTAAACCATCTGTTACCTAATTAAAGAATTACAGTAAATACGAAGCATATATTACAATATATAAAAAACATACAAGGTTAACCCACAACAATTGAACAGGAATTAAAGCTTCGGGTAAGCCAAGGGCAGCTGTCAAGAAAATAGAAACTACTTCACCAATATTTGATGAGATTAAATAACGGATAAATTGTTTCATATTATTGTAAATAGCACGACCTTCTTCAACAGCAGATACAATGGATGAGAAATTATCATCAGCTAAAACCATTTCAGCGGCTGATTTGGCTACAGCTGTACCAGAACCCATAGCAATACCAATTTCGGCTTTTTTAAGAGCAGGAGCATCATTTACACCATCACCAGTCATAGCAGAAATTTCATTCATACTTTGTAAATATTCAACAATTTTGGATTTGTGAGCTGGCTCTACACGTGAAAATAGGCGAGCTCTGGCGCAGGCAGCTTTTTGTTCTGCTGGGGATAAATCGTCAAATTCACGTCCAGAATATGATTTTCCAGTTGTATCTTCTTCTTCTGTGAATACACCAATACGTCTGCAAATAGCTTCAGCGGTAGCCTTATTATCACCAGTAATGACAATGACACGAATACCAGCGGCACGACATCTGACAATTGAATCAAAAACTTCTTTACGTGGAGGATCTAACATACCAACAACACCAACAAATGTTAAGTTAACTTCATATTGGTAGAATTTGGTTGAGTCTCCCAAATCCATATCACTAGGACTCATTGGATTATCACCAGTAGCCAATGCCAAACAACGCAATGTATCGCGTCCTGTACCGTATTGTCTAGTAAGATCTAAGATTCTTGATTTAAGAGTTGAGGTTAATGGTACTTTGGAAGTTCCAACGCGAGCATGTGTACAACGTTCTAAAACACCTTCTGGTGCACCTTTGCAGAAAAGTTTTGGTCCAGTTCCAAGACGAGATTGTTTTAATGGAACACAATATGATGACATAGATTTACGATCACGTGAGAATTCAAGTGTAAAATCTTTTTTCCATTTAGTTTCAATTTCTTGACGGACGACAATGGCAGCAGAACGACGATCTAAACCGCTTTTGTTAACATTGAAAGGATTAAGTTTTTCAGCTAAAACAATTAATGCTGTTTCTGTGGCTTCACCAACTTTTTCAAAAGCTTGTTTGAATTCGTTGAAATCAATAGCTGAGTCGTTGCACATTACGCAAATTGTGGCGATTTCTTGTAATGTATCGAATTCAGAGGCCTTAACACGTGAGCCATTCAAAAATAGATCTCCCAAAGGTTCGTAGGTTGAGCCAGTAAGTTCAAATTCTAAGAAGCTACTATCATTGCCTTCAACTTTGTCAAAAACGAACATTCTGGATACTGACATTTGATTTGTTGTTAATGTACCAGTCTTATCAGAGCAAATAACGGAAGTACAACCTAAAGTTTCTACAGAGGGCAGTGAACGTACAATAGCATTTTTCTTGGCCATACGACGTGTACCCAAAGCCAGACAAGTGGTAATAACAGCTGGAAGACCTTCTGGAATAGCAGCGACAGCTAAAGCTACAGCAATTTTGAAGTAATAAATAGCTCCTTTGATCCATGAGCCACCATGAGCTGGATCATTGAAATGTCCAATATTGATAGCCCATACAGCAACGCAAATAACTGAAATTACTTTTGATAATTGTTCACCAAATTCATCTAATTTTTGTTGCAATGGGGTTTTAATTTCTTCGGTTTCTGACATTTCTGTACGGATTTTACCAATAGCTGTGTTAAGACCAGTTCCAATTACAACACCTCTAGCTTTACCGGCAGCAACATTTGTACCAGAGAATAATATATTTTTTTTATCTTGATTTACAGCTCTTGGATCTGGAACGGGGTCTGTATGTTTAATAACTGAAACTGATTCACCAGTTAAAATAGATTGATCGATTCTAAGGGTTGTTGAGAAGATCTTTGTAATTCTTATATCAGCTGGAATTTTATCACCAACTGATACTTCAACAAGATCACCAGGTACAATTTCTCGTGCTCGAACCTTTTGAACACCAGCTTTGTCTTGTCTCACAACTTTACCCATTTCAGGTTCATATTCCTTTAAAGCTTCGATAGCGGATTCTGCATTTCTTTCTTGCCACACACCTACTACTGCATTTGCTATTAAAATAAGTAAAATAACTAATGGTTCCACGAATGCTGTGAATGTGTCTTCGTGCTCTTCAAACAGAGCTAATACCTTAAGAAATAATGAAAAAAAAAATATTTAATTAGCGTTATTTTTTTGTTTTAATAATTAAAAAAAGTCATATTTTTTTTTGAAACGACTAACACTAAACCAATTTTTAACGGTGTAATTAAAATATATTAAAGGCCTAATGTTAGCCGTGGCTATAGTGACGTCTCCAATTTTACTTACAAATGAAATAATTGCAGCTAACAGCAAAATTTTTACAAGCAAATCATCAAATTGTTCTAAAACTAATTGCCAAATGGTTTTTCCTATAAATAATGAGAGAATTTTAAGACAAATATTTGAGTTTTAATCATTTCAAAAACTTATAGTATCTATTTATAACAGTCCCACTTAATTCAAAAAAATTATTTTCACTAACTAACTTTAATCACGCATTAATTTTTTTTTTCGTTAGGAACAAAGATTTATAACTTTTATTTTAAATTGTAAGCAAGAATTTTTTATGAATTTTGTTTTTTGATTTGTTATTTTAGATGGATATTCAGGAGTCGAACGTGAAATTTGATTCTTTTATTTAAAAAAAAAAAATTTTTTTATCATAAATGAAAAATAAAAGCTATTGAAAATAAAACGTTCTGTATTAGGCAGCGTGGTTAAGCTTTTTGCACTAAAGTGAACTGATTGATTTTACAATTTTTCTACGAAAATTTCTGAAAAAATTTTAATTTACTTACCCTCTTCCGTAGGAAGTTCTGCAAACAAAAAAATAAAAATATTAAACTTTGAAATAAATTAACAATTTTATAAAAAAACAAAATTTTATAAAATAACAATTTTATTGTTATTCCTATATAAAAAAAAAAACTTACCATTTGGGCCATATTTAGCTTGATATTTTTTAATTTGTTCTGTCGATAAGCCACGCTCAAAATCTGTTCCAAAGAAGTTTAAAGCTTCATCGACGGTTTTCATATGACCGTCCTCCATTTTGATTTATTCTATGTTTCTACCTGAAAAATAAATTAAAATTTTTTTTAAGTTGATATGGATTTCATTTTTTAAATATATATACATATATATTGACAAAAGATAATTAACGTTTCACGAGCATAAGAAACAGTTTGTTAGGTTTGTGAGTGTTTAATATTTTTCGTTACTTTCATTAACTTTCATCATTGTACATAACAGTTAACATAAAATGAGAAATATACATAATGTATATAACATATTATTCAACTTTATTCGAATTTCACTAAATTTTTTAAATATAAAGCATTTTAACTTTAACATTTTATTTTAAAACAAATACAGACAATTGATCAAAAATCAATTTCAAAAGAACAAAAGTTCACACATACAAGTTTTACCCGTTATTAAATTTCAATGTTTGTTAAAAAAAGGAATTACAATTGCGTAAAAAATGTAGGAATTTAGAAGCATAGGTGGGTAGGTAATTGTTGAAAATTTTATAAATTTTTCTGATATTCTAAGAGCAATATTTTAGGTTTCAGTTGTTTTACAAAATTTTTACCCTCCCGAGTTCAAAAAATTAACTGCAAAATTAATTGCAAAATCGTTTAAAAACACAACTACACATCCATTTTTTCTAGGAAAAAAATTAATCAAATCGATTGTAGAAAATTGAATTCAGTTTTTTTTTGTTAGAAATGATGTTTTAAGACAAAGGTAAATTAAATCGGTATTTTTCAGACAAACATTTTTGCTGACATTACAAGGTATCATCTACATGTTATATAGTATTTATTTATCCCAAGGAAAATAACGGATTTTTGGTTATTAGATTATTTCAGATAAAAAAAATACCAAATTCTTATAGGAAAGCTCATGTAAAATGACTTTAGATATGCACAATATCTACTGTGTGTAATTTACATAGTACCTATGTATACTTTTCATTTTAAAATAAAATTAATAAATTATGAATAAAACAAATTTTCCAACTTTTCAATATTTTCATGTTAATATAATATGTATGTATATATTCTTCATAGAAGTCCAATAATTTTCTTTTGCTTAAAAAATTTAAATTTAATATGTAAACTTGAACTAACCTAGATTTTAGTTAATTAAGTTGATTGAATATTAAAAATATTTTTAAGTTTTTGTACATATGATTTTTGCTAATCAAAATTGGTAAAACGTATAAAGAGAATAATCTGTAAAACTCAAACAAAAGACCGGGAAGTAATTTATGACGTGGTTTTATTTGCGAAAATCTGGACTTGTAAACCCGAAGTTGAATTAAATACTATACACACACTACTTTCTTTTACATTTTTTATATCTTTTGTGTTTTTTATTTCAGCATCAGCATATTCAAAATTTCTTAATTATTTGCTTATATAGATTTCAACTATATTTTTTTATATTTTTTTATGTATCTGACGCTTTAATACAAACTACGTACAATTGCGAAAACTTGCTCTATTTAAAAAAATTCTATATTATGTTAATGTTAAATAGTTTACAGTGTATTGTATGTATAAGATGCCTTTTCCCAATTTGATTTATGGTTTTTCTTCAGATATAAATTTAACCAAAACCATTAAACCAAAAGAAAAATTGTAAAAATATTTTACTCGTGCAACGCAATTTTTGCATAAAATTTAAAGCTGAACTAAAAATTAAAATGAATTTGCGTTTTTTTTACCTGTTAGGTGGTGGACACGTGTCTTAAAATTTAATAGTTTTAGATAAATTTACGAAAAAATTAGTATATTTAATTTGTCAAGATTTAAAAAAAAAAATAGATGGGATATTTCTTTAAAATTAAGTACCTAAGTATATAAATTAAATATAAATAACACTATATACTATGTATTATGTTATCCCTTGGATGATAAATTTTTCTAATAAACTGAACAATGACATGACCATGACAGTAGAATTTTGACATAATAGGTTATCATTTGAACAGCAGGGATATGACAAAATAAGTGCTTTTTTTTATAGTACTGAAAATAAAATGTACTAAAATGTAATTTGTTTGCATCTCGTATATGTGCATCTCCATTCCTTACAAAACAACCTGAATTTAATCTGAATAAAATAATTACATTAATATTTTGATGTAAAATATATTTCAGTTTTAGAGGATTGTTTATTAAAATGTTATGAGTCAAGTAGAGTTTTATAAATTAAAATAATTACAAATCGCAATGATTTGACAGATAATTTTTCAATTTCATTTACTTTTAAAAAAAACATAAAATTCGAAATGTCAAATTATTCTCTTTCTGACATTAAAATTAAAAAAAAAATGTTAGTTATGGAACAGCATTCATAATTGCCGATAAGTAATACATACAATTTTAACTCATAAACCATAACTTTAAATGACTTAAGTAGCTCTTCCATTTCAAGATACAAATTTATATTTACACGATCGATCATTTACACGTATCTTGCAATGCAATATGTTGCAAGTATGTTTTTCCTTCTCATGTAGGAATCTGGCTTTAACATTTAGACGAATTATTTTCCCTAGTTTTATTATTAAATTTCTTACGTTCGTTTCGTTTCATAAATTTGATTATCAACTCAAAATGCTAATAATGGAACATTACTTTTGATAGGTTTGGTATCAAGCAATATATTATTGCATATTGTATGGATTTATTTAGAAAGATTGTAGCACACCATAATTACCAGTATATGCACATATGAGTGAATATGTAGTCTAAACGAGCTTACATATATTCATAAGCTACCATAACCAAATATTAAAAGACATTTTGAATAAGCCGTGCTTTTTTTTTATTGCAATGGCATCACACTTTGGACCATCCTCCAAAAAAGTGAATGTAGTTTATGCTTTTTAAAAAGTTTTTTTTTTTATGATTTTTTTGCATACGAATGTATGTACGTTCTATTATTCAAGTAAAATATCATTGATCCTCGTGTTATTGAAAAGTTAGTCTCGTTGCTTGTTATGATGTTAGGACAATTACATTCATATGTACTTAGGTATTTATCTTCAAATAAACTTATGCATATTTATGTATAATTCTCAAAAAAAAAATTAATGTATTACATAATAATATTGAAAAATTTTTCTCTTCAAAAAAAGCTACAATCATACATACTTATGTGTACATTCCTATAAGACCCCGTGAAAATTTTTAAAAATATACATACATACATACAATATACGCTATGTATGTACGCAATATTTTTGTAGGTACCTATGAATGTTTGCATTTTCAGGGTAGTATAATTTTAAATTTTTAATAATAATAATTTTTTTTATTAAATAAATCCTTCAAAATATTTTTGAGGGCATTTTTATATTGTATGTTTGCAAATACTTTATCATATAAGCGATCCGCTCTATGCGAATATACTATCTACATAGGTATGGATATGTATGTAAGTACATAAATAGCTTGAATAATGATCATTTTTTTTTATAATTTTTATTTCATATTGGCAAGTGTCCATTTTATCTCAAGGAACCATTGTTATCATAGAACAAAATTAAATTAACCGTTATATGTATATATACACATGCATACAAACGTATTAAATGAGTATTGTATTCTGTATAAGTATGAGTGTATATCTGAGCTATAGCTAAAGGCTCTTTATCTCTTAAAATTTATAAGTGTAGCACCGTATTGTTATGTATGTATGTACAACCATAAACATATAATTGTACTTATATGCGACAAGGAAAATAAAATATTTAAGCTCGTAAATTATTGTTAAAATAGAGTTAATTAAAATAAATTGTGTATTATTAATTAATTATATTATAGCTTAGTGCTTATTTAATTTTATTTCACATACATATATAATATATAGATATTATGCATACTGATATGCATGTATTAATGTATGTCCATTGTGTGTGCTAAAATTTGTACAAGGATAGTTAGATATTTATGTATATGTTTATTATAAAATTATATTTACAGGTATATACAAAATACATATGAACATTCTAAAGTTAAAATTAAATTTTAGCGAGACAATAAATATATAGATGGTTGTATGTACATACATAATATATATGAATGTGTGTACATACATAATTTATTATAAAACTATACATACATTCCTCTATAGATTGGCACATGTAAATATGCATATATTAATATTATGTATATAAAGCGTATAAGAGAAGACATCTGTAAATGTGTTCGGGTTGTGAACGAATGGCTCTAGGTAAAAATGTTAAATAATTCAGGTACCCATACGTAATAAGTATGGTTATATATACATACATATCTACATAAATTTAAATAGATAATTATTTATTATAGTGCCTATACATAAAGAAAATTATTTGAAGATGTGTGCATATAACGGAAAATAAAATAGCTATAATCTATATAAATGATTTTAAATAGTTTTAAATATGGTATAGGTAATATAAAAATAAATAGAAAAAGAAGAAAAGAAAAAAAATTGGCATAATTTAACAATAAGTTTTATGTAACATAAATTATATGGAACGATCAGTCACTCTTTTCATGTATTTTATATACATACATATACATAATATATAAATGAATATATACATTAAATAAAGAATTTTTTATTTTAATAATATATTTTGTTGCATATTTTATAAAAAAATTATTGTATTTATAAATAAATTTTATAATATTTTTGAAATTTCAAAATATGTGAATGTATATAAACATTTCTTTTTTGTATACATATAGAGACAATTAAACGACAAGATAGACAGACACCTAGTAGTTATAAAATGCGATCCATATAATAGTACGAACCACAAATACATATGTAATTATTCTTCATGCATTTAAATACAAAAAATTATACAGAGTGGTATTAATAGTTTCTTTGCAGACTTATAAAATCTCACCGTAATGCTCCTGTCTATAATTAGAAAAAGTTTTTGTTTTGCTTTTAATATCTTCTATATGAGAAATGAAAAGTTATATTTTTGGAAACAGAACTTTTTTGTTTTGTTCATAGTCAATTTTACTTATATATTATAAATTAAATGTTTTTAAAATATATATGGATATATTTGTATATATAAGTTGAAAAAAAATATTTTATATTATATGTATATATATGTATATATAAATTAATAACTATGTGAATATACACAAATATAATAATAAAATATATAATATATATAAAATTTATGAAAATATATTAAAAATATAAATATAATGTGTATGTATATGTAATTATATATATATATATATATATAAATTTTAAGAATTACGCAACAATTTTATTATCTTTTGTTTTTTTTTTCAATATAATGTAGTTACTAATTATTTTTGCAAAATTTTAAACGAATTTTTATAAATTTTTGCAATCAATATAGATTATACTATTTATAAATGACATTTGCAAGAAATAATTTTTATATAATTATTTTTTTTAATAATTATACACTAATGAAGCTTTTGTTTTTCTTTTATGTTATTAATTTCTTTAATTTCGGCAATTAATTAATTTTGTATATTATACATATATATTATAGTAAAATACTGAGGATTTCTTAAAGGTATTCACTTTTTAATTTATATAAAAGGTTTTTTTGTTTGATTTAGAAATAGAAATGTCGCACTTTACAAAAAAAAAATTATATTATAAAACACATTAAAAATTTATACTTTATTATGATAATGTTTTTTTTTTAATTTTTTTTATTATTTTAATTCTATATTCTTTATTTATTTATTTTTTTTTTCGAAAATTTTATTAAATAAATTTATAATGATAGAAAAACGCAACTTACAAATGATATTTGAAAAGTTAATTATTTTTTTTTTTCTGTACTATAATAATTTAAAAAATTTAATTAAAAACTGGTTATGTAAGTACAGGCTTGTAGCCTAGCCGAAAAAAAACTAAAATAGAGCTAGGCTAACAATCGCTCTATTGAAAAGATCGAGATCGACTGATCATAAGAAATGAAATAGTTTGCGAGTGTATCTAGTATACCGATAAATAACGAGCTGAAAAAAAAAGTTTGGCTGTTGCCCAGATGTTATACCGATTACCCGGGAAAAATATACTTTTAGAACAACATCAACGAAGAAAATTTGAAATAAGCATCGTAGCACTTTTGGCATTTAAATAGCATTATCTGTAACAATAAATAGTTTGACTTGGAATAATTACAGGTATTGATCCCAGGGCACATACAGAATGAATAATAAACATAAGAAAAAAAAAACATGCATAACAAAACAGCAACAACAAAAAAGAATATATAAAACAAAAATTAATAAAAAACAGATGTTTGCGTAAAACAAAACAAAAAAAAAAAAGAATTAAGACAAAAAATAGCGTTAATAACGGTATTACAATTACTTATTAATTGATTAAAAAAGTTATAGTTATCTTTAAAATAATAAAAATAATGATAACAATAATAATGCAATATTTAATTCTAATGATATTTTGTGTTACAACATTTACAAAATATTTGAAATACACACATACAATGTACACAGTTATTTAACAGACGTGTGTCGCCGTATTTACGGAAAGAATTTGCATAATCCTTTATTTTTACTGGGCTGTGATCTACTTTATATATGTATATATAGATTCAATGGCAGCTTATTGTGTATATCAAAAAAAAAACATGTAAATTTTTTTGCCCAATTTTAAAAATTAGCGCACTAGTAAAATATTTGAGTAGAATTTGAACAGATTGCATATCTCAGACTTTTGTATGAAGTATGCTTTTTATAAAAAGAAGCTGATTTTCGGAATTTTATTTCAAATTGGATTTGTTTAATTGTAACAAGTAAGGCATTATCAAGGTTTGGTTTAGAAAAATTTAAATGATTTCAATTGAAAAGTAACACATATCCAGTGGCTTCATTTATGAACTGCGACCCTGTCTTAATTTTGAAGTTTTAATTTTGTATGTTCTTTTCATATTGAAAAACTTTTTTTTACAACAAAAAATGTTTCGTAAATTTTTTGTTATCAAATTATTTACTGTACATCTCTCAGTTTTAGAGTAATTTTATTTAAAAAAAACATTACTCTTTAAAAAAATTATTATTATGTACGAAATTTATTGTTTTGATTAGGTTTTTCATTTAAGTCAACTCTTTCATTTTTTCCACTGAAATTTTAAAATTATGGATATTTTGAACTGACGAAATTTTTCAAATTAGAGAAAAAAATTAATATTTCATATCTTTTGTACTTTTAATTACAACAAGCATTTGGAGTGTAAGTTTTTAGAGAAAGTTTAGTAAAAAAAACAATTGATAACCAGTCAAAAAATTTAAATGAATATGAAAGCAGTATTAGGTTGGTGTTACTCAATTTTTGAGTGTTATGACAATATTTTGCATTTTCATACATATGAATGACATAAGCAGTAACCGCTGCGTTTCCTCTTTTATGTTTTATAGTGCATCAATCGTTATAAACTCGAAAATAGTTGGGAGTAGTTTGCAAGTGGAACCTTGCTTTTATGTAAATTCCGTTATATACGATACTAAAGAAAAATATTGAGTTGTATAACACTTATTGTATTATACAATTCCAGTATTTGTGCCAAAACCAGAACCGTACCAGTTTTTATGAAGGAGTAGTTACACATATTTATTCCGGCTGATGGCTTCAACTGTCAGATGTTTGTCAGATGGAAAACAATAATGTGAAACTCTTGATATTTAAATTCATATTGGCTCATGATATTTAAATTCATATACAAAAAAGAAATGTTTTTCATTATTGTCACAAAAACGTGAATCAAAAGGAAGCTGAGCGAAAGATAAAAACTACCTTTCATAAAAAAAAAACTGATTAAACAGCTGTATTATTAATTTCTTTCTTAAGATGACACCAAAAATGAATGATTGGTTCATAAATATATGAATGCCAAAAACAGTGATGACAAGCGCAATTATCTTACTTTTTTTATTCTTGTATAATAGATTTTCATATTCTTGTATAGGTAGGTCTTTTGGTTAACGAAGAAAAAACGAAGTATTTGAGAATGAGTCGAGATGAAAGAAGAAGAGCACCACAAAACATTACCATAGGAGAATATAACTTCGAAGGAGTTACGCATTTTAGGTATTTGGGTGCAACGATATTTAATGATAATAGTATGCACGCCTGCATAAATGAAAATATTCAAAATGGCAATAGAAGTTATTACGCAAATAAGAAACTATTTCAGTCTCGACTATTATCAAGAAACTTAAAAACCATTTTATACAAAACGACCATCAGGCCTATAGTGACTTATGGGTGCGAGGCATGGTCTCTGACTCAGGGTGATGAAAATAACTTAAAAATCTTCGAACGAAAAATATTAAGAAAGATTTTTGGTCCCAAACGACTTGAAGATGGAACATACCTTCTGCGTACGAACGAAGAGTTGAATCAATCAATACATGGCCAAAATATTGTAAAACACATCAAGTCCCAAAGATTAAGATGGGCTGGCCACTTAGCACGGATGCCTGAAGACCGCAAACAAAAACGAACCTTCGAATATAAGCCACTGTTAAGTAGAGGAAGGGGCAGGCCACGAGCTAGGTGGATAGACGGCATAGAAAGTGATTTGCGAACACTAGGGGTTCGCGATTGGAAGAGAGAGGCAGAAAATAGAGCAGAATGGAGGCAAATTGTAAAGAAGGCCAAATCTCACCACGAGATGTAGCGCCAGAAGAAGAAGAAAGAAGAAGATAATAGATTTTCCATATACAGATACGACTGCATTTGCAAACTACTCTCAAAATAACTTACATACATTTAAAAGGAACCTTTTGATTTACAAATCACTCCGACCTTAGATAAATTAATATTTAATGTTAACATTGATTCACTCAAAATGAAAATTAAAATATGTTGCATGTATTTGGAGTCTTAAATAAATGTTTTAAAATTTGTATTATGAACCGAAATTGAAGTTTTGAATGGTCTTGAATAATACGTTCAAATATGAAGAATATTATTAAATGAGTTTAAGTATTTTAAAAAATAAATTGAACGTGGAGCAAAAGAAGCTTTTATAAAAATAATAAAAATAAATATAAAAATATGTAGGTGATATTTTTTTTAAAGGTTTATAATAGGATAGGAAATAAAACGAATTGTTTTAATTTAAATTAAATATTTTGAAATAAAAATAGTCATTTTGGGTGTACATTAAATACTTTCATTACCATTCCCTGGTGCCTTAGAAATTTGCTTAGGTATTTCTATTTTATTATAATAATGATTTTATTATTGAAATCAGAATTTTTATAATATTTTTTGTTATCAAGTGAAAATTATAAAAATACAATTATTTTGTCCAATACTGTCGTTTTTTTGTTTCAAATCTCCTCAAAAATTTTTTAAATACAAAATTTTGCGGCAAGCAATTTGGGAATAACATGTACTTATGCATATTTTTAATATTATTCATATATATTTATGGTTCATATTTGTATGTATGTTATACTTTGTAAATATAAGTGAAAATATAGGTATATTCTCATATAAACTACTATAGAACTAGTAAATATTTTTTTTGTTAAGTTTGTTAACTTAATTATAGTGTTATAATTACGTTATATGAAAATAAATTCTGTTCTAAAAATATTTCGACGAAGAAAATTTTTGTTTGGCGGCGCAGTAATGGTTCGTGATTTCTTTTGCGCATACTTTCAGCTTTCGCTTACAAAAAGTTTAAGTTTGTAAGCAAATGTCTATAAAAAAAAAACATTTTGCTTTTGATAAGTAAGTATAAACAAAATTAAATCAAAGAAAAAATATATTACTACACTACGAAATCTAAAAAAAAAATATACTATGCACATATTGAAAAGAAAACGTAAATAAAATAAAAACGTAAAAAACAATACTGCAGTAGTAGTTGTATAATTGAATTCTCTTTGACATTTACATCAAACTATATACATCAAAAATACAATAAAATTAAATGAAAAATAAATAATAGGAATTAATCGAATAATGAATACATAAGTAACGATAAAATTGATTTTTAATTTCTTATGCTTATATGCGTAATCATATGACGAGATATTTATAATCATTTGCAGAAAACCGTCTGAAGTGATGCGTTAATCAATCACAACACACAATATTAAAAAAATATTCTGTGTATATAGTTTGATTTCTGCATTACTATCACATCAATTTTTTTTTAATCTATTTATCTACGTTTTGCTTTATGTTAATGATAACATAAGACACAGTCTAACAATTGATTAAATAAGAAAACTTAATTTATATGAAAACTTTATTTCGAACTTTCGTTGCAGACAAAGGAAAATTTTTAAAAGTTGCTTTATTCGAAAAAATTTTTTTCCAAGAAATCAATGTCAAAGAAATATATAAATAGTTTTCCGCAATTTGAATTTACACGCGTAAATAATAAAACGACGGGAATTAATACATATGAATACGACGTGTGTATGTGTACGTATGTACGTGTAACTAAAGATAGAGATACAATTTTTCCCGGATAAATAAATCTTTGTTAAATACGTTACCGTTTAAATCTTGTGAAAATAAAAATAAATTGCTAACTGCCTTTAGAATATCTATACATATGTACATATTTATAAACAAGATGAGTGTGCGTTTTTCATTTGATTGCATCAAAATTTTGCAACTTCAGTTTGATTTTTCTATTTTACAATACGTTATTATTCATCTTTTTTACATCAAAATTATTGCACTGTTCGTTCTACAGGCGATTCAAGCCAGGAAAAGAAACTTCCCACCATTTTACGCAATTAAACATTAAGACGCTTTTTGATTATTTGGATGCTTTTTGCATCTTAACATGCAGTCTAACGCGTTTTGATATGTTTGCTGAAGTATGCTTTCTGTTAGAAGTTGTTTTACGTTTTGGATAGGCCAATTGGTCTTCGAGATGATTCGATTTGACGCAATTATATTATTTTGCTGAGTGTTAATGACTA